TTTTTTTCCTAGGCAAGAACATTATTTTGGTAAGTAGGTCCTACTGCAGTTGCGTTGTCTCTCGTCGAGCACAACAGAACCGGTACCTACCAACCTATTTCTCTTTAATAATGTGAACTATAATGACGGAACTGTTCAATCCTTAATGAGTCGAGAATAAGACAGAGGTAGGTAGATAAGTATAAGTAGGTAAGCTAAAGGAACTAAAGCTAGAGCTAGAGAAACCTATACTTAATGAAGAACTAACTAGTAACTATATAGAAGTAAAATACTTCAATGTAGACTTAGACTTATCAAATCTAAACACTAAGATATTTCGTATAGTAAACTAAGCTCCAAAAAAGATTAAATCGTCATTCGAAATTCCCAAATAGACAGTGAACGTCTCGTCGAAACGAGCATAAGATGGATTACTTATATTAAATCTTATAAAAAATAAATTGAACTGATCCTATTAGAATTTCGCTGACGTTCCCCTAATTGGATGGAAAGACTTGAGTGCAAATTGATGCGGTTTTTTTCGTTAAGCCAACGACGGTTTACGTTGACAAAAAAGATCATTAGGCTGTACACAGAATAATATAATTAAGGTTAAGCCCCTCCTGACACTGGACAAAACAATTTTAATGAACTGCACCTAAGTATCTACTCACTTCGCGTGGAGTATCTACCAGGGTTTAGTTAAATGTAGTAATCTAGCTAAGGTTAATCTAAAAGTAAATAACTAGGTAACTGCATATCGGTTGAGTAGGAAGAACTAATTCCAGATATTTTCGGTAAAACAGCCTTTATAAGAGAAAAAGATAATTTCTTTTAAAAATAGAGCAACAAAGCACATTTCCTATAGACTTACGTGGTGATTAATGCTCAAACCTTCTCCGTGTGAGAAGAGGCTTTGCTCAGCAGTGGACATTTATAGGTTGTTAATAAGGCCCAGGTAAGCATCAAGGAGCCGGGGATAAGGGTTGCCGCTCCAATTCAAAGAGCAGGAGTAGGAACGGGGTGGTATTTAGTCAGTAAGAGATTGGCACTTCCTTTCGTTTCACCCAAGGCGGGATAAGTCATTGGATAATTTGCCCCCTTAAAAAAAGGTAGGCAGTTTTTAAGGGGGAAAAATCATAATGTCTTCTCCCGCCTGGGTGAGGCGGGTGGGAGTGTCAGACTCTTACTGACTAAAAACCACCCCGTTCCTTCTCCTGCACGTCGAGCCGGAGCCCCGGTAACCCGTTAGGTTCTGCCCCCTCATAAAAAGGTAGGCATAGTAACGACTTAAAGTAATATTTAAATGTCTAATCTACTCCTACTATGTGGATGTGGCACTCATCGTCGACAAAACAATTCTCCTTAAATACACTGCTACCGGCGCTACCCCTTAACCCTTAAACAAGGAGACGGCACAATAAATTCAGTACAACTTTCGTCGACCATACTAGCTGTAACTTCACCAATATATGGCCGTTTAACTCGCCAGTTGACCTCATGACCTCGAGTCCCTTTCTTTATAGTTTCAATACATGTGGACCTCGTCCTAACAATCAGGTCCGGTCCGTCTAAGTCACAATCCAGTTTGTCTGAGTCCATTTACCCGGACCTAACCGAAACTAATGCACCATATCTGTCCAACTTATTAAAGTTTACGCCCCCGAGACGTGGGCCGCGTGTCGAACAACTAACTCTGTTGTGTATTGCAACTAGGGGTAATGACGTAATGTACGAACATTAATGCGATTGTAAATCTTGTTTTATTGGCCAGTTGTGGACCTGTGGGGACGTGGGGTTACTAGATACGTACGTGTCTACGTGAGCTGTCGCTTTGATTTAATGGTATTGTTAAAAAGTAGGTGCTGAGTATAGATATGTATACATTTAGGCACGTGCAAGATATTATTAGTTGTAAGAGACCGAACTAAAGAGGCAGTAATTTTTTATGTTATAAATGTGAGAAGAGGCTTTTACCGCCAAAATACTGTGCTAAAATTATCCGTTAAGTTTAATTTTCTCATACCTCTTTATATCTTCCATCTTTCATCAAAAATATTTAGGGAAATCTCGATACTTAATCAATATTGAACTAAAATAAAAGGCTTTAGTTTGTACATATTATACTTATATTTCCATACAAAATATCGATTTTAAGTCATTTGAAAATTACATAAATACTAAAACTACGTTATAAATACGAGGACCTTCAGAACTGGCATCGTAAATCAATACCAGACTCTTTAATACTTTATAAAGTCAATAAAATAAAAATACATTTTCAAAAATAATAATACAATCTCATTACAAGTGGTTTGTATAAAAAAAAATACTTTTATTAAATTGTTTTTGCAAAAAGGTAGAGTATAAAACATTTTTCTTTAAAGACTAGTTCACTAAACTGTGGCAACTTAGTACAAAAGTATATAAAGTTCGGCACTTAGATCATATAAAATAACTTAAATAAAAAGATCATTAGAATAAATGATTACAGATTCGAAAACTAAACCTTATACTATGAAGTTAAATACTTTAAAGCGGTTAGTAAAATGCACCCAAAAACCATTAGGTATACAAACACAAAGTAATATAAATACAAAATGAATACTTTTGCAGTCAATAAGGCAGTGACAATTACGGCTAATAAATACACATGATACGTTATCAAACAATATTTCAAGATATATTTCTATGTAGTATAGGCACATAACACTTTCACATAACTATTTAAAAACAATGATGATTCAGTTTGAGATTATACATTATAAGTTCTAAAGCCAGCTTTATAAGGAACACATTCGTTTAAACATCTATCGAACCAGCGGTACTACCTAACCTACCAAAAACAAGAATATTAAACATAGACTTTTGTAACACATAATGCCTAATTATAATTTGTGCATAAAACCTCAAAAGAGATTCATAACAATACCAAAGCGATTTATATATTTTTAAACATGCAATACTTTTGGAATCATGATTAAGTAAATCATTTTTTAATGTATAATAATAATATTTTTGTTTTCTAAATGAGTATTTCTTATCACTAATTTGAGTTTATAATAAAATATATTATCTTAATACAAATCAGGCAGGGTCTTGTTTGGCGGGCGGACGGGCGTAAAGCGAGGGTACTAAAATGAAAGTTTAAACTTAAACGATTATAGCACTTAACAATTATTAAAAAAGATCTATAATTACATGTAGTATACAGTCAGAATAGATGTAAAATAAAGTATGTCTATACCGTTTAGCCGCCGCCTATGTTTAAGACCCCATCCTAATAATATTGTCAGCCATTATTCTCCTGCTGCAAACACAACCCAACATCCTACAACTTGCACACACTCGGAACAAACTACACTACAGGAATATTTCATGCAGCACCACATTTCAAATTGAACCTTAAGTGACCACGGATTTAACTTGACAATTATTCTTGAATTTCAAACAACATAAGCGCTACATTTGGATGGCATGTTCTCTGGTCACATTAATGTAACAACATTTAATATCTGTAAGGAATATAACAATTAAATAGCTTTCAGTATCTTGAACAAACTTGTTAACCATCTTAATACTTATATATTCCAATATTAAATTCATCTCACAGCTCCCGTTAAGGCTAATAATTGGCCAATTTGAACACATCGCTTCATAGTGAAGTTAGCTTTGGGACTTTTTACTATCGAGCAATAACTAGAAACATGTCTTTTATCGATATAAATAACTTTAAGTCGTTTACGTAGAACAGCGCTAACAGGTAAACGACAGACACGGAAGTCAAACTTTTGACATAATTTGTCGCACGTCAATGTCAAATGTTTACTGACTTTTCGATTCAGCAGCTGTAGCCAAATGCCACTTAGCGCTTGTCTACATGTAGAATAGAAAACCGAATTATATGGAATTGACGTAAATTTTGACACCTGTCGCTGTCATCCCCATACATTTAGTTTTCTACTCTCTCTGTAGACAAGCGCTAAAGTGGCGTTTGGCTAAAGGCACTGTTCGACTAGCATTTATGTCCTTTGGCTCATGGTATAGAACTACTAAAAACTGAATAAAAAATTTTCTTACTTTAATATTAATCTACAAAGCTGCCATATTCCAAAGCTAACTCCACTTTACAAGGATATATGCATTGGATAATTCTATCAACAAGTACCAACATTATTGTAATGTTATTTACAGAGACAGAGATTGAAGAGTATCCAAGAATGGTGGAAGAAAGATAGAGTGCCAGAGGGAGATACAGAGGATAAAGTAAATGGAGTACTAACACTAACTTGAGGTCTCTCAGTTAGGGCCGCATCTCAATCAGAAGACATCAAAGCCCAGGATAGCAATGGTATCTTCAGCCATCGTGAGACTTCTAACAACTTGCAAGAAATGTACTTTATTGAGATTAATGCATTGAATGTGCAAACTAGTAATATTATGAAGAAAGTCTTAGAAGTCAAAAAGATTAACTGATTACATGACATATTATGAGTTCTCCATTCACTTACTTCTCCATGTTAAGATAGTTTTGAAGAAGAGCCTAGGGACAGTAAGATGAGCACTTACGGTGTATATAAATAATCTGCACGACAAACATTAATCTAATATGCAAATAAATGCATTTATTTTAGAATAGATGTGCTGAAGTTTTAGTTTTATACTGTGCACTTTTCTCAATGGAAAAGTATGTTACGAAATTGTATTATGTTAGCCCATATACGAAAATACAATGGGGCAATTTGTGCGAATTTCTACACTTGTAGAAGTGAATACAAGAAAAAATAGATCCTGGTTTACACAATGTCAAGAACATAAAAGTGTTGCCATATCAAAAATACGTTTCAACAATGGCAACATTAGACAAATTCACAGATATAAAATAGAATTTATAATTTGCTTATCTTGGGAAGAGTAAAGAAGTTAGTGTTGATTCAGCACAATAGGGGAGTAGTGTAGTAGTGCGGTAGTGAGTGCGAGGGGGGGCGGGCGCGTCACACGGCGGCAGGAGAGGCTGATTGTCAGTGCCACTTCGCCTTCTGCGCGAATATGTCCGCTCGGAGGTTCTGCGCGAAGCAGATGCCCAGGATCTGGTAGAAGATACTTACGTTAGTTACACTTTAAGAAGCTTAGTTAAAAATAATCATATTAGATCTTGGCGTATTAATGTTAAAACGCAAGCAAATCTTTCTTCGCAGAAAATCTATGAATATTTCATGACAGCATCTAAAGCATTTTCACTGCTACACAAATTCCTTTACACAAATTTACAAAAAACAGTGTACACTCTCAAAGCTAAGAACAAAGCACATTATATACTAAACATATAACAGACTAGAAGGTGCATCTACAAACATAAACTTACTTGTGCAAAAGCAGTACAAACAGCGGACGTGGCTACTATCAACAGGTTGTGGTCGAACCACTCCTCGGCTGCCTCTAAACAGCCCTTGTCATATATTATCTTTGTTCTATCAAAATTCTAGAACAAAAAGAAACGAAAAACATCAACGGGAGGCCACTACATGCTATGAATGAACGTACTGCACATTCCCTAGCATCTGTCAAAGTGTCAAAGTCAAGTGACGTTTGTGTTAGTGAATGAATGAATGAACAACGCGTGTCTTTGATAAACATTTATATTCTGTGCTTGTGAATGAAATTTGAAACCACAGCTTGTTAAAAAAACAATGTTTAATTGATACATTGTGTGCATGTCATACAAGTTTGGATGCAAGGAATGTGCTAGTAATAATAACAATACACAAATCACAAAATAATATAATGGTGCGCAAGACTACCCAACTTACATACAACTTTGAAGGGAAATGTCAACAAATACCATTTATCGTGTCATTATTAACATTTTCCTTGCAAAAATACCCAAAATACCTATAAAACAGATAGAGTTAGATGCGAGTGTTACTATTTTTAATGGACCTTTAGAGCTAATGGTCCGAGCAGCATGGCGGCGACGTGTGCGAAGTGTCTCTGGAGCCAGTCCTCGCCGGCCGCCAGGCAGCCGCGCTCGTGTATCACTCGTTCACTCAGTTGCTAGTCATAGTCGCTAGTTAATTTATCATACTCCCGATATTGTAATTTAATCAAAATCTGATACCATCTTTAAGGCCCGTAGAAATCCTCAAAGCAGTTAACTTGATCAGTTAAACCTAGTTTTCTTTAAAATTATAAAAATAAGTTCGTGTATAATTAGGTGTTAGCAACAAACTATTTAAGACATCTTAGTTTCCAACTGTTTTCAAAGTACTCCAAATCAACAAAAACAGTTTATTAGGAACGAATTGCACCTTTGGAATACTTCAATAAAATATCCCATTCTTTAAAAAAATACTACTACATACTTGAATTTCATCATCAAAACTTCCTAAAACATAAGAAATTAAGTAGTATATTAGACATATATATGTATACTCACATAGGTAGGTTTCCTAACATCATATCCGCACTGTTTATTCCTGATGATGTCCTGTGGCTTGTTCCTGCAGCAACTGAAGGGAACTCCACAAGCCTCGCGCGAGCCCACGGCACCGCTCGAACAGTTGAAGTACGCGTTACGGTCCCAATCCCGAGGACCTTCCACACCGCAACATTGTAACTGAAAGAGAGAGATAGAAACATCTCACTCAGTAACTTTATGTCACTTTCATACTTGTTTTTGGACTTTTCTGTTTATAATCAATTACCTTCCCCTTCCCCAATCTCCCCAATCCCTGAATTCCCAACGATCCTCAAACTCCTAATCCCCAAAAGGCCGGTGACGCACTTGTAACGCCTCTGGTGTTCCAGGTGTCCATGGGCGACGCCGATTGCTTACCATCAGGTGATCCGTCTGCTCGTTTACCGGCTTATGACATAAAAAAATCAATAGATGGCGCTGAACCGTATTTTACCGTTCATTCAAGTGCCTTCAATGTATGTAGCTGTCAAAATTGTTCAATAGCACAGATTTATAAAATGCAATCAAAGAATGCTTCCTTTCATTGCATTTTACAATATTTAGCGAGATTTCCTTAAAATATCAGGTAATGTTAATCCCTCTGGTAATGTCTATAAAGATATACAATAAACTGCCAAGGGAAATTGTAGAGGTAGAAAAAACCAATATATTTGTATCGAGACTAAAAAAATATATATATGCTATTACACTCTTAAAGACTTTTTTGATGACAGTAAAATTTCTAAACAATAATTCTTAATATTCATTTGTTAACTGGACTGTAATTTTAATATTATGTATAATTTGTTAATTAATAATAATAATTGGTCTTTTTGTTTTTTTTTTGTTCGTATAAATTATAGCTAAATGCTCTAATATTGTTTATGTAATGGTTTTTTTGTATTAAAATTATATATTTTCCTTGCTGTGCCCGACAGGGTCCACAATGAACTGTATTATTCTATGTTACCACCTAAGTAAAACATTGTGGAACGCAATAAAGAATTTGAATTTGAATCAATCCCATATTTAAATTGGAAGATAATAAATATATTTACCCAGTCTTCTTGTATCCAATCGATCAAGTTTTGTTGGTCAGGATCCTCTCTATAGTGTGTGATGAAAGACTGGAAACCAGTTGTTGCTTGTTGTTTTATCTGAAATAAAAAACAAATTATACTTAGTCATCACCCTTACCGACGTCACCTTGCTGAATCACAACACCCGCTATCAAGTATGTACACACAAATTTCACCAAAATCAGTTCAGCTGGTTATGAGTTCACTGACATTAAATACCTACCTTATATGACGATAAAAAATGGCACGACTAATTTATGTTAAATACAATAGGGTAGACGACTAATTTTTATTTTAATGTCCGTCTGGTAGATTATTTAAAAACATTAGACACGTATTTTTTCTTTTCTCACAGAAACGAATAGTTTCGAAGATATATTGATTTGAAATGTCGCGTGACGTCACTTCTCAGTACATTTTATACTAAGAAATGACGTTTTAGCCCCCACTCCTAAACTTTGATTCGTTTTATCTAAGTATTGTTTTATTATACGACAAAATAAAAAAATACGTGTCTAATATTTTTTCATTACCTAACTTACGGACTAATTATATTTTTAATTTTCATACCCTGTCATCATCCCCATTAGGGCTGATATTTCAATCATCAGTTAATTCATGGATGATTCATGTATGGAATAACTGTCATATTATTATATTCAAAATTATAAAGTATAATTTTTACTAGTAAAAGTGAAAGCAAAGTGCAAGTACGTTGTTTGACTGCAGTGTTGGTGCGGTGGTTGGGCAACCGGCTGCCGTGCAACGTGTCGCGGGTTCGATTCCCGCACGGAACAACACTGTCTGATCCACAATTTGTTGTTTCGGAGCTGGGTGTCATTGTGTATGTGAACTTGTATGTTTGTAAACGCACCCACGACACAGGAGAAAATTTTAGTGTGGGGCAACGTTTTAAAAAAAGCAATAATAGGTCCATCAGTGCCTCTTGGAACAACGACTGTGGCACTTGGCTTATGGACTCACACGCAATGCACACACATTGACACAAAGGACATCTGTCTGTGGCATGGCATGGCCCGTCATTATACTTCATACATTGCGGTGTTACAAGTACACGCACACATAAATACACCATTGACATTTTGGTGCTTCAATCATTTCTAAGTGATATTATGTCCGCCTTGTTTTCAACGTCCTTAGCAAAGTGTATGTTGAGTGTAAGTTCTTTCTAATAGAATTGGGTACTTGCCTTCATTACTACATAGTATAAAACAAAGTCGCTATCCGCCGTCTGTCTGTCCCTTCCCTATGTATGCTTAGATCTTGCAAAATACGCAACGAATTTTGATGCGGTTTTTTTAATAGATAGTAATTCTTAAGGAAGGTTTATATGTCTAATACATGCATTTCACCCGTCCTAAGCCGGGGCTGGTCGCTAGTCGAAAATAAATTATTTCTACTGTTCAATACAATAAATATTAAAAAATAATTACACTTTCGTTAATTGATTTTATGACCAACCTTATTTTAGCATTTTTCCAGCAACTGTTTAAGAAATAAGTACGCTGTTTGACGCAAAAAAAAAACGTGACGTCACAACACGCAATCTCGTACAAAATTCACAGAAAACTGTCGTTTTTGACAGTTCGAAAAAAGTATTGAATTTGACTAGTTGGCAAGTATCCCATTGATTTACTTACCCAGTCCTTAAATACGAAGAATAGAATGCCAGTAGTCATCTCTGCCAGTAGAAGCAGTGCAAGGAAAACGGCATACTGAAAATAAAGGAAGTCATTATTGCAATATGCGTGTAATCGGTTTGATAAGGAACAAATCAAATACAATTATTGTACTAATTGTAACTGATAACCATATTATTAAAAATACTATGGAAGAATTATTTCTTGAATGCAAAAGCATTATAAATAAAAAAACGTTAAAAATACTTTTCCGGACTTAAGTGACGTTATGTTGACGATAAAAAGACCTTCTATTCATAATGTATGTTAGCCAGCAAGTCAACCCATCCTTTAGAATAGAATAGAATAGAATATAACTTTATTGTACACCATTAATAATACAGAATACAGTACATACAGAAAAGGAAATGACAAATATAAATAAAAATAATAATGGGCGCAAAGGCGGTCTTATCACTTATAGTGATTTCTACCAGACAACCTTTACTGTCTATTACATCTTCAACTTTTTTGTATTGACATAAAGTCGAAAATTCAATAAATAAATTTAATAGAACATAACATCACGCCTTTTATCCCCGAAGGGTTAGGCAGAGGTGCACATTATGCCATTGTACCATGTAACACCCACTTTCCACTATTTATGTTATGAGTCCCATGTAATAGGGGGTGAGCCTATTGCCATATACCGGGCACAATTCCAGACTCCGGGCTGTTACTGAGAATTTTTAAAAAACCCAATCATACTTAGCCCGGCCCGGGAATCGAACCCGAGACCCCAAGACCCCTTGCCCGGCAGTCGCCCTTGCGACCACTCGGCCAACGAGGCAGTAGGTACAACGATAAAAATAACGTAAATAATATTTTGAATAAATCCTCCAATACATAATTATGGATATTAATATAATTATGTTAAAGAAAGATATGTTACCATAGGAATAGTGGCTTATTTATACCTATAATAATATGCGATATGTTACCATAGCAATAATGGCTTAGGTACTTATATCTATAATAATATGCCATACACACCAATGACAATGAATTCTCACGGCTATTACAGTATAGAAGTTCATATTGTCTTAAATAATTCAGTAACAAACGCCTTTGTTCTACCACTCAGTAATGCTTCATTACTGCTCAATAAACCTTACCTACATGCAATCATTATCATAATAATCTAATTAAATGTTAACGAGGATAAATGAACAAATGGAGTACTCACTTCGTCGAATACTAATAGGTAATTAACTTTTTGTTTGTTACCATTGTTAATAATATCTAGTGGATGTGCAAATTGAAATCGAATAACTAAGTTGATAACTTTATATTACAATAACTATACTAAATAACATTATTTTTCCTTATCCAAGCGGATATTTTTACATACGTTTATATAAAGAACTGGTTACCGATTAATTCACAGAATTTATGATTCATTTACCAGAATCATAAATGTAGGACTTTTTTGGTGATAATGGAAAATTAAATAAATGGAGTATAATAGCACTAATTATGGAATTCCATTATTCATAGGTTCGTTGTGTAGCAGCAGTCATCAATTAACCCGTTGTATCGTAGGATCGTAATCTCGGAATGTAGATCTAAGCAAGACACAATGTATTTTTCTATTGCGTCTCGCATAAGAGGCCAAACAGAAGTTTAATAATACCAATATCACTCATAAGTGTACTAAAAATGCAGATTAGTGCACATTAGCCCTCCATTCTATACTTACTCCTTATAAATCTATAACAATAGTATAATACTCACGCATGCAAGCAGGCACGTGTTCTCACGAAGAGCACCGACGCAGCCCGTGAACCCAATTATGAACGTAATGGCGCCTGAAACACAACACAAACAATAAATATCATAGTGCAAAAAATGCATGCTCATAAGTAACATGTTTTGTAAGATTTATTGCTTCATATTTTAAAACTCACTTTTTAAATTAATATAAAACACATTATTGAGTGAAAGCATGTCTACTGCAAGTTTTAAATTATGTTTATATGAAATATTGTTGAGATTGTTAGTTATAAGGCCTTCAAACAATTTCCGATTACAACACAGCCCCTTACAAAATCTTGTCAAGGTAAACAATAGGGTTTCGTTTCGTAACACCCATTGCCCATGATGGAGCTCAGTCATCTTAAAATTGTTACCAAGCCATTTATACCATAGAACTACTTCTACGTAACAGTCAAATTTCAAGACATTCGAATATTATAATAGTTCACAACTATAGCTTACAGCAATAACAACCTCTATTAGGTTTAGTCATCATCATCATCATCATCAACAGCCTATAAATGCCCACTGCTGAGCAAAGCCTCTTCTCACACGGAGAAGGTTAGAGCATTGATCACCACGCTTGCTCAATGCGGGTTGGCGATTTCAAACTTGTTTCCTCACGATGTTTTTCCTTCACCGTTTGTCAGTGGTGTCTAAATAATCTTAGAAAGTACATATAACTCGGAAAAAGTCACATTGGTACTTGCCGTTGGTTGGTTTCGAACCCGCACCCTCATGCATGAGAAGTGGGTGTCTTAAACCTCCGGGCCACCACGACATTTCATTAGGTTTAGTAATTTAATTAAATATGTATCTAGGTCGTAATTAACCATAATTTTACTACAACTGTTACAACTGTTTTCACTATTTGTATTAAAATTTTGTTCCAACTTTTTATACCAATAGCAACCATAATAAAAATATTATTGTAGGCTGGCGTTAGGTGGATGGATCAAGGGCCTAATACAGAAGGCAGTTCTCCTAGAAACGGCATGTATTGTGAGGTTTCTGTCTCTGGAGCCCTAACCACCGGTAGCTTGGACCATGCTCCCTCTACTGGTTGGCTCCTATTTTTTATATTTTTAATCATTATTATTTATTTTGTAAGTAGTATTTAAAAATGTAATTTGTAGAGAATTATAAATAATTATATGTAAATATTATTGTATTAATATTGACAAATTCTCATTGTTACTAAATACACAATAACAATTTGTAAATATGTCACAAGTAATAAATGGATCATTCTGTTCCAATGCTAACCTACATAGACTATTATAAGAAACAATAATGTGTAGTGTACTACAAGATCTGAATGGAACAGCTACAAAGTTTTAACTTGTCTATAAACCGTTCAAATTTACTTTAAGTTACAGTAAAAAATTTAAGTAAAATATTTGTTCTGTCTAACATTTTAAACAAACTAATAAAAACAACTAACTACTTGCATGTCGTGTGTTCAACCTTGCTATCTTATCTTTTCATAGTAATAATGTTTACCTATACATTAAGGAATCTAAATATTTTAAACTTAACAGAGTACTTTTTGTGAGGTTCTAATAAGAAAATTCCATGTCATATCTAACTACAAAAACCAACTGCATAAAATACTAAAAATGTATACCACATCGGTTGTGACTGGAATTCAATTGAATACATAATTGTCTGTGATACTCACCCACACATATTAATATAAATGCTGGATCCAATGCAATGTTAGTGAGTCGGGACAGATTGTTAAAAGTGTCCTTCTCTGTCCATGCCCACACTCCCACCGCTAGCACAATCAGACCGAGGAACTGAAATGTAAGAATGGATGATACTTTATTTTAGGAAATAGACTAGAAAATTGCATTTTATAATAACATTTTTTAACTAATATTGTTCAGCAGTAAATGTATTTGTAGTTAGTGCACCTGCCATATCTAATTTCTGTATAACACATAAGTAGAGTGGTAGGGAATGCCCAGGCTTAGGTATGTTTCGAGCATGTAGCAATAAAACAAAAACATTGAACCTAACTTAGAGGTCACTACTGTGATTCAGTCTCTTTTGATATCCAGACCAAAAAAAAGTAAAATAACAGATATGTGCAAGTTTACTACCATAGTTACATACATATAAAGTATTATTATTAGACTATAAAATATACAATAAATGATAAATTACAACCAATGCAACAATAATAAATTTTAGTGTTAAAACAGTATGTTTCCTTCCGCTAATTATAATCAAAGCAACCATATGCATTGTGCTATTGCCCTATTTGACAAAATCTAACAATTTATTCTGCTTATGGATTTCCTTTGATAATAAATTGTAAGCAGGATAATTTTTATAGAAACACAATGGGATAAAAATAAGTGACATATATATATATTTATGTATTGTGCTATTCTAATTCTGTTTGAAAAAGATTTTTTATTATTGATATTAATTTTTTTAAACAATTCGTGGAAACTCTTTCTTAAGTCAACTGTATAGGAAGGAAAAACAAAAGCTAATTTTAAATTGTTATAACCAAATCACAACTTTTACTGAATTTTCAAATTATTCTTTACACATTTTGATAAGATAGGAAGTTTTGTTAACCTTCTAGAGTTTTAGCATTGAATTTACGTAGTTTCAAGGCTAGTAAAATAATAGTATACGCGAATGTTAACTTTAGGTACTTTTACATAGTTAGCAGGATGCAAACAGTTATAGTTTTACTGTTATACATACTAATTGTATGTAGATCACTCTAAACAAGTATCAAGTGACCCCGATAGCCTGGTAATTCGCACAGCTGAGACGAAATCAATGAATCAATACCCACTCAAACGATTTGCTAGATTTCAGGTCAAATCGAGTGCATACAGTAATCTCTCATCACACTTAGTAAACTCTGAAATACTACTCCTATGATACAGGTTCATTTTATTACACCTTTATGCAAATGCCAAAAAAGCAATAACTACGCAAATTACAATAAAGTAGACACAAAAAGAGATCTCTAAGTACTTACCCAGAACAAAACATTCACACCAAAAATAACATATTTTAAACAACAGCTGACTTCGCTGGTATCCCGTCGATATTTCCTTATGCCAGGCATTTTAAGTATCACATAATAATGTCACAGTATTATTAAAATAAGGACTGAACACTACATTTATATAAAAAATATTAGAAGTAAAATCTAATAAACTAAGCAACTAGGCCAAACATTGGCCAAATCAACGAGAGCGAGTGGAGTGAACGACCGTCAAACAAAAGAAAGGAAGGATTATGAGGATAAATTTGATATTAACTACATGTCCATTACAACTTAGCTGTCAAACGTCAAACCCATAGCAATATTCATGTGTTAGAAAGAGATAGACAATATGACAGAACTATTTGTAATGTTCTTGCCACTTTGGTTGCATTGTAATACGAACAAAATAACGTTCTGATACACGCAAACAAAAGACGTACGGATATATTAACATCGTTAATTAAACTATTTTAGTACGGTTACTAACTATTGTCACCAACCATATTTTAATAGTCATTATAGAAATAATTATTAGATTAAGAATACATTATATTATGAGTAAGTAGAAGTATGTACTCAAACTAATACTTATATTTTTTTAAATATGCCTTATTTTCGCTGTCCACAATTTTAGTTTTTCTTTTATCTCTTGACATAATAATTGGTACTGGATGACGAAACATCATTGCTTAGCTGCATTATGTTAGGATACCTACCCACTGTTTTGAAATGTTCTTCATTTAACACTAGAAAGACCAGAGTGGTCAAATGACCCCAATGAAGTCTTTGATCAATCATAATAACAAAACCATAACAATGAAGTCAGTGCCGTTTTATGACTTTTAATATTTTGTCATTGTTTACATTATTCTGATATGTGTATATCGATAGCTAGATAAATACAAATTAAAAATTATCACCTACCTAGAAAGACCGAAGTGGTCATTTGACACCAATGTATGCGTGCTTTGTATTATTTCGTTGAATATCCTCTTGTAGTGGGTACTTGAAATAAAATATTTCATTTCTTTATTGTTTTGTTCTTGTCAAAGTAAAGACGTATATATCACGGCTCGCCATAATATAATTATAATGCCTAATTATCGTTCCCTTTCGCCTTCTAAAATATTGGAAGTGCTGCAAAATTTACTTGACGACCAATCCGATTGTGAAGCGACTGAAGAAGAGAGGCATATTTTGCATTTAGACTCAGGAAGTGAAGACATCAGTGTCGAGGTATCTTCTACCGGTATCAGTTGGACTCCTGGAAACTTATCAGTTTTGAATCAGCCTGGTCGTCGTCCACGACAGAATATTCTAACAGAGGAAGCTGGACCAACTTCTTTTGCAAAAAGGTGTTATAAAGGAGGTATTTTATCTGCATGGAAACTTATCATTGATGACTCCATGCTGCGACATATTCAGAAATGTACTGAAACCGAAGCTCGTCGCCAACTTGAAGATAATACTTGGTCACTCCCATTGAATGAATTAGATACTTTTATTGCAATTATTTACGCTCGAGAAGCCTGTGGGGCTAAAAATATTGCTGTGAATGATCTTTGGGACAAAAATTGGGGTATTCAGTTTTGTTCACAGAACATGGCTCGGAATCGTTTCAAAGAAATAATGCGTTTCCTGCGATTCGATGTGCGGACAGAAAGGGCTGAACGTCTGCAAACAGATAAATTTGCAATGATTTCGGAAGTATAGAATAAGTTCATCCATAACAGTATTTCATGTTACAAGCCTGGTGAAAACCTTACTGCTGACGAACAGCTTTTTTCCACAAAAGTTCGGTGTAGATTTTTGCAGTTCATGGGTAACAAACCAGACAAGTTTGGAATCAAGTTTTGGCTTTGCGTTGATGTTGATTCAAAGTACTTATGTAGGTAATGGTTTCCCATATTTAGGAAGAGATGAAAGCCGCCCACAAAATCAAAGTTTAGGCGAGTGGGTTGTATTGCGACTAATGGATCCATACTTGAATACTGGTCGAAATATAACAACTGATAATTTTTTCACCAGTGTAAGTTTGGCTAAAAAGCTAATTGAAAAACGTACATCAATAGTTGGTACGGTAAACAAAACACGGAGACATACCCCCAGAGCCTCTAGAAGAACGTAGTGGAAAGAGGAAACGGTGTTACGTACAAAAATGCAAAAACAAAACCAATAAATCTTGTGTTAGTTGTAAAAAGCCTTTGTGTGGCTCTTGTAATGTAAACAAGGAGCTAAAATGTCAAAAATGTGCCTAATTTTTTTATTTTTTATCAATAAATAGATGTTTAATTACTATTAAGTTATTTTATTCATTATTGGATGCTAATCAATAAAACTTAAAACCATAATACACGAATAAAACATTACAACCCATGAAGGTGTCATTTGACCCCAATTGGTCTTTATAGGTAGTTCGAAATTCCGGTCTTTCTAGTGTTAAATACTTACACTTATTTAGTGTCGAAGCTTCCTCTCTGCAAAAAAAGGTATATAATAGGTAGACCAAGGTACTTTCTCGCCTCGTTGATCGAGTATGTACCTATTACACAGATGTCGCTAGTTTGAATTGAATAGAATATCGCATAGTAAAACCATAGGTAAAAGTAATTTTTCGATTTCTGACCTAATATTCAAAATGGAATTTGTAGTCTGTGTCAGTTAATCTTCAACTACTCTCGGTTTCATCCACTGCTTGGCTCCTATTGTTGATCGTAGCGTAACATTTCATAGCATATGTCACTCTCCATATCCCTTATACAATTTCCACTTAAAAATCGATTCGTGGCTACATTTTGCCGTGATAGACTGACAAACAAACAGACAGAATCACACACTATTGTATTAAGAATATTAGTATGGATAAGTTTCACGGACTGCTGAAAAACAATTAAGGGTGATCTAATCTAATGAAACATTATACAATTTCGTCTATTTCTGAACCCAAGCTAAATTTTCTAAACACGTAGAGGCACAGATTATTATTATATCTATGCGTGGAGGTATGACCAAAATAAATCGTTACTTTTTTCCATAGTAGACACATACATAGGGAATCCTTGTCGAGCCCTTTTACCAAGGGAAGACAAAGAAGATAGATGATTTGAAGATTAAGCAATCTGACAAAGAAGATAGGTAGGTACCTACCTATTTTCTTTGTCTGAATATCAAATCTTCAAATATTCTATATATATAGGGTAGCTGATCGATATAACACTTACATATTGTGTATATAAGGTACTTAAAGTTCTATATCCTATATGAGGCAGAGGGCATCCACAATGAACACCCATCTCAAAAATTTATAAAATAAAAAGGTTTGTAGTATTTAAGTAGAATATCTTTATTTGTTGTTATATACAATACATAATTTTTATTAACTACTTTATATACTTATAGTTCTTATTTCTGTTTAGTGATCACATTTTAGACCGTCCGACGTATGGCTAGTGATCCAATCGATGTAATTGCTGACTTTCGTGTATACCCCTGAAATGAACATAAGAAAACATGTAATACATTATGTGCACGTAATATCTAACATTTAGGTACTTTACGTACCTTTTTTTGAGGGGATCAGTCATCAAATGACTCCCCTCTCCCGCCTTTAATGAGGCTAGAGTGTGTCAGACTCTTACTGACTAAAAGCTGCCAGCCTCATGTCTGTTGAAAGTTGCGAGTATAATGTGTTTTACACCGGGAGCCAGTGTTTCAACAGATAAAAAGCTGGCACAGTTTTCTTTAAAAAGAGACAAAATTCGTACCAAGGGGACAATTGGAGATTGGAGCATTTTCGCAATAGCTACGGATGTCTCTCTATCTAAGAGATTTTATAAATTGATAAAGAATGGCTAATTTGTTTCATGCTTCCCTATTGCTATCAAAAAACCTACCTATGTAGGTACCATTGAAAACGACAATAACGTGACGTGGATATAAATAATAATACATTATTGTTTGGTGGCACAGAAGCGTGACAAGAAACACATAGGTAGACACATTCTTATGAAACTATGAAATGTGCATCAATAGCTGATTGTTGATATGAACGCTAAACCTTCTTGCCTTTAAACTTCAGTTGAATTGAATTCGATTTTAAGGTATGTAGGTACATAATAGGAGGCTCGCATAGGCTGCTCTACAAAACAGGTGTATATCACAAACAGGGGATTATTTAAATAAGGATCTCCCCGCTTGGCAGGCGTGTTGAAGAACGCGGATCAGGTTTATCAGAGAGCATTGCTGTCCGGTTTTCGTTTTCGTTACTCTTACTCCTGAAAAAAATTCTTCAAACTAAAACTAGATACTTACCAGGATACCTGGGATCTGCACACCCAATACCCCAAGAAACGACGCCTGCATACAAAAGAGGTTCGTTAATAGGGTCAAGGTTCAGTTAGTTTACAATTTGCAAAGCACTAGCCCTGCTCATTAACCTCGTCTCATTAAAGACTTTCCTTTCGACATTCCACATCGATAGTGACAGTCACCTATTAGGACTCGGTGTTCTTAGATATACCTCTCGTAAGGAAGATGATGATATGCAGTGTATAGCGAAGCTCTCGAACCCTAGGGATGTAACTACTAGAGCTTTCTTGAATAGCTGTCATGTGAAGGCCGTATCTATATTAACTCGTCGAGTAACGGTACGGTACCGGTGACCGCAACCTATTGTTCTAAATCCGTATTTATAGACACAATTAAAGAACAATAGGTTGCGGTCACCGGTGACCGCTTGGTGTTTGACAGTTTAATTTAGTAGGACTCACCATAGTTGTGAAATAACAATAAATAAGTTATAATTTATTTATTGTTATTTTGTTTAGCAGCACTGCATTAGTGTCATACCTTGGATTTCCTAATCTTACCTTTAGGTGTGCTTTGACCCATAATTGTCAAACCAATCAATAATTTTGAAATACCTCTGAAGTGGACTAGAATACAAACACTGATTGATTGTTGTTTTGCGTTTTGGAATAAGTTTACGAGAAAATCCTTTTAGATTTCTTAAGAAAAGCAAGTGAAAATATTATAAAATGTTCTGTCAAGGACAAAGTCAAAATCATTTATTTCAATTAGACCTGAAAGGCACTTTTGAAAGTGAAGCTATTTGCTCATTCCAAGGTGTAGATTCCTATGGAGAAGAACGAGCAAGAAACTCCATAGGTTACTCTAGATGATTATTGGTTACTCTTATTCAGTCTAGTTCACAATACAATTCTTTAGTTACATAGTTTTGTTGGTTCAATTAGGCTGTAAGTACTTAAATACTTATCAATAGAACGGACGCAGCTGGCCGTAAAGTAAGTTAATGAACGAAATTGCAACCGCTTATCAATTAAACGTCAAAGTCATGGTTGCGGTGATTAAAATGAAACAGTAATTTACAACGCGTATTGAAAATGTCCGATATGCAGGTTTTTCTACGTTTCACTAAGAGATATCTAAGAGAAATAAGACAAAAAGGATAATAGACCCTATTTACTCACGACTATTAAATTTATTTATTGAAGTGTTTTTATTTATTATAATTTAAAATTACCTGCTTGAACATATCTTCCTTCAGGTTGGAAAACTAAAAGAGGCCCACCACTGTCGCCCTGAAACGATAACAATATTTGGTTAGATTGTTTTTTTTTTGTTTTTTAATAACACGTTCATGCAGGCTATCAAATAGATTCATTTATACTAGTTAGCTTCTGCCAACGGTTTCGCCCGTGTACTCATGGGTTATAATGTTATTCCAGACCATAGATAATCTACACCTTTTTCTGTCATCCTATGCCTACAGCCACTTTGACATGCTTGAATAAAATGTCTATATGTTTCTCATGATCATAAGTTCTTAATCTACATCTGTTCCAAATTTCATCCCGATCCTTATAGCCGTTTTGACAAGATTTAGTAACAAACAAACAGACAAACTCGCAAACTTTCGCATTTATATTTTTTTTAAACGTTGCCTCACACTATGATTTTCTTCTGTATCATGAGCATTTACGAACATACAAGTTTACATACAAGAACAACAATCTGTGGATCACACAAAGTGTTGCTCCGTGCGGGAATCGAAACTTGGGCACGTCGCGCGGCAGCCGGTTGCCCAGCCACTGCACCAACTGTGCAGTCAATATAGCATACTAATAGGTAAGAAGTAAGATATCAGTTAGACACTTGCCTGACACCCATCCTTTCCCTTTGAGAAGGCACACATCATAGTAGGTTTGAGGTGCTGTGACAGTTGTGAATTCATACAATCTTCATCGGATAGTATTCGAAGACTTGCTTTTAGTAATACTTTTGACGATGATTTCTCAACACCCACTCTACCCCAACCGACTATAGTTCCTATCCTATTTGAAAAAACTTCACCTGGAATTATAGTAATATAACGATAATGTATTACGCTACAGATACGTTCGAAAACATTACTTTATCAGCGTAAATTAAATCGAAACAAAACCTTACTTTTCAACAGATTAAAAATAAAATATAATTAAAAAAATATTCTACGTTCTTTCAGATATTAAAATTGTATTTATTAATTTCAGGCATAATTATTATCATTTTCATAGTTCAGTTCTGAGACATATTAGATAAAAAATATTGGCGTGTAAATAGAAAATAATCCGCAAAACACAATTAAAAAAAAACTAAATAAAAATTAAATATTTTTTTTAATTACGTATATAACTCAACATTGTATGACGTAATACAGCCAGTTGTTTTATTTGATGGAATTAAAATATCCACATAATATTTTAATTAATAGATAATTTTGATGTTCTCAAAATTAGGAATTATGTATTTAGTTACATGATAAATATTAAAATTGATTACGACAAAATTAAATAACCAAAGGACATTATAATGAAATCATAAAAAATATCTACACCAATTATTAAAAAAAAAACTATTTCTTTTTTACAATTTTATGGCGTTAACATTTTAGTGCTATTTCGGCCAATAAGATATTGCCATGGAGATTTCGAAATAAGGAGTTATTATTTCCACTGAAATACTAAACTGCTGAATCGTTAGGTATCTACCTAAAACCGTTGTTCATTTATGTTTATAAGCATTTTTTCTTGAAAAAATTATGTTAAATGTTTTTTTACATACGTACCAGGTGTAGGTAGGCATATTGGCACGATAGTTTCACTGAATTCAACTGGCCGGTTCAAAGTAGCGATAGCAATATCGTTCTCATCTCTAACCGCAGTAGATGTAAACGCTTCATGTATCACAACCTTAGAAATATTTCGTTTCTCAACATTTTTTAAATCATCTATATTATCCAGTCCTATTAAAACCTCCATGGTTCTGAAATCATCCCTGTAAAACAAAACAAATTCTATTTTTGATTTTGACATAACGGCAACAAATAAGCGGGAAATATGTTTATTGTGATAAATTGAAAATACTTTTATTAAAAAAAACTACATTAATCCAATGTGAACCTTGCGTTCATGAAAATCCAATCAGTGGAAATATTGTATATTGTACTTATATACCTAATACTTTGATTATAATAATGTCGAAATAAAGTGTCAGTTCACGAAAAGCGGCCGTAGACAGTCAACTGGAAATGGTTATGATTTTATTTACTTACGACGAGCATGCATGAAAAAATTGATGACTGTAGATGAAGCGAAAGAGGTATGTAGGAATCGAAGTAATTGGCATTGCCTAGTCTCTGCCTACCCCCATGGGAGACAGGCGTGAAGTTATGTATGTATGTTACTTAGGTAGGTAAGTACGGTATATTATGTATAAAATATGATGTGAGAACTTGTACCATATAAATATTGTCAATCAGTATGTTCATACCAACGTAAGTAAAATGGCAATGTTTGTAAGTACCTGAGAACTTACCGGGTATAAAAAAATTAATTGAAAAACTAACTCGTTTACGTAGGTTGACTGGCAGCAGGTTTCAATGGAATTCTGGTTATTAGATAAGTATGTTTTATGGCTCACTGACGTAAACCTACGCAGCTAATGTTGGCTGTGCGACACGCTCGACGCTCGTATTGTAGTTTCTCGCCCGCATGAACATGAACCCCTAGTATAACTTGAAACTAGTCGAGTTACCTCGTAAAACGTGAACCATAAAACATAAATAATTTAAAATGTTTTACAAAAATTAAATAAGAGTACTATTTAGTTCATGTTTACCATTTAAAACAGTGTCCCGCGCTTAGAATGTGCTTGTTCGTGATCATCGCTCCACCGCAATGCATCCGTTCAATTTTCAAGATGGCCACGGTCCAGGGAAATGAATGCGGCTCCGCTCTCCTCCCTCCCACTATCCTCATCGACACCACTCTGTCTGAAGGCTTGCCACATTCTGCTCAGATACATATTAAAGAATATTGGATCCCTGCTAAGACGTACGGTGTAGATGAAATTAAGGCAAACGGTCCATGATAGTATCTACCTACCTACCTGCCTATTTATTTAGCAACTGCTTATACACTTCTTCAGTATTTATATTTTGAACTAGCTGTGCCCACAACTTCGTCCACGTGGAATAGTGATTCACAGCTCCTGCCCGTAGGTGATAGCCTGATAATATGTAGCCTATATGTTGACCCCACCTGTTAGTAATATTCATGCAAAAGAAGTAAATCCATACAGTACTTATTGAGTTTAGTTCGGACATACATACAGACAAACGGACAAAAATTCTAAAAACCATATTTTTGGTTTCGTTATCGAATGTGGATCACGCCACAAGCATTTTTTTAAAAATGTTCAATATGCAGTTTTCACTTTCCTACGATTTTATTGTATGTACTTAATAGATTAGCTTCATTAAATTTACATAATATGTGTATTTCGTACAAGCTTCAAGTTAGAGACAAAAGGTGGGTAAAATATTTTTTATCTCATGCCCCATGGAGGCCGTCCTATATAACATTATTCTTCGTACCGGTACCGGACAGCATCCTTCTAATCCAAATGCGTAAGTAACATGCTATGTATTCAAGTACTTATTATTTGTGGAGAACGTAACTTATAAAATAACTGGATCTCAATTGATTTGTTCCTTCCTAATTCACTCTTTATGGCAATGTGTAGTAAAGGATTTCTAAGCTTTATAAGTGTCTAATCCAATATTCTAGAGGTAGTCTATATTTTATACGTATTTAGGTAGTAATTCTCTTAATGCTGTTTTGGGTGCAAATTGTGACTCTTAAATTTTATAAGCTGGCATTGCATATTTGATTCAGGTGAAATGTTAATCAAAAGGAATGTCTTTTCGGCCTTCGAATTCGGACAGTTAACTGTTCCGTAGGAATCGGAGCGGGTTTAAGTGACACAATTCTCGACGCAGCGGCAGACCTCCTGTGAAACAACGGTCAGCAGCGCGTGTGTTGCACATAGAAGTAAGACAACTGCACTGGAAGCACGTGCATACTTATTTTATCACGGACTCGTTACATATCTAACCATAAAACAAACAATTTCCTTTAAAGGAATAACCTGCCATATTGATCGTGAATCATGACGTTTAATTTGCAATACAATAAAAAGATCATTATGTATTTTGATTTTTGTTTTTTTCAATCTCAAAAATATCAATAAACAAAATGAAGTGGAAAGTTAGGGGGCAATTTAATCTAAAGCTGGACTAATTACATTATTCGTCTCAGTTTTACGTATTAGTTCCGATGATATTGACGTTCACGTTTTTCCGCTTATTAAGGCAGAACGAAAGTATTTATATTCTTATTTCACTAACACGTTTTGAATAATTTCGATGTAGGTAATTACGTTGTAATACTTAGTTATCATCAATAAACTTACGACAGTCTGTGCCACGCACCAACTCCACCTAAAACAGGATCACTCTGTGATTTCGCGTAAGTTCGTGACAATGCAGCAACAGTATAAATTTGGAAAATAATACAGACCTGGCTGATCCCGATTAACAAGTAAATAGTACTCAATATTGTGAACATTTCAATATGTATGTTGGACACTGCACTCACTCATAGCCACTACCACCGCACTGTTTTCTGCAACCGATGTTTGCTTATTTACGCTCTACACGGATTTAAAACGCAGAAATTATCCACGCGATAATATCCTTGTAAATTTAACACGCTGAAGGTTATAAATTTTATCGTGAACATTAGAAGTATAATTTCCAAATGACATAATTAAATCAAACGTCGCTGCCCATTACCAGATTTGAGTTTGATCTCAAAGAATTTTAATAACAACAGAGCGTTCTATGCCCACCTCAGTATTTCGGTAAATATGTTTCAAAAGTCATAAACTTGTCAAATCGGTTCTCGATTCAATTTGTTTCTGTAGCCAATTTACGTATTTTCTTATCGCCAACCGATACGTTCTTCTACAGCAAACAATGAGAATTTTTTTTCTTATTAAAACGTTATGCATCGGAAACGAATATAAATCGTGTTAAATTGTTTGTTTATCAAAACGGGCTAGGATTATTACTTTTTCAGTTAAATAATACTGTAATTTTTCGATTTTTATTGTCCATCTTACAAAATGGTGACTTCTTAAAATTATACACAGTACGATCCTTCTGCAGTCTGCTGCCTGATCCAGGGAATGTACTTCCCCACGATTGTGTAGACACCTAAATACGAAAATGAATGTTTTGTTAATTTTGTAAAGAGTACAATAAATAAATAAAACATAAGAGTTTAGTTTTAAACACAAGATACCTGGATAATCCGGCATGGCACAGTCTATACCCCAGGATACAATACCTAAAAAGTAAACAGTGTATGTCAAATTCACATGCATTATAAAACAATAGGAACGACTTTATCAACAAAAATGGAGTTTTTGAAAACATACCAACTTGATACCACTTTTTGTTAAATGACCTTCGGTGAGTTGAAAATAATGGTCCACCGCTGTCTCCCTAAAATTAAAAGTGCGTTAAACTTACGTGAATACTAACTTCGCTTCTTTCCTGGGACTCGTCTCTCTTACGTCTACAGTCTAGAATACTCAAATAATTACCTGACATGCGTCTTTCCCAAGACTGTAAGCGCACATCATAGTATCACTGACCAGATTGTCCTTGTATATTGCCGATTTCTTACATTTTTCACCGTCCACAATCTGTACTTTGGTTTCAAGCAAATATCTTGATGATGTCAATGCACCCTGTCTGGTTTTACCCCACCCAGCAACTGTTAAAGGCAAGTTTCTAAAGTCCATTGCTGAAAACGAAATAAGTGATTAATTTTATACCTTAAATGGAACGAGTTAAAGATAAGATAGTGATTAAAACCCAACTTTTAAATTACGTTACATAAATCTGCTTTTTTTACTCACAGTCCTCCGGCAGGCAAATCGGTCGAACTTTCTCTGAGAACTTGAGTCGGCTGTCAAGAGTCAAGATTGCTATGTCATTAATGTCCCGAACAGCATTAGAGGTGAAATGAGGGTGTTTTACACCATTCTCAACGCGCATAGACACGTAAGAAGTGTCGAGTCGGTCATGCATGCCCACGTATACAGTCAGGTCCCGATAATGTATCCTATGAAGAATTAAAGGAAGTTAAACAGTATTGTTATAAAATTGAATGTATTGTTCTAAAAATGTGTGGGTATAAAAATTTCCAACCCAAAAGTGATGCAGTGTCCCGCTGTCAATATGTGCAAATCGGTGATGATAGCCCCTCCACAGTGCAACTTCGGTCCTAACATGAGCGACACCAGCCATGGGTACGCGTGAGGTTGTACGGTGGTGCCGCCCACTATACGCCGGTTATGCCCGGCGATACCGCACTCTACGAAAGTAAAAAAATATAAGTATGTTCAACAATAAAATATCATGATATTACAAGTCCTACTTGGTGTATTAAAAATAACTTACCACATGACGAATTTACTTTTTCTGCGTTTGCCTAAAAATAAAAATTAACATAATACGTAATACCATAAAACACCTTCTGCTTTATAAAATAATTTCAATTCGGAAAATCGTTACGATTTATGTTGCGATTTGCTGTGAGTCTTAACATCAATTTCTTTAAATTGGACAAATGCGTAAAACTAAATAAAAATTCTTATAATTTATAAATAATAATGCCAATAATGTTCTAAAAACAATATAAAGGAACTCACCCAACTGACTACAACACAAAGTACGAGCCATATCTTTATCATTTTATGGGCGTACTTAATACCAGGTAAACAGTTGACAAAAATTCCATCATCATCGGCATCGGTGGAATGATTTCTTCGACAATAAATTGTAATAGGAAATATATAAGAAATTAATTAAATTTCTGTTTGGGTATCGAAGTTCAATCGTGCGTAGATTACGACAGAGACATAATTGCGTTTTTCTTTTTCCATAAAACACACGCAGCGCAACAGAATAAAAACGTTATCATTAATATTGGTATGATTATTTTATCGCCATATTGTAATAAATAAAAATATACCTAATAATATAAGGCACTCGCTGTAAATTAAAAAATCATTCTTATAATATTACACATGGAAACAAAGGGATTATGCAACAATAAAATATTGTTATTCAAAGAAAATTGGTTGTTCATTCTTTGTCTTTATCTACATCCAGTTTTCCATTTTCCAACCATCCTAACGGCTAATCATTCGACCTTATTTTGTGAACAAATCATTCAAAATATTAAACCTTTGCCTCACCTATCAAAATACCTGATCCATACATACATCAAGCCCAATAATAAGATACACGTTTCGTAAAGAGAATCCAAAAACCTAATTTTGAATCTAATAATGAACCGTTATTCATAGTCCTTGGAAACTATGCAATTGCCTTCTATTTGCATAACCTTAAGAGAACAGCTTATAAAAGGAGACTCTTTCCAACACTTCATTATTAAAAATGATCGCGAGTTAAAAAATATTCAAAAGACTGAAGAAATATTTTGAAAATGTAAATAAGATTATTAAAATGAAATATATAGGAACTGATTATTCATACAAACATGAAATCGTTTGGAAAAATGTGATGGGATTTGTTTTCTTACATGTGCTTGCGTTTTGGGGTTTAGTTTTAATATTTACTGGAATAGCCTTATGGAAAACGAGTATATGGGGTAAGTGTTAAAAGTACATACAAATTATATTGTTTGCAGGGGCGTAATTGCAGGCTAATGATTGAATCGCTAAATTATTTCTTCATTTTATTCAGCTTAATTTATTTCTTTTTTTTCATGATATTTCAGCCTTATGTATTTTGTACATCGGCTCCGAAGGTGTTACTATTGGAGCTCATAGATGCTATGCTCACAGATCGTTCAAAGCCACGCCTCTTTTGAGAGCAGTCATGGTCATCACACAGACGCTTGCGGGGCAGGTAAACTTGTATAATGTGTAAATGTAATTAATCTAAAATGAAAAATTTAGAATACCTATATCTAATATCATTATTCTATTCCCAAAAGTCCGTTACCAGCTCCTACGTATAGTAGGTAGGTGGTAAACCCCTATACAAATCGATTCAATCAATTAAAACAAGTCAACTTCATGTAATTAATGTTGTAGCCAAGAGGAGATAAGGCCAGCCAGATAGTCAACGAAAATTAATTTGTTTTTATAAAACTGCAACTTGTGTAACTGTGGTTTGTGGTTTTTTGTTCATTTAACAGTCTGGAATTCATTGCATCAATTTATTATGATGGTACAGTAAAGTATTATTTTTTTTTGCAAACCTAGGTAGGTTGCGTAATTTGTTAGTTTCTATGAAATGTAAAACCCAAAAACTCCGACCATAGACCTAAATAAAAACGTAGTCAGAAATATCATTGATAAGCTGTAGAAGATAGATTACAGTCACTTTATGTCAAATACTATTCTTATTTTGTAAAATCTGGTACTCATTCGTAGAATTCTGTGTACACCTGGTGTCGTGACCACCGGCTCCATCATCGTTACTCCGACACGGATGCCGACCCTCACAACTCCAAGCGTGGCTTTTTCTTCTGCCACATCGGTTGGCTCATGCATAAGAAGCATCCCTATGTCAAAGAATTTGGAAAGATGATCAACATGAGTGACTTGCAAGGTGATTGGATGGTGATGTTTCAGAAAAAGTAATTTTGAATTCATCAGATTAAAACAAAATTCTATTAATATATCTAAAGGGCAATTACATAATGTTGCTTAAACTCTTTGCTGACTAGCTAACTATCTATGTTTAATATTTCAGGTATTACATAGTATTATACCCAATATTAGCAATACTGCTTCCAGTCTGGGTTCCAGTATATTACTTTGGTGAAACCTGGTGGAACTCACTATTCGTGAGTTTCTTTGCTCGCTACGTATGCCAGTTGCACGGGACGTGGTGTGTCAACAGCCTAGCACACCTCTACGGCACTAGACCGTATGATAAGTAAGTATATAGGTATGGAAATCACCACTTTACCAAGACACCGAAAATCCATCTTTCCTTTGAAAAACAAATCGCATTCAGCTGTATTTCATCAGTTATATCAACTCGCCTGAAAATAAAATTCTGAACTTTGCAGGAATTTGCAACCTGTGGAATCATGGTTCGTATCCTTTTTAAGTCTGGGCGAGGGTTGGCACAACTACCACCACGCGTTCCCCTGGGACTACAAGGCTGCTGAGCTGACCATGCATTTCAATCTATCCGCCAGTATCATTAGATTCTTTGAAAGGATTGGATTGGCTTATGAATTAAAATCTGCTTCTACTGATATTGTGAGTATACCTATTACTTACTGTTAAGGTACTTATTCCCAAAATTGTATGTCCAGGAATTTGGCATTATACTTTTCCATTCACTTTAATTAGTACCCACTTCTTTATCATTTACCTAATAACTTTATTTTTTCTCTTTCATTATTTAAAACTTTTGCAAAATCGCGGGTAATCGCTAGTACTTTATATCCCTCTTTTCTCTAGCCATCCCATTCCCTTCAACCTGTTCAATAAGTACGGCTCAGTGCACAGTTTACAGAACTCATATCCAGACTAGATTTTTTTTCATATTAGGTAGCCAGTCGTGTATTAAGGACGGGAGACGGCAGTCACTACAAGATGGGCACTGAAAAAGGACGCGCGGCTGTGACAACGTGGGGTCCACTACACCCTCTCAACCCGACCTATAACACTACTCTCAAGGCACCAGACGCCATACTCAAACCTAGAGAACTAACACCATGCAGTTAAATTAAAATTGACGTTGACACAAAAGAAAGTCTGAATATAGTTTAAGTTAAATAGATAATACCAATTTATTATGTAATTTATACTTTTAGTAATAATTTTATTATAGATGTAGTAAATTGTAGTGTGTAAAACTAGGTATCTTCTTTACTTTCCCTAGGGATATGTCGTAACAGGCGTTGCACCGTGGAGGCGCCGGAGCAGGTCTCTTATAGAGGACCCGGTGCCTCCATTCAGGTGTTGAGGGTGGCCACCGGGGTGGTTTTAGTGAGGTAAAAATCCCACACTCCCTAGTCTTTTATCCCCAAAAAGGCTGGGCGCCTTTTGAAGGTTTCCCCCCGTCATCAAAAAAAAAAAAAAAAAAAGGTATCTTCTTTACTTTATAAAAATTGATTAGACGTATTGTAATAAAAAATTGTATGACAAAGGCCGTGGGGAATTAATCTGTAACATTATATAAAAAAAAATATAGTTTAAGTATATTTACTCTTAATTTTTCCTAAGAATAATTTTGTTCAATCTACGATATAACTAATTAATACCAATCATTGTTCATTTGTTTCATCTGAATCCATAGTCTGATCATCCATGGTTTTTTAGAGGTTTAAAAATGTAAAGTAGAGCACGTAGGCCCAACAAACAGCTTAGCACATCTCCGAAAACGAAATACTAAGAGGCAAGGTCATTAGAATATGTAAATGTTTCCATTAAACGAAATCTAGCTCAACGAACAATGTCACACGTAATTAACATAAAACAACAATAGTTCAAGTTCTGTGCTCTATTGCAACAATGTATAAATTATTTCATAATAACAATTGAAATACACAAAAGATTTAAAACACCATTCATTACGATTATCCATATATATATTTGTATGTGTACAAACACCATGAAATATGTATAATTGTACCTGAAAAATTTGAAGGTGCAATTATACGTAGGTAGAACAACATCTCCAAGTAGGTTCTAAAGATCTACTTACCATATTGTAAAGAAGAATTTTAGACTAAGTGGTGCTTATTATAGAACAATATCGAAAGGCAAATAAAGAAAGAAGGACAATAATGAAAGAAATGCCTACAGAAATAAAGAATCTTACCAAAACCTGTTATGTTTTTGTACTAAACCACAAAACCATCTTTTTTTAAACTATCATATTTCAACCCCCTCTTTTTTAAGATGGTTAATTAACATACTAAAACCTTCTCCTACATACAGGTCATACTCTGAACCATCAATTTTTTTAAGTCGGTTAAAAATCTTTTTATGTCATAGAAATCCACAGCCATAAATGTATTGAAAAAAATAACCACAGATCCCACACTCTAAAACTAAAAATTGAACATCTGAACTTGATGATAAGCATCAACTCTATTGAAATCCAATCAATCTCACCAGCCATATGCCGCATGAGACAACAATGTAAGAATGTTGTAATACATTTAACATACAAAGAGGAGTTCAAGTTCGTTCAATTGCTCAAACATTATTGTGATCAAACAAGGTTTTTACTATACCTTTTATAAATACTGACCATAATTAATTGGATCAGTATCGAGTTGGTAAGTTAGGAGTAAACGTCTAGCAAAGAAAATGACTGCAGCAAACATGGAAACCAAAGCTCCTTCAAGTAACGATCTGAAGAATCCAATGAAAGATGGAAATGTGAATAAAGCAGAAACCATGGAAATTCCTAAAGTAATTGGAACTGATTATAGTTATAAACATACTATTGTATGGAAAAATGCTATTGGATTCTTGATCATGCATATCCTTGCTGTTTGGGGAATTGGTCTACTGTTCGCAGGGTACATGAAATGGCAAACCATAGTATGGAGTAAGTTATAGATACTAAAATATAATTAACTAAAATTTCATCTATTGACGTATAAAAATGTATTGTTATTTAACTTTTTTTCAGTTTTTTTCGTCACTTTTCTGGGTTCTGAAGGAGTAACAATAGGAGCCCACCGTTTCTACACACACAAATCGTTTAAAGCAACCCCGTTCCTTAAAGCTGTACTTATATTATGTCAAACTATTGCTGGACAGGTAAATAAATTTTAATAAACATTACTTACATCACTCCTGTCATTGCCCGTTAAATCTTCTTCTTCGAATTATTCTTCCTTTAGTTATTTTTAGGCTAGTGTGTTACCAAGCACCGAGTCTTATTACAGTTTTAAAGCTTACCTACCTGGGTCAATAAAAACCATTACCATTAATTTTCAATGCATCTGTTACACTATCTACGTTATTATCTTTTTTCAGAATTCTATGTTCATCTGGTGCCGTGACCATCGTCTCCACCATCGTTACTCCGACACTGACGGTGACCCTCACAACTCCAAGCGTGGCTTCTTCTTCTGCCACATTGGTTGGCTCATGCATAGGAAGCATCCCTATGTTGTAGAACTTGGCAGGAAGATCGACATGAGTGACTTACAGGCTGATTGGATGGTGATGTTCCAAAAGAAGTATGTTACCATTCTAAATAATGTTTTTAACACACGATTTTTTCTGTATTAAGTCTTCTTTGACTGTGATATTCAAATCACCAAGCATTTGTAGGCTGTGTTACAAATCTATAAAATCTTTCAAACGTTTCTGGCTTTCTGGGATTGTCAGTTCATCAAGAGACCTCTATTATTTATGACTAGTTATGAGAGCTTACTTAACTCTACATTTTTCTCTCTCTTTTCAGGTATTACTATCACCTATATTTCGTCTTGGCTTTCTTGATACCTGTGTGGGTACCAGTACATTTCTTCGGTGAACCTCTATTACATTCCATTCTAGTTTGTTATTTCGCCCGTTACGTGTTACAATTGAATGGAACTTGGCTGGTTAACAGCGCTGCTCATCTTTATGGAACTAGGCCTTATGACGCGTAAGTACATATATACTTATAATATTTAGTATGTTAGTCATAATACCTCATCAAATTATTCGAATTTTGTGATATATCAACGGAATTAATAGTCGAGTCTAGTCAAGATTTCTCGACAAATGCAGTTCTAATTACAAATGCCAATATTATTTAACAGTAGGTACCTATTATATTAAGTGACACTTGATTTTCCTACAAACTTAATATTTATACTTATGTTTTCAGAAAACTACAGCCAGTAGAGTCATGGTTTGTCTCAATGATAAGTCTGGGCGAGGGTTGGCACAACTACCACCACGCGTTCCCCTGGGATTATAAGGCAGCTGAGCTGACCATGCACTTCAACCAATCCGCCAGCATCATACGATTCTTCGAAAGGGTTGGATTGGCTTATGATCTCAAAACCGCTTCACCTGAACTGGTAAGTTTTTTTGATTTAAATGAAGAAAGATATAATGTGTCTGGAAGCCAAAATAACAATAAATCCTCCTTTCTTACAATTTTATTCATCAACAGCCTATAAATGCCCACTGCTGAGCAAAGCCTCTTCTCACACGGAGAAGGTTAGAGCATTAATCATCACGCTTGCTCAATGCGGGTTGGCGATTTCAAACTTATAATTAGAAATTATAAGTCCAGGTTTCCTCACGATGTTTTTCCTTCACCGTTTGTCAATGGTGTCTAAATAATCTTAGAAAGTACATATAACTCGGAAAAAGTCACATTGGTACTTGCCGTTGGTAGGTTTCGAAGCCGCACCCTCATGCATGAGAAGTGGGCGTCTTAAACCTCCGGGCCACCACGACAATTTTATTATATTTGAGATAAAAATTAATATAAAAACGAAATGCAAAGCTATTTAGATAACAACTAAACTTATGTCGGACGCCTTCCTAAATAAAATTAGGACAATATATTTATTTATTTATTAACTCCAGCATTCCCATTTGTAAAAAGTAATTAGGATGATAAATAACGTAAAATAATAATGTGCTAACTACAATAACTCTATCCATGTCCACAAAAAGGTATCAAACCGGATCATGAGAACTGGAGACGGCAGTCACTACAAGATGGGCACTGAAGAAGCACGCGCGGCGGTAACAGCGTGGGGTCCACTACACCCACTCAACCCGACCTACAACACCACTCTCAAGGCACCAGACGCCATACTCAAACCAGAAGGATTACCACTCTATCACGAAAAGGATACTCTCAATCTCACTGTCATACAGAAAAACTCCAGACGTGGTTGATTATTGTCAAAAGTGTCAAATGTCAGCCTTTGTTAAAGTATTCGTAAAGTGTAATTCATAGTCAATGTCTTAGCTAATAATGATTTACGGCGCATCGCGTTGCACCACAGATGGGGCCCAATAGGGCTGAAGCTGATACGGAGCCGCGGAGGACTTAACAAGTTCCCGGGGTTTTGGCTCGAAGAGCAGAAGTAGGAACGGGGTGGTTTTTAGTCAGTAGGAGTCTGACACTCCCTCCCGCCTCACCCAAAGCGGCAGAACTCATTCGTTGATTAAACCCCAAATATAAAGCTAATAATGATTATTTTTGTGACTTTAGATTTTTATCAAGTATTTTATGTTAAGTTAGTTTTAAGGACTGATTAAATATACGATTTCGTTTTTACAAAATTATGCGTGTGTTGTGATTGTCTGTCCTCTGAAATTTTTAAATTATTTTCACAAGGCAAAGTACCTACCTATGTCTTTTTGTGTGACATCGAAAAAGTTGGTTTTATTTCGATGGTTTTGAGGAATTTGTTACTTTGTTCATTCAAGTAATATGCACCATCAAATCAGACTTTTATTTTTTATTTCATGAAATTATCAATAGCATAGATCTTAGACATTTCGGTGATTCATTTTTATATTTACATATATTTAGATACGCCTTCACAATAAACCATAAGTGTTACTGTATAGCAATTTCATTCATATAATTTTCTATGGTAAGTATGCTTATAAAATGAAACCTCATTACTTTGAGAGCAATAAATGTAACAAGCTAACAAATTGCCACTTATGCAAATTACTTGGAATTGGTCCATCAATCCAATTTCGCGATTTGTAACACACATTAACACTTAGGTATTACTATTAGCTGGTTGGTATCGGAAACATCTTGCAGATTGTGTATTATTTTAATCAATTTGTTAGCACGCTTTTACTAGTTCATCCGGTGCCGGTAGCGAACTATGTATATTGTATGTAAAATACGTATAAATAACGATAAAAGAATTTGTTTATTTCATAACAAATTAGAAAATATATCTAATAATAATATCAAATCAGAAATAAATAGAAATATAAATTCACTCAGTGCAAAAACATCCAGTTGTGACAATACTTCGGATCCAGTCGACATATTTCGTGACCCGGGTGTAGACGCCCGGGTAGCCTGGACGACCACATCCTATGCCCCAGGAGACCACACCTGTAAAACAAATAATTATGGGAATGATGTAGAATACAAAACAACAATTATCATTGATTGTTATAATTTTCTATTTTGCCGGTCAAGGAGTCTCGGATTCGATTCCCAAGTCGGGCAAAGTTTTAATACTGGGTTTTTGAAAAAATTTCTAGTAGTAGCACGGAGCCTGGAATTGTACCCGGTATATGGCAATAGGCTCACCCTCTATTAGAGGTACATGGAACTCAACATAAATAGTGAAAAGTGGGTGTTACATAGTACGGTGGCATTAACTGCCGTAGTGTGCACCTCTGCCTACACCTTTGGGGATAAAAGGCGTGATGTTATGTTATGTAATGTTATTTATTTATTTGACTTTTGATCTTTATGTCCTCTAATGGTCCTAATACTATAATTACTCTACAAATAAAGTAACTTAAACTTTAATTTTATGTAAATTTTAACTAATTGCACACGAGCACATGTTTTGGCTAAACCGCGCTTGGGTGATGTAAAACCTTTGTGGAATATACTTAGCAAATATTTCAACCGTGTCTTACTCTTACCTAGTTGTTCATGACGTTTGTCATTCCTCTCAGCTGAAAGAGGACCACCACTGTCTCCCTGTAAAGAAGAAAACCATGCACGATTTTAAATAACGCACGCAACGCATTTTAAATAAGCACGAATTTAAATTTTTAATTTCATTCGCTCGCGAACTGTCGAACGCGCCGGTCGGGTACTAACAACTTAATTATTCTGTGCGAACTACCCCCTAGCCTCACCAAAAATGACCAAATGTGATATTTGCAACAAGGGAATCACCAGCAGATCTCCGGGCCTGGAATGCCAGTCGTGTGCTAAAACAGTCCATGCAAGTAAAGCCTGCTCTGGTCTTACTGCTAAACAGTTGTCAGCCCTTCGCAATGCGGACGGTTTAGACTGGATTTGTGAAGAATGCAATCGAAACTCGCCGAACCGGAAATCATCCTTCTTCGTACCGGAAGAGGAAGACGACGAAGAAGAAGTGGAAAACCCAAGCAACACCGTGGGGAACATAGACAGTGAAAAGTTTCTGAAGGATATCATAGCCGAACTGAAAAAAGTGCTGAAGAAGGAATTGCAACCAATAGAAATATCAGTGGGGTTATGTAGCAAAAGAGTAGAAGAGCTAACTAAAACTGTGGAAGCACAGAACAAACACATACAAGAATTAGAGAGGAAGTACACCCACCTCAAAAATGAAAAAACTCATTTAGAACTTGAAGTTAGTTCATTGAAACAACACGTACGCAGTATAGAGCAGCAAAGGCTCGATAACGTGATTGAAGTAACTGGAGTCCCAAAAACCGAAAATGAAGATCTGGATGGGATCGGCTCCAAGTTGGCCGAAACCCTCAATGTGGATAAATCACATATATTAAATATTAAACGTCTGGAAGGTCGCAATGAACGTGATGGCAACATTCAACTGGAGATGAAGCAAGTGGAATACGCTCAGTCTTGGGTACGTGCGTGCAAAAAGGAAGAGGTACGGCTTGAACAAATTATACCGGCAGCCACTGTAGAAGTCTCAAAATCGAAAATTATCCTACGCCGCGCTCTGACAAAGGCTAACAAATCACTATTATGGCTAGCTCAACAAAAACTGAAGCCAGCCTATAAATATGTCTGGTTTCAGGATGGAAAAGTTCTCCTACGAAAAGAGGATAAAGACAAGCCTATAGTCATAAGATGTGAAACAGATATCATTCGACTTTTGTCAACAACGCAGACCGGAAATAAATGTACGTATCGGTAACAGTTCTAACATAAGTTATCCCAGTTATCCCTCCCGATAACCACGAACTTTTTGATTGTGCAGACATTAATGAGTATAACAAGCTTTTACCGTCAATTTACCAAACTTACTTAAATATTGCTCACATAAATATTAGATCCTTAGTCAAAAATTTTTGTTATGTAATACAATTAATCAATTCATCTAAAATTACTATTGATGTTCTAATCCTAACAGAAGTTAACATAAACGAAAACATTCTTCCTATGTATAACATCAATGGCTATGATTTGCACAGTAAGTTGCGTAAAAAAAAAAAGGTGGTGGAATAATAATTTATGTAAGAGAGGGTCACGTATTTGCACCATCGAATTACTGTACAATGCACTGTGAATGTATTATAGGTCACATAACCACACCTCAAAATTATCAAGCATACATATGTGCAATTTATAGGCCACCGAGTGAAAGTAAGCATCTATTTGTTAAGGAAATAAGCAGTATTGTTTCTTCTGTTAACTCATGCGACACTTATATTCTAGGAGACGTAAATATTGATCTGAAAACATATGATAACATTCGAGAATATTACATGAGTAGCATGTCCGAATTTGGTCTAGTAAGCGCGATATCTGACTACACTAGAATTGAAACTCGCAGAAATAACATTACACGTAGCTGTATAGATCACATATTTGCAAGAACGCGCTCGTTGCACCTTTACTCGGCCGCACTCGGTACTGTAATGGCTGATCACCGCATGTTAATACTATCCTGCTTGGGATCGGACCCAATGCGTATACAAGGTGTTACAAAAAAAATTGAGAAAATTGATAATGTCAAAATGAAATCACTATTAAATAACATAAGCTGGAGCGAAGTAGATACTACAGAATGTCCGATAGCTATTTATGATTGCATAAGAAATCAATTTGAAAAATGTTACGAGGAATCTAAATACACGAAAATAATTAAAAGTCATAGTAAAAGAAACATACAGCCATGGATAAATAATAAAATTAATAACATGTGTAAAAGAAAAGATCAATTATTCATAAAATGGAAGAGTGATCCAACAAACAAAATTCTGCGATTAGAGTATAACAAATTAAGAAATAGAACGCACAAAATAATCGAAACATCTAGGAATAAATATTACTTAAATCAAATAGATAATAATAAATCAAACCCCAGAAACCTATGGCAAATACTCAATAATTTGTCTGGTCGTAACAAGACTTCGGTTGACGAGTCTATCCTGAAAGCCTTCAAAAACAGTCATTTAAAAATAAAATCTATCGCGGATAATTTTGCTAAAGAATTCAGAGACAGCGTTCAAAAAATCTTGCCAAATTGTAAACATCGTTTATTAAATGAAACAGAGTATATGTTTCCCCATAACTCGTCAATTTGCTTTAGGAAGGCTACAAACAGCAGTGTGACTAAAATAATTAAAAATCTCAACGCAAAGAAGGCACCTGGCATAGACAATATTAGGTGCATAGACATAAAATCAATATGTAACAAGATGGCCAGTGTTATCGTAAAGTTAATTAATACTAGTGTTAAACAAGAAAAGTATCCGGGAGTATTGAAAACCGGTATAGTGCGCCCTATACATAAAAAAGGCAGCTTAAGTGACTATAAAAACTATAGACCGATCACTATTTTGCCGGTTATTGACAAAATAGTAGAAAAATATATCTGTAAACAGATACAAGATTTTTATGTCAAACAGAACGTGTTGTCCAGTACACAGTATGGTTTTCAAGCTAATAAGTCTACTTCACAGCTGCTGTCAAAATTTACTGATGAGGTCAATGAATCTCTCAATGCCAGAAACCATGTACTTTTGCTATTTATTGACTTCAGTAAGGCTTTTGACACGCTTAAACATAACACGCTGTTGACAAAGCTTGAAAACTCTGGGATTCGGGGGCCAATGCTTGGGTGGTGTAAAGACTACCTGAACAATCGAAAATACACTGTTAAAATCAGTACTGAGATGAGTGATGCTGTTGATGTCACTGACGGGACGGCTCAAGGCTCAGTAATTGGGCCTTTGCACTACCTGACTTATGTCAACGACATGGAGCATGTGGTAAATCACTGCTCAATTTATCAATATGCAGATGACACATGCCTTGTAGCAGCCCACAGAGATGTTAATATAGCAGCGCACTGGTTACAGGAAGATTTTACTAGAGTCTCCAAATGGGCACATGATGCTGGACTGGTTATTAACTCCAGTAAAACTAAAATAATACATGTCCATTCAAGCCACTTGAAGCTAATGATGCCTTTTAGTATTGTATCACATAGTCACGGTTGCCTTCACTCCACGCGGCGAGGCGCGTGTCGCTGCGAGGAAATTGACCAGGTAACGCACCACACGTACCTAGGACTAATCGTAGACGACCGTTTCAACTGGTCTTTTCATGTCGACTTAGTGTGTGACAGGTTACGGGCAATATTGGCTAAGTTCTACATATTGAAACCGAAAGTTCCATTTAAAACACTACTTAGCATGTACATGGCCTTGGCGGAATCAATTATTGCATACGGAATCACAAGTTACGGGCGTACCTTTAAAACACTTGTTGAAAAGATAACCAAATTGCAGGTTCGATTTCTAAAACTTATGGTCCCGAGTAAAATAAAAGACAAATGCAGAAATAACGTCACAGAATTATTTAAATATTGCAAAATATTACCTGTACAGTTTCGTTTTGATCTAGCCTTCTTGAGTGAACAATTTAATAATAAAAGTATTCAAGTACCCATTTCGCATAAAATAATCACTAGGAATATTACCAAAAATAAATTAATAATACCTCAAGTTAAAAATTATTATGGCAGACGAACCTCTAAATTTATAATCCCCACAATAATGAATGAAATTCCACAAAATATCAAATACGAAATTAACTCCAAAAACTATAAACAGAAATATAAAAAATACTACCACAGTATCATAAATAACATGGTCTAAAATTATTCACGACCAAATGTAGGAAACAGCCTGTATATTACAATTTTTTAAGTTGACGAGGACCGGTTACATATTGAGAACTAATACAAGACATAATGCCAATGTAGCATATTGTGGGGTAGACTGCAAAAGTTTAACATTGGCTAGTGCCGTGTGTGTCGGTATCGGTTTCTTCGAGTACTTTGTTTCTTTGCAATTTTAATGAGTACGTTTATGCTTTGCTCATGGATGTTTACTGTTACTCGTAAAATATGTAATGTATCTAAAATCTTTGTCACTTATTATATTAGCATAATTGTCACACTGAATGGGTTTATAAATTTATAACATAAAACTGCGAATGTGAGTACCAATACAAACCAGCTGTGGTTTAATGGTGAAAAAAAAAAAACAACTCGCAGCTCTAGCCAAATGCCATTTAGCGCTTGTCTAGCCACAAGTATTGAAATTTTCAAAATGAAACGTGCTCACGTGTATATTTTATATATATAAAAAACTAAGAAAACCTATACTCAGTACCCATATATGTATGTCCAAATTAAATATTTAGTATTCATTACAGTTAGTTCAGTACTTCGTACATTAATATTTTTAAGTAAAGATGAACATATTTTTATTTTTCGTCATCTACTATAAAATTAGGCTTTACCATGCCATACAATTATAATATCACACACCTATACCCACTGTGCACTACTGCATTGATATATGCATCAAGCTAGATCAAGGATCATTTTTCCTACTAAAAGTTCTTTATTTATCTACCAATAATAAACGAAACGTATATCCCTGACTGATGACTGTTGAGGAAGTGAAATCGTAGCAATTGACGTGGTCCATTAAAGTCTCTGCCTACCCCCATGGGAGATAGGAGTAAGGTATGTATGTACCTGACAAGTATCCTTCTTCCCTACTTCTGGGTACCCAGCACACAGCATGCCATCACCAATCATTTGTGAAGTGTAGTTGGCATTCTTGCAAGCTTCGTTGCTTAGTATCGGGAGATCCACTTCTTGAAGGTAGCAGGAGTGGTTCTTACCCTCGGCTACGGTACCCCAACCAGCGGCCATTGCTTTAACGCCTACATATGTTTTGTCTGAAAGTCATTTGTACTGTTAGGACTCTGTATTATTATCCTCCTTTTTCCGATAACAGCAAAAAAAAATTGCTTATGGGTGTTCTGAAAGTTTCCAATCTGCAATTCACAAGTCATCGATCTATTAAATCTATTAAAATGCTGCTAAATTGCTTACTTTTGTGTGAAATATTGTTTCTCAGAAAGCGAATTATGTATGTGATTCTTTGTGAGAAATAAAGATATTCTAAACCTAAACCTAAATCCTGTCCAAGGCTAACTTTTATGTAAATTTTGTGTATAGGAATATACCTAATTGATTCTTCACAGAAATATCATACCTAAAGATCTATCAGAGTACATAATTGTTAAGATTTTGCGAAGTAACCGTTAGCAATTCACAAGTTTTATTTAGAAGACAAGGGCCAATAAAATCCTTAGAAATTCAATACCGTTCAATATAAATTACTGTTATTTGGAATTACCATATTACAATAGCACCACATAAAGTAAGACTTAGTCACAAAAGTTGTACCCACAGCTTGAAATGTTTCAAAGAAAGGAAGGAGATGAGGCACATTCAAAACCCACAAATAAACTAAGTCTTAAATCATAATTTCATCGTATTTTTGAAACTAGGATTGATTGAAGTTACACGTCAACAGACCGTGATAGTCCTCTGTTGGGTTTTAGGCTGTAGGCCTAAGTGAGATTGCGTTACCCTTGCTAGGTGAATAATAATCAAGTAATCAAATATTTATTGCATCTATAAGGTACACATACGGGTGATTAGGATTTCCTAATCGACAGGGTCTGTAATTGTTACTATTGTACATATTTATGTACAATAGTAACAATTACAGACCCTGTCGGTCAAAGCAAAATAGTTTTAAAAGGTTCAGGTTTTTAGCCCTTTAGTTGGTGTTGAGAGAAGATTTTTTTTTATGGGACAAGCCCACCACTACCTCCCAAAACCACTGCAACTCCTGTAAGCCAGGATCTACAGTAGATACAACCATGAAAACACCGAAACATTGAATTCCGGCGCGTCCCAGGGACATGAGTAACTGTCTTGGTTCCCGCAACGAAGTAAATCAGAAAATATTATAAGAGGAGAAGAAGAAAAAACTATAGTTTCCACTTCCCTCGGTGAATTACTGCAGGAGACAGAATGAATTAAGCCTAAAGGCACAAAGAAGAGACTGTACAACTGGGTGAAGCCCAGTCGTCAAGCACCACGGAAATTTGACTAAAAAACTAAGTGGGTCCTATGTGTGAGTTGTTATACTTGCTGTTGAGAGAAGATGTGGTGACAAAAATATAAGTAGGTATGCAGGTATATTATTCTGCTAAGGCTACTATTTAAATAATAATGAACTGTCATTATATTACCGTCACTCCGTGGCAAACAGACAGGCTTTACAGTATCTGTGACCTGCACTGGTTCGTTCAGCTTGAGGACAGCGATGTCATCCCGAAATGTAGCGAAGCTGAAGTTATGGGAGACCATTTGGACGACATATCGGGTCACTGGACGATGTGTAGTGTTACAACGGTTGTGCTCACCCAGAGTCACTTTGATCATGAACCACATGAATCTGGAATATGGAAGAAGAATGATTTGCTAGATAAGAGTCGGACCTACTTAAAGTTTACTCAAATATACGACTTCGCCACACCACACGCTGCTAATAAATATGAATCTCGATGTGACTAAAAACTAGTAAAGAGTAGTTAGATTTGAGGAAATCAAATAATTCGCGTGCGTAAGCCGTATATTTAGTTTTAGTAGAAGAACCTATCTTAACTGATAACTGACGTGATTTGCCGGAACTTAACTCAACGTGATATAGCGGCAGTTCAGGTTGGTACTCTGGTAATATCAATGAACAAATGCCGTAGATTGAAATCATTGAAAATTTAAATTTTAACATTGGTTATTATTTAAAATCGTTTCAGTTTTAGATAGTTTGATTTTGAAAAGGTACATAAAATACGTAAGAAAACAGGAGAAATAACTTGTCAAAACTATTTCAATAATAATATCGGCAAAAATCATTGTGTTAATTTTGATTGTATATCCTACATACGTCTTAACACAATGTGCAGCAGTGAGTACGTATCTGTCGTTGATGAGGGAAGCACCGCAGTAGAACTTGTTATGAAGTGACAGTCGGGCCACCCAGGGGAACTCGTTCACAGCCGTCTCCACCCCACCGACTATTCGCGAAGCTTCATTTCTCTCTCCACAACCTGGTAAAATCAGAATAAGTAATGCAATCTTGTTAATATTGTGTAATAGTGTGTTTATGTGTTTGTTTGTTACTCACGTCAAAACGGCTGATGGGACCGGGGTGGAATTTGGAACAGGGATAGATTATGGTGTGGAATAACTCATAGGCTACTTTTTATCCCACGGGAACGTCGTCGAAGCCGTGAGCAGAAGCTAGTAGAAAGAATATTGTCGGACTTTTGCTGCTTAGAGGATGCTGAATGATAGAGTTGAAAGTTGCAAATACCTAGTGCTTATATCTGGCTAAAAGAATTGTAAGACACTTTGCCCACATGACTCGCAGGAGCAATGATAGTTTCGTTTGACTAATGCCGAAGTCCGAAGAAACAGTCGGATCAGATATACTGGTAGATGTCCCACCCACACGCATGAAGCGCTTCGCATCAAGCTTCCTTGTCTGTACTGCTAAAGAGTGGAATTCTTTGCCAGAATCTATATTTCCTGAAGGACTTCCAAGTGAATAGGTTGCTTATGGGACCGTAGACCGCATCATCGCTTACCACCAGGCGTGATAGAGGTCAAACGTCGAAATCCGAACAGCTAGACCTCATAGTTAGAAAAGAATTGTACTGGACTACGGACGACGACCAATGGAGACGTGCTGATGACTGAATAAGAAAGTGACAGAAAATGTGGGATAGCTTAAAAACCTAAAATTTTGTAAAGTTATTGAGGTCTCCAAAAAGTATGTGACGGTAACGAATAACCGTCTCATCTTTTTTGTGTCACGCATAATAATAGGTCGGTCACGATAAAATATGGTAACAACATTAATGAATTATAAATCTTATCGTACATTAATTAAATGTAGACTTTATTTTAATTGAATTAAAGTTGAAATAATTAAGTTTCCCAAGCATGTCCAACAGTATTATTTGCTTGACCATTGACTCGAAACCAAGAAAAGAGTCCTTATTTCTTAAAGGAGTTTCTTTAGAAGTCGATCTATTGATTTCCTTAGCTTCTGTGTAAAAACACTACCAGTTTAAAAAGTTGTCTTTATCGTCGTTAGTCCTTAGAGCATGCTAATTTAGCGGCTATTTTTGTTGTGAAATACTTATTGATAAGATCTAATATACTATACCTAAAGATAGATTGAAAGAGAATTCTGAGGTCATTAAAGCACACCTAACAAACGGCGTTTTGATTTGGAAACAATACAAAGTGACATACAAAGACATACGATTTAAAGTTCATATTTGAATGACAGTGACATTACTAGGTTGAAGCCGTGCCGGAGTCGTACTTGTTAGGTACGCGATGACCTTAGTTTGCATATGTACAGTATTAAGATAAATAAATAATACTTACGACAGTTGCATTTCCGTGCATACTCTGTAGGTTCAGGCGCAGGTTCGGTCACCGGGTTAGTTATAGGTTCGGTCACCGATTCGATATCATTCTCTGCCCCCACCTTGAATTATTTTCATTCAATGGACCATTTCTATGGTTATTAACCCGAATTTAAAACATTACTTAAATGGTTAAAGGTAAAGTAGGTAAGTATCGATTTACATGTACTACTTAAGACTTAAGACACTAAATTAACCAAAAATCGCGGGTTACTCACGTAAATATACTGAGAAAAGCTCTACTTGTTTCTAACCACACAGCCATTGAGTAGGCTGCGCGACATCGCCACGACCGCGCACGCTGCTCATGAGGAAGAACCCCTCTGTAGTTCGAAACTAGTAGAGCTTGCCTCAATATTTTCACGTGTGTTACCCGCGATTTTTAGTTAAGTTATCTGTTAAGTCACACTTCGATAAAATAATTTGACATCTAAATTTATATCTCAATTCAATGTTTCTTATCCTTAGTTTTAAGTTTTAAAGAATTTATTAATATACAGTTTATGTTCTTCAAATCTCAGATATGAACATCGTACAGAAAAGTTACATTTTCTTTAAATAAATAATACTTTAATACAGTATCTAAATACTCGTTACTCACCACGACATTTGTGTACACTCCAATTATAATCACGAACACAATCTTCCACATAGCGCAAAAAATCTATTTCGATCAAAATTAACCGTCTTCTACGGACTAGACGTGCATTTCCCACAACGGGATGCTGTATACAGGAATGAGGACGATGTACTCCATCGAACCAGGGCCATAAACTTGAACTTGTATTCAGTGTATACCAAGACATCTACATCATACTGGTACAGAGATATAGACCAAAGCCGTTTCTGGGTCATTTTACTAACCATTGCACTATTACATTGATACAACTAACAAAGTAAGCTATGTTTGCTAGCAATGTATTCGAAAACTTGCGATATTTATATTAAACTTGACTGCAGAATTCTTGTTCCAATATTATCATAAAATTCAAACCAAAAGTATCAATACGGTTAAGTATTATACGGAATATGAAGATCCCGTTACTTGCGCATACGCATTGTATTAAAACATGATGTCATCCCGACATAAGTCTATAATCTACACTTCGGATAAAATGTTACAAAAAATCAATAAGTCAATAAAGAACCGTTGCTATAGCAACAAACATATATAATTAACTATTCAAATTAGCTATCAAACAACGGAAATATGATGAATAGCGTACAATTTGTTTACGACTATAACTGTGTTGTCAAAACTTTACTAAAAGAAATAAAACAAACCTGCACGGTAATAAAACGTAGTTTATTGCATTTTGCTGTCATCGTGGACAGAAACAAATAGCGAACTTTGAAAAGAGAACATTATTAAAAAAATAAAATATGATATCATAAATATACAGTTTTTATATAGCTACAAAACCTAATTTCACTATATGGCATTATAAAAAAGGCTTGTTTGTTGACACACTGGTGGCCATTGCAGTTCTGTGGGTACTTTCCTTAATAAAAAATAAATTACTTCGACAGTAAATACAATGAAATATAAAAAAAAATCGCACTTTAATTTATTAATTTTATGAACAACTTAATTTTAGTACTTTTTTAGCAAAATTTTAAGTAATAAGTACGGTGTTGTACGCTAAAAAACGTGACGTCACAATACACAATCTCGTACATAAGTATCGGTTTGACGGTTCGAAAAAAGTTTTTGATTTTGACTAGTTGACAAGTACCCAATTGGACTGCACACTCAGTAACGGCCGAAATTAATAACTAAACTTACTGGATCGACTTAAGGTTTTGACAGAAAGTCAGTCTCAATCCAATCAAAAAATTTTGTATGTAAAAGGCGTTATGTTATATCACGCCTTTTATCCTCGAAGGGTTAGGCAGAGGTGGACAGTATACCACTGTACAATGTAACACCCACTGTTCCCTAATTATGTTATGAGTCCCATGTAATAGGGGGTGAGTCTATTGCTATATGTATACCGTGCACAGTTCCAAACTCCGTGCTACTACTGATTTTTTTTTTTAAAAAACCCAATAATACTTTGCCCGACCCGGGAATCGAACCCGGCAGTCGCAATTGCGAGCACTAGACCAACGAGGCAGTCAGAAAGTTTGTATAATATCAGTTACTATTTTTAGACGTACATCAGCGATATTATATCCCGCAAAAACATCATAGACAAATTCTTATGAACTAATTTCCTAAACTACCTATATATAAATAAGTGTCTTCAATATTTGCAGTAACACCCCTCTTGTGTGTTGTCTCTGATCCAGTCTAAGTACTTCGTGACCCTCGTGTATACTCCTGGATAACCTTTCCTGGCACATCCATATCCCCATGATACTACACCTGTAAATAAAAATTAAGGGATCTGTAACTTTTTTTAAAAAAGCACTTCAATTAGGTATATTAGAATGTGTCATACTTTTCTTAATAAAGTGTTAATAGATATAAGATCAAAGTAGCCAACCTTTTTAAGGACAAATCAGAGAGAAAGAATAAATACTTATTTATACTATATCTATATATATAAAAATTAAATCCGTTTCCCGTTGTCACGCCATAACTCAAGAATGGCTGGATCAATTTGGCTGATTTTTCTTATAGAAAAAAATCTTGAAAATCTTATGGGAACGGGAGAAAACGGGATTGCGCGTACGAAGTCGTGGGCAGAAGCTAGTCTTGTATAGAAACAAACAACTAATTTACCTATTAAATCGTACATGTGATCTTCATTCTCTGTAATCAATGGTCCTCCACTGTCACCCTAAAAATAAAATTAAATGCCGATGTTAAAACACAGAAACAATGTTCTGAAGATCATTTTCATACATCTTACGTCCAGTTTCTATAACCTATCTATCTGTAGATTTGCTTACTAGAGATAGAATTATGACATGAGCTCCATACAAGATGTATCAAAATTCTATGTCTAGTAAGCAAATCTACAGATAGATAGGTTATAGAAACTGGACGTTAGGACTATATACATTGACAATCTACATCCAAAACCAACTTTAAGAGATAGTAAATTCTTTAATACCCATTTGAGTCAAGAAGGAGTGATTTTAAGCATGATCGCTGAGAAAAACCTATTGAGTTTGTCGAATTTTGCCCACTTGCCACACTAGGCTCGTTTTCTATTGTATAGTCATGATATGGCTGGTAAAAAGCAGATGTTTGGTAATGTGCACTCGGCCTACGCGAGATAAATACTACATGTAGGTATAGTATAACTAGCTACTTCCGCGCGATTTTACACGCTCTGCTCAGCTCCTATTGGTCGTAGCATGATGTTTTATAGCCCATAGCCATCCTCGATAAATGCGGTATCCAACACAAAAATAATTATTCAAATCTGACTTGTAGTTACGGAGATTAGCGCGTTCAAACAAACTAACAAAAAAACAAACTTCCGCTTTATGTAATAGTATAAGATTATATGTTCAATACATAGAACTCGTAATTTTGTTGTCTAAGAATCTTACTCACAGTACAAGCATCCTTATGCGCGGTCTCAGGGAATCCAGCGCACATCATGACCTCCTTGATCTTGGTGGCATTGTAATTAGTGTTGCGACAGGCCTCATTGCTTAACACCGGCAGCTCTGCCTCCCGCACCGTGCACGACCACTTGCCTGTCTCGTTCATTGCTCCCCATCCCGCTACTATCGCTGTCTTACTCGTGTATGAATTGTCTGGAAGGTATAGCAAGAATTGTGACTATTTTCAACACAAAAACCAAAGAAAAATTAAAATCTAGGTAGGTTTTATTTCATACATATCTACCTTACAAGCAAAGATTTGATGAAAGAGAAAGAAAGAAAAAAAGAAAAACTTTATTATTTTCACGCTAAAAAACAAGTGGCATATAACTACAAATGTGTTATTCTATTAGTAGGTGCTGATGGATTCATTTTCATGTCCCAAGTCTGCCGTCAAATGAGACCAGTTCAGCATGTGTAAGATAGGGTCTTGTGCTATTATTCTTCTGGCTGACATACCTATAGGGGTATAGTATAGGTACATCAGCAATTGGTACACATGTTTGGTTGTATTCAATATAAGCAAACATATTTGTATGTATTACGTATGTCAGTACCAAAATTCACAAAAGAGCCTTTTATAACGTATATTCAGAATTTTATTTTGTTTCAAAAACTAATTTATTTATGCCCTTATTGGTCATTTGGTTATAGCATGTTGTAAAACGGGCACCAGAATGAAGGGATCAGAATAATAAATGTCTTTGTCAAGAAGTTATAAAGAAAGAATATGGAAACTTGCAAAATTAAGCTGTATACCTAATAAATTTGAACTGCAGTCTTTAAAATTATTTGCAATAAATGGGATGCAAAATCTCCTGCTTCGTGAAAATTCTGCACGAAATCCTTGGAATTAATTAGATTAATCTGTCAGATGGAACTGTGATTCGTATCTCCGTTTTTGGTGTGAACAAAATTCTTTTAATTAGTTGGTATTCAGTTAACTATATGTACTGTATATGTATACATATATGTAACTGGTATTAATGTACGAATCTGAGTTGAATTTTCGTATCTTGTCACGATCAGCTATACTAAAAATCCCAAAATATTTGCATGATCTAACAAACTAATTGACAAAACTTGCAGAAAGACATTATGATTTTACTTGATTAAGAAAGAAATTTGACATTTTGTCCAAAGTCCTTACTATCAGTCGTAGGTAGGCACACAGGTCTGACAGCATAGGAGTACTCGACAGGCTTGTTCAGCATCAGCAGTGCGATGTCATTGCTAAGGTCTGACAGGGTGAAGTTGTGAGCGATGATCTTCACCAGGTAGCGAGTCATTAAGGCTTGCTGGTTCTTGTCACAACGGTCGTGTTCACCGAACTTAACGCGGAACAAGAACCACATGAACCTAGGAAATAGAAATTGTAATTGGTAGATAATATGCAAGTCTTTGTAGTACATAATATTCGTTTTAAATGAGAAAATAGATCAGACAAGAAAATATAATGAAACCTCATCTAACACTTTAACTGATCACCGGTGAGCGACTTTGGCATAGAAATTTTACATTCAAACCCTTTCTATCGGTAGACAAAAGCTCAAAGGACTTTTTGTTAATAGTTCTATTATAAGTAAATTATCCCCATTGGTTTCTCAGTATTTTAATCATCGATATTTTTGCAATTGTTTAAACTTCTTTACTTCTTGAAAATTGATTACATTCTAATCTTCTTACCCTTTCACACAATGTGCAGCAGAAATAACGAATCTGTCATTGATGAGGGATGCAGCACAACCGAAGGCCTTCACATAGATGAGACGACCGAGCCACGGGAAGGAGTTCACATTAGATTCCATACCACCAACAACTCGAGGCTCCTCATTACGTTCTCCACAACCTGGTACAAGAAAATAAATGAACAGAAATTCACAAATTAGTATGATAGTAATGGATAATTTGATGAACAAATAAGAGAATAGTGGTTAAACATGAACATTAATAAGCATGCTGTATTAAACGCTGAATTATTAACCGCTGTATTATACAAACTCTGTTTAGTAAATACAGACCTCTTTTGACATAGAGATCTAGTCACAATTCATTACCCAACAGCTATAGCCAAATGCCATTTAGCGCTTGTCTACATGTATAATAGAAAACCAAATCATATGGAATTAACATAAATTTTGACACTAATCAGTGTGATCCCCATACATTTAGTTTTCTACGCTCTCGGTAGGCAAGCGTTAAAGTGGCGTTTGGCTAAAGGCCTATAGAATGGATCTTTTGTAACTACTTATGTAATAGAACCAATTTTAGTGTCAAGCACTGGAAGGAGGCCCAATAATATACAGTTATGTATAACCTATGTCTAATATGTATTATTATTTTTTTTTTTTTTTCAACTATGAATAGTAGGTAGTATTTTTAGGACATACCTACGTCTCCTTTCGTCAACGTCCATTGAACTTATATGCCTGAAGTACTTGCAAACGTGTTACTACTTATAATATTTTAATTTAAAGTGTTTACTCTTATTACACTTCACTCTATACGCAGAAGAAAACTTCAGATACTCGAAATTGGTTTTAAATATTTATTTACGAATCCTTAGATGCCACAAGTACTTAGAATATGATACAAAAACTATTCACCTGCATCAACATGCATTTATTACATCTAAATCATCATAGAGACTTGTGTTTACAAAATATTACTACTACCTGATTCTACTGATAATAGGGATGATGACAGGGTATGAAAATTAAAAATCTAATTAGTCCGTAACTTAGGTAATTAAAAAATATTAGACATGCATTTTTTTATTTTGTCGTATAATAAACAATACTTAGATAAAATGAATGAAAGTTTAGGAGTGGGGGCTAAAACGTCATTTCTACGTATAAAATGTATATAGAAGTGACGTCACGCGACATTTGAAATTAATATATCGTCGAAAGTATTCGTTTCTGTAAGAAATTAAAAAATACGTGTGTAATGATTTAAAATAATCTACCAGACGGACATTAAAATAAAAATTAGGCATCTACCCTGTTATCCTGATGATTTAGTATTTATTTATTTTTTTCGATATAAGGTCTGGGATTCGCATTGCCAGCATACTATAGCTCCTCAGATCTTGCATACAGTTTATTGAAAAACTCAGACAGATACAAAGATTTTTCATTCATTTACTTCGGTCTTACGTTGGTCAACTTGGAAATTCTCATTAGTAATAAAGATGTACCTATATCCTAAAATATACCTAAACCTTTATGCTTTGTAGGTGTATATTTTCCTCTTAGAATTTAAGAACATACCTAAGAGGAAATACATAGTCTTAACTACCAATAGGCATATATGCCGCTGTAAACTCCAAAGCCAGTCTTTATTTACTTTGTAATAAGGACTAAACTGACAGAACATGAGGACAAAAGTAATATTCTAAATACTTAAAACAAACTTACCGCAGTCTTCACAGGGTAAAATCTCCCTTTTGACATGATGAGATGGTCCACGAAAAGATCCTTGTGAAATCACGAGATCATCCTACGACAATTACTTAATTAATAAAACAATATGCCTATAGACTGCCTAGTTGGCCAAATGGTCGCCAGTGCGAGCAAGGGGTCTCGATTTCGATTGCCGGATCGGGCAAAGTAATACTGGGTTTTTTTTAATTCTCAGTAGTCCTAGCACGAAATCTGGAATAGTGCCCGGTATATAGCAATAGGCTCACCCCCTATTACATGGGACTCATAACATAAATAGTGAAAAGTGGGTGTTACATTGTACCGTGGCATAATGTGCACTTCTGCTCTTTCCCTACGGGGATAAAAGGCGTGATGTTATATTATGTAAAACAATATAAGTATAATTACCAAGAAAATAGAAAATACTAAATGATGATGAAGAAATTACTAAAAAACATATTGTGCTGACCACCAGTAGATACGGGTAAGGGCATAAAGAAGAAGATTTGTATCTACTAGTGATTTTAAGCCAAAATAGATCGGGCTTTTGCCACCGTCTCGCCTGATGGTAAGCAATAATGCAGCTAACTGTGCAGCATATCTTCACTCGTGACTTTCTGACGTAAAAAATATGGACACAGATAGTTTATCTCCTTCTTTTGCACATCTTATCTTCATTGTTACGTGGATCTTGACAAAAGACTTTACGTAATAGAGATTTTAATTGAATTAATGAAATATTATTCACCGACGACCATATTCTTTCATCTTTTTCTATTTGATTATGAAATACAAACATGGGTTTTAATTATATGGTTTTCTTAAGTAAATTCAATAACAACTCAACGAAAGTTATTCTGTACCTATATTTATTTTTACTATCTTCATTTCAAATGAGTGTGTCACCTCAGCTTAGCATTTTGTTAACAAATTAATGCAAACATTGATCTACATAACTAATTAAGTTTTACCGTTTAATCTAATGCCTCATGTGATTGACATTAGTCGACTGTAGCTACGTGTTCCGAACCTGCCACAATAATTGTATTATTTATATTTAGTTATATGAATCACTTTATAACTACTTAGCATGCGTACCCACATATGACAGCGGGTACATTATGTAAATCAAGTCGCCGATACGATACCTATTTAAAAAAAAAATCATATGCGTAGGGGCAACACCGTTCGAAATTTAAATTTAAATATTACTACTGTTATCCAACCTACCTTAGTTGGACTGAGCGGTGAGCTGCTACTAAACACACATAGGAAACAAAATAGGTAACACAACCACATTGTTATAAATTAATTAAGTTTAAACCAACACAACACTTTAACTTGAGTCCGCAACTTAAATATGTTACTCTCTTTAGAAAGTTGCATGTGCTTGGGGTTCAATGTTTTTGATACACTAAGTCATGTCTTCGATCCCGACGCACTTTATGGGTACAGAGACTTTAAAATGTTGCTACTACAACACCAAAATAAAATCGACAAAACGAATTTCTAAACTCGTGCCAATGTTTTGGATAGCTGTCCGTTACTTCCCGCTAGCCATGTTGGAGTAGCGAGTCTTCCGTAAAATTGTTATAATACATTGGAGTTTTTGTTCGATATTCTAATGATGAGATGCGTCATTTTAGCGTTCCGAGGGCTGTGCGAATGAGCGTTTTATTTGGCAATGACCTCCGCGGTCATTGACACCGCGCAGCAGCCGGCTGTAAGTATGTGATCATTTTGAGCTTTATAAGCTTTACTTTAAGGGCGTAATTACCTGCATATTTTTGATGCGATTACGTTGCAATACAAACCAATAAATATCTGGTTGCGTTCTGTTCGTATCAATAATATTGCATACAATTATGTGAACCATAAAGAGAGCCGAGTCTTAATTACGGCGACGAATATTAAATGACCCTTAGTTTAAGTTATGGTCCGTAATTATTTGTTAAGAAGGAAATTTTGCATAATTTCATCGTGTCATTGACTCTACCCGCGTCACTTGAGTGTAAAAGGCTCTGACCAACTCATATTTTTATTAACATAAGGTTTGCATAATAACAATGGCGTAGACATTATCAAATCAGTTTGAATTTTTGAAGGCGTCGTAGGGAATTTTACCCTCTAAAAGAAAGTGCTGGAATCTGCAGTATTGTTCTATCTTGAGGAATCATTATTCCTACACACACACACACACACACACAAGCAAATGAAGTCAGCGATCAATGTTACTGCATATAATGTAATATCACTGCGTAAATAATGCACTACATAGATAATATTTGGACGGAACCCTGAGCATAAGAATCCAAAACACACTTTGTTGTATTTTTACAAATTCACGTGCGAAATTCCATGCGGCTACTACATTTATCAAACACCCACACTACTGTTTTAGGCAAACACACAGATCTGTATAACAGTAGTTTAATATTTGTATAGATACGGTAGGATAACTATGTTCTCCTGACCTGGAGTGGAAATCCTAACCTAATAGGTTAAGATCAGAGTGAAAGTCTCCGTGCTTAGTGATGCATTGGAGGCTAAATAAATATTCAAAGGCTAGTTTTATCAGAGTCTATAGTTTTTTAGTTAAGAGCTAAAATAAGCAAATTTACTTAAGCCCCAACAAGTCTCTTTTAATTTTTTCTGCATCTGTTATAATTGACATATTAACAACATTGGATTCGGATGCTTAATGTGATGAGCAGGATTATAGTGTTGTTGTTAAACTTTCGGACTTGTAAGTACGCATTAATTTTAGACCGCATCATCACTTACCACCAGGCGAGATAGTGGTCAAACGTCGGCCCATCAAATATAAATATTAAAAAATGTGATGGTATCTCATTTTTACAGAATTTAAATTTATAGTTTTCATTCCATAATATTTAGTTTTGTTTTCCAAAAAGTAAAAAAGGCTAAATGCCTATTCTTGCTTCGGTTCGGTTGGAACATTCGAATGAGTCTTCTAATGGCATTTTTATCATTAAATCTCCTTTGTTTATATTTTCCAATTCAAGAATCGAACCTTCTGATGGCATGGTCTAACTTATGTATGTGGTATACTAATAAACCAATGAGGTAACATTCATAAAATGGTCAATTCCCTCGAAGCAAAACCCAGCAATGATATTTGCCGTCTCAGAAGTGTTAGGCGTTATAACATAAACGCCATTTTTGTATAGTATATGCTGGACCTCTTTTTTATGACGAAGGGAAAGTTTAAAGAAGAACCTAGCTTTTTGGAGAGCAAAACCAAGGATACAATTTTACCTCATTAAAACCACTCCGGTGGCACTTTACAATGTCGCTGACCACGATGTAGGTACATCACATTTTTATTTTGTTTTGCAACAATCTTTTTGTTGACTCCAAATAACTAAGCATATAAAAAACTGCGTTTAAAAAAACCGACTTCAAAAACTAAAGACAAACGAAAATTAAAAAGTAAAAAGGAAATAAATAACTATTATTGGTCATACGTATCTACTTATAGCTAAGGGACTCTTTACCTCTCAAACCGTAGTGCTCAAGCTTTTTGATCAGTAATTCGGTGTCAATAGTGTCAAAAGCAGAGCTCAAGTCTAGAAAAATACCAGCTACTTTCATTTTACAATTAATTTTATCGATTACATCATTAACCAATGTATAGATTGCATCCACTGTGCCTACATTCTTCTGGTATCCAAATTGTCTTTTATGAATTACTTTATTTAATAATTGATTTGGTTCTGCGTTGTTTTTGGGTACCTTTTTGTTTTTGTTTTTTTCTTTGACATTGTTGATGATAATTCTCTGTTGACATTGTAATTACCTACTTTATGATCTTTTTTATTGACATTCATAGTAGATTTGATTTTGTGACATGTATTATATTGTTTTGTATTGTATTGTATTGTATTGGGTATACTTATTGAACAGTGTATCAATGTATTAATGTAGTTTTGTCACATAAATTTTGTCGTTATGAGATCAGTATTTTAGCAATAATTTTAATTGTAATTCGAGTTTTTTTTTCTCTCTTTTTGTACTACTTGTGTTATTAGTTTTAAGCTTTGATTCACACACAATGTAAAATGTTTTTTAAATAAAGATGGTTAAGAGTGCTACCCAGTATTTGAACTTAAATAATTTGTATTGATGAAAACTTTGCATCCATGTGGGTTGTGTATAATATAATATATCAAAGTATTAAATTAAAAAGTATAAAATAAAATTAAAAAACTGCGTTTAAAAAAACCGACTTCAAAAACTAAAGACAAATGAAAATAAAAACTAAAAGAAAAAAAATAACGATTATTGGTCATACGTAATTATAGCTTACACACCCACTAATAGGTTAGAAGTCGGTGCCACAAGTTTTAAACAAGATCATTCATTAAAACTAAGGTTTTAAGGTTTTTAAACAGGTTTAACATTATTAATACACACCCACTGATAGGTCAGAAGTCGGTGCCACAAACCCACAACAAAAAATAAAGTACTACTTTATATCATGGTCACATAATCTATATTATTTACTAATATTATAAAGAGGAAAGATTTGTACCTATTTTTGTATGTTTGTAAAGGATAGGCTCAAAAAGTACTTAGCCGATTTAAAAAATTCTTTCACCAATAGAATGCTACATTCTTCCAATTTGACATAGGCTACATTTCATTTTGAAAAAAATTAGGGATCCTTGGTAAAATTTGAACAATGTAACCGAAGGTGTAGAAAAATGAGTCTTGAAATGTCTTTCGTAGAATGTGCTGCCGAAACTATTAGCGATAGAACAAAATAATGTACAACAATATTGAAGAACATCATAATGCCTACAAAAAACTCCGCGGTAGCATATGTCCAACTATTGTAGTTATGTCACTACCTACAACAATCCAAATTTCCAAAAATAAATAGATGTCTATCCCGTGCAAAGCCGGGACGGCCTGCTAGTTATATAATATAATTATTTATTAATGTTAAACTTTTACAACTACTAAGTCAAAGTCAAAGTCAAAATTATTTATTTCAATTAGACCAGGATGGCACTTTTGAACGTCAAACAACAAAAATGTATAAGTGAAGCTACTAATTTGTCTCTCTGCATCACCCTAAGGTTGACTGTTAGAGAATGTATACCTTTTGTGTAAGAAGTGTAAATAAATAAAACTATTGTACTACTTCATCATCAAACCCTTATTGACAATTACACCCCACCCAGATGTAAAGTCCTCATCAATACAAACTAATCAAACCCTAACATAAGGTAGCTACTGTTAACTGTTGAGGAGTTCTCTCGACTGGCTCTTGACTCCATCATCAGATCGACTCCAGACTTTCATCAGATTGTAGTAGTTTTCAATACTTAATGAAAAAATTAACAAATGCACTTGTCGCTCCTATAATTTTTAAAAGTTTCCCTAAGTTTCCCTGGTCTTCCATCATCAGATCCTGATTTTCTTATCATGGGACCATTCTGGGACTATCTACGTTCCAACAAAAATCGGTTCATATATAACGGAGATATCGGCAAACAAACATAAAAAAAGGATATATACGGTCGAATTTAGAACATCCTTCCTTTTTTGAAGTCGATTAAAAAGTGAACGGAAGAAGCTCAAACCCATTTTTTTCATCAGTTATATTATGATGCCCATGCAATAGGCGCTCAGCTTACCGCTATATACCAGGCACAATTCTAAATATCATGTAATTACTGAGAAAATTTCTAAAAACCGAAAAGTCATCCATATCAACAGCCAATGATATTCCACAGCTGAATTACGAACTCCTTATATACGAGGATGTTTTCCAATAACAGCAAATTTATTAATTTCCATATGATTTCACTTTTGGTTCGTTTAAACAAAAATAAATTTCTGTTGGAGATCATAGTTCAAAGGTTCAAGTTTATCAGAAAATACTGGAGCTCGGAAGTTATATATTTATTCGATTCTGACCTCAGTCTTCACTAGACTGCCTATCACCAAAAAAGACTAAGCGACACTTGGTTCGACCCAGAAATGGAACTCGAACTCTTGCAAAGCAGTTACACCGTTTTACTAACAACAGGGATAGAAACACAAGTAATAATTCGAGGTACTTTATTGGTTCAAAATTCGTACAAAATTAAACATAAAATAGGTTATTAAATGAGTGAAGTAATTAAGACCTTGATGTTATTTTTTTCACCTACTACTCTTTGTTCACATGGACAAACTTATCTACACAAACCTTTAAATCTAGGATTCATTTTTGTATACATTTTTATTTGTCTTTTCTTGAAGTACGGTACCTATCTACTTAATAAGTTATAATAAATATTATTTTTTGGAAGTACACTAACACTTTTTTCAATAAATACAAGTCTAAATAATGTAATTTCCTCCAAATATTTGGTCATAAATTACTTAAAATACACTACGGTAAAATTATATGGCTAATGTTATATGTTTAATACCGCGCCATCTATCCTCAGAAAATCACAACTTATTTTAATCAAAACTAATATAGATGGCGGTATCACTATTCTAAATCGCAGTACTTAATAAATGCATTATGTTTTATACATTAGAGTATTGGGAACTATTGCTTTACGTTCTAGTCGGAACAGTAACATCCATCCTGCGTGTTTTCACGTATCCAGTCGAGGTAATTAGTGACACGAGTGTATACGCCTGGATAACCAACTCTTGCGCAGCCGTTGCCCCACGAGACGACACCTGGAATAATGACATCATTTTATTAGAAATGTTAGTCCTGTGTTAATAAAATAAAAAACAAAACATTAACATCGCTTGTGATTTTTATATGTCAATGACTTGTGGATAACGTGTATTTTGGTCACGATTGATATTCATGGCTAGTACAAAAATTAGATTTCAGAAATTTTCTGGGTTCTATTTAAACAATCTTTGACAGTAAATGTGCGGTTCCTCACGATACTCAGTTAGATAGTGTCGCTGGAGGTATTTAGACAGCCTATTTCTTCACACCCAAATTACATAATGGCATTGCCTCTACAGTTAGGCTGACCCAACGGGACTAAACATTTAGTGGGCATACATTAGAATATATCTGTATTCATTACCGATCAGTTCGTAGCGTTTGTCGTACTTTCTCTCAGCGATTAGTGGCCCACCGCTGTCACCCTGAAAGATAAAGATATAGTTACATAATATATCAAAATTAACAACTTTGAGCTATTATACTTAAATGGAATGATAATTTATTTATTTATTTATTTATTACACCCTGGAGGACTTACAGCTAAAACTACATAAAAATAGAAGTGAACATAAACTACTGAAAGCCAATTACAAGTCCTCACGTATAGTGACAGACTTAAATTTGTTAGGTGAGCATATCACAATTTTCGCAGTGGTTACAGCTTATTAAAATTGTACAGTTTATTATACCAGTTAATTGCAAGGATCAACTAGAAACTAATATTAAATAGAAACTTTTAGTTACAAGAATAAGTGAAAGATAAAAATAATATAAACATTTCCGAAAACTAGGGATACAATTGAGATGCTACTTAAAAAACCTGAGGCTCATGCGCCTTCTGGCCGACGCCACGCTAGTCGCAAAGGGATCAAAGTCATACTGCTTACATATATTATTGAACTGTCTACCCGCTCGTATAATAAAACTATTCTGTCTGTAATTTGTTGATGCTAGAGGCACACGTAAGGGTGGGTTATTGCGGAATATTTTTTGTGGTACATTAAAGTGAAATTTAGATAGAAGTTCGGGGCTGTCAATATTGTTATTTAAGATTTTTAATACGTACAAAAAGTCGGCAATCTCACGTCGATCTTTGAGAGGTAATAAATGATATTTCTTACAGAGTCGAAGATAATCGACAGGGTGATATGGAATTTTTTGATGAAAACAGAGATATTTAATGAAACGTCTTTGGATGTTTTCTATGCGGTCGATGTACTTATGGTAACGTGGGTTCCATATCTGAGACGCATACTCAAGCTGACTTCTAACAAAGGTGCAATACAAAATTTTTAGTGTTTTGGCGTTATTAAAGCACTTAGAGAGACGCATAATAAACCCAAGCAATTTAGTGGCTTTTTTGATAATAGTGTCAACGTGGGTGTCAAAAACTAATTTGCTATCTTGATGAACACCTAAGTCACGGATGGTATCACACCTTGGCAAAGTCTGGCCCGATAAGATGTAGGTGTTGACTAGAGCGGCACGTTTCCTAGTGTAAGTAATTACTGAGCACTTAGATGGATTCAGATCGAGTTTATTAGCCCTACAGTAGACTTCAAGACGATGTAGATCAGCCTGAAGTGCCAATTCATCTTCGACCGATGATATTTTGGCAAAGATTTTCATGTCATCGGCGAAACACAGTAATTTGGATGATCGAAGGCACAGATCGATGTCGTTCACATAGATCACAAATAAGAAGGGCCCAAGTAACGAACCTTGAGGCACTCCGCTAGGCACTGAGACCCAACTAGATATATAATTATTGATCACTACAGCCTGCGATCTATTATTGATATATGAGGAGAACCACCTCAAGAGGTCCCCATGAATACCTATAGAGTTTAGCTTCTTGATCAAAGTGTCGTGATCAATACGATCGAATGCTTTGCTATAATCAGTGTAAACCACATCGACCTGGCTACCATCATCCATAGCTTTAGTAATAAAATCATTAAACAAAATCAGATTAGAAGTTGTAGACCGTCCCCTCAAAAAACCATGCTGGAAGGAGCCAAGCGAAGGTGCAAGAGCAGGGTATAACTGATTATAAATAATACGCTCAAATAATTTAGCAATAATGCACAATTTAGATATGGGCCTATAGTTAGTAACTTCAGTTTTAGACCCCTTCTTATAGACCGGTGTAATAAACGCAGATTTCCACACTCTGGGGACAACACCTTGAGACAAGGATTTGGAAAACAGAATAGAGATAGGTAATGCAATAGAAGTAGCACATTTAATAAGGAATTTAGAAGATATTTTATCAGGACCAGCTCCTTTGGATGGGTCTAAACTGCGGAGTAGGTTGGTCACAACATCAATTTTGATTTCAATGTTGGAAATATTAGAGGGAGATACAGTAGTATTTGAGGAGGAAACAGGGGCTGTATAGGGCATAGGCGTTGACCTGGGCTCGAGAAAAGTGGAATGGAAATAAGAGGAAAAAGCCTCACAAATAGAATCACCAGTGAGTAATAATTCATTATTGTATTTTAGTGTACTAGGCATAGCGTTCGAGTTGCAACGATTTTTAACAAATGTCCAAAAATGTTTAGGGTTATTCTTAATAGATGTTCAGTTTGATTAAGGTAACAGTTATAGCATGAGGCTTCCATAGTCTTGACTCTTTCCCGCAAGTGTTTATAAGATAATTCGTCGGATTTATTACCATAAGTCTTGAATTTTTTAAGATATTTGTATTTTTCCTTGATAGTTCCAATGAGCGATTTACTAAACCAGATGGGGTAACTACTATTACGGACAAGCTTATGTGGTATATACTTATTTCGTAATTCCTTTATAGTATCCATAAAGTACGAAACTGAGCCGTCTAGAGATCGAGACGAAAACTGTTGTTCCCAATTCACTGCAAGAATTTCTTTGTTAATAGATACAAAATCGGCTCTGCTATAAACATATCTTAGCCGCGGTGCATGGTCCAAAGAAGGCATTTCAAACAAGTCGATATCAACTAACAAGGCGGGATGATAGGGATCAATAGCGACCAGCGGGTCCAAATAATAAATCAAGAATGATACTTAAAACGACGCTGATTACAATTTTTTGAATATAGTATATAAAAAGCTAAAATTAATCACGAGGAAAACGTTACAATTAAAAAAGTCCAAGTAAAGTACTTATTTTCGGTAATTTCCTTAGAAATTTCCTATTGATTAAGCAAATTAGTCATAGTTCAAGTGAGTGAACAAAGAACATTTTTTGTTATGCATTTGAGTAGAAAGCATCGATTTGAAAGTGGTCGGAAATAGTCGTATTAGCAAAACAAATGAAGACATTCATGATACTGTCCATAAAAACAACTTTAAAATAAGAATAAACTTTTTGTACAATTTATGCTTTTGTTTGCGTTGTGAGTATTCGAAACTTGAATCGTTTATTTAAAAGCCTAAGCGTACTGAAAAATGATACAACAATTTATGGACTAATGAGTTAACACCTCACCAATGGTAGGTATTAGGTTGACTATTCGTAGTGCAGTTTTCTCACCTGACAAGAATCTTTCTGTCCTGTTTTCGGATATCCAGCGCACAACATGTTATCAGTAATCATAGACGCGGTGTACTTGGTGTTACGACACTCCTGGTTGCTGATGACAGGTACTTCCACCTCCTGAAGCGTACAGGACACCTTGCCCTCCTCCGTGAGGGTACCCCAACCTGATGCCACGGCCTTTACTCCAACGTACAAGTTCTCTGTTGAAAGTTATTACACAAATGACACACTTCCTTGGAAATTGAGAGGAATCCCTGAGAGTCCTGAGTCTAAAGTCAACTCAAAAAAAAAATATCTTCATCATCATCAACCTAGACATCCATGGTTTAATAAAAGTCTCTTCCTTAAAAGGAGTAGTATATAGGTAGGATTGCTGTAATCTCCATGCAGGTATATCCCATATTTCGTGTACCTGCCAAACCGCTATTTGGGCATTTTAATTAATTCACTTACAGTGTAGAAAAGACTGCTTCTCATCGCTTAATGGCTGACGTAACCACGTACAAAAGTACGTGTTAAGGTTCAAAATAACTTACTGTCATTAGTTGGCAAGCAGATAGGCTTGATGGTTTCTGAGATGGGGACTCTCTCGTTCAATCGAAGCAAGGCTATATCGTTGTCAAAGTTGGTGAGAGTGAACTTGTTGGCGATGGCGCGGAGCACGAAGCGGGTCTCAGGACGAGTTGTGGCGTTGCAACGATTGTGTTCACCAAAGGTCACTTTGATCATGAACCACATGAATCTGGAACATTAGGAGGACAGATTAAAATAAAGCCCTCAGTGTAGCATGCAGTATCCTGCATGGCATCCAGGATTCAAGATGAGAAACATTTATTTATTTTACAGGCCAATCCCAATGATCCGTAGTGGGTCTCCTAAACACAAAACTTTTATTTTGATTACAATTGGGAAATGGTCGGTTGGGATTTAGAATCGTGAGATAACATTATTGCTCTTTGTTACATTGCAAGACAAAATGTATTTTATAAATAAGAAGAACTAGATACGAATATAAATTGTTGAAATGCAAATCCTTAAAGTCTAAATTATAATGGAGCTCACTCAGTTCGTATCAAAAATGCGCAGTAGATTGCCATTTTACACCACGTGGGTCATTACACTCTTATTATGATTCCAGTTATAGATAAATGTGACCTAGAATTTACATCAAACAAGTTTTTTATTCTAAAAAATAGATCAACTTTAGATAGCCATCGGCTCAAAAACAAATTAATAAATCAGCCACAAATTGGAATCTTAATATCCAACTAAACTTTTATATCCAAAACAAGGATGACACATTGTAACTGGATGTTAAATATTTATGGATGATTCACTAAGTGCAATTTATGTATGTATCAATATGCCGATCTTTTTTTCAACACACCGTTGACCACAAAATGTTAAGTGGGGAAAGGCCAGTTTTGGACTGAATAAAAAATATTTAAATGTTTACATGGAGGATAACATAACTGTGATAATTATCACACCACTTGTTCAACTAGATATCCTCATAGGTCTACTCGTAACAACTGCTGGATGTTTAGCTATAAAAAACTGATAAAATAAAAGCTGATATTTATTTAAAGGGTTGAATAGATAAAGCCTATTGCCACACACCAATCTATTCTGAATTGTGATTGGGTAAAAAAATCCAAGTGTACTTCATTATGGTAACTTCGTATTTCGTAGGTGTGCAGTGTGCAGTGTACACATTAACGAAGCCCTCAAGACTATTTTACTTACGCAATTTATAAGTACCTATACTATGTCAACACTATTTACTTCGAAGCACTCAAAATCCTCTTCAATCGCTCCTTAACTTTCCAATCGGTTGGAAATCTTTACTTCTTGTATAATAAAACAGTAACTTCTATTACCGTGTCGGAATTAATTCAGTCGACAGTCAGTGAACATTTATTATGTAATTTGTTGCTTATTTCCGATTGTTCTTCGCGACTACTCGAGCCAAGTTTGTGTCGACATTGAGCGAAAGTGACACTTGTGTTTTGGCGGGCCACGGTCATGAATACTATTAATGTCCCTCATTTACGCTTTCACTTACGTACATTAGTCCCCGCTACTGTCAAACAATACATTCATGAGGTGAGACGTGCAATGGGACACCTTTTGAACTCCTCGGTACTACGCACTTACAGTCATCTTCTCGGAAATATGTTCCGTACCTGAGATTAAGCTGTCGACCTAAACAAAAAGTCATCACAAAGTGCCTAAAATGGTCATTTTTCGAGGATAATGAACTTTAAGTTTGGAGCCTGCTCCTGGGCCGGTTTCAAGGTGAACGTACTTATCGATACTGATTGGTATTCACAATTTTGTACCATGAATTTATTTTGGAGTTGTTTGCCAATTCTTAGGTTATCGGACCCGTAGAGCGATGACTAATACCTGCAGTTTGATACGATTTGGTCATAAAACCGAAATAATGGGAGCAATCAAATTTTGTGACTAATTTTATTGATATTGACCACATAAAAATAACGATCGGAAAAATGTAAACCAGATAGGTATAATCCGCCGTGTAGGTATGTCTAATGTCGTTGTTTCTGATAGCATTGATCGTCGTTATTTAGCTATTAACCTAGTTTTGTTCTGGTGTGTAGCCGTTTAAATAGTTATTTGTTAGTTTAAAACCAAATATTTTACGTCACTCTTCTATTAGCCTTAATTACAGGACGCTACAGATAACATTAAAAACACAAAATACAGAAGGCATACTGAGGTAAAATATTAGATATTTTTCTACGAATCTATGAAGTATGAGATAGGTGCAGGTTGTGTTCCGAGTAAATACCCTGACAAGTGCTTTATTGAACAAACACTTGATGGAAACGTGTTCACGCCTCTGTAGGTACCATGCAAAGACACGCAGCAGATAAAAATTATTTACATTTAAATAAACAGTTAAGGTCTATAATAAAGGAGATTTATAGAAAAATTCACAATATCACAGACAATCTGAATAAAAATTCCATTTAGATAGATTTCCTTTTTTAGATATGAATATTTTAAGAGTTTACGGATTTAGTGCCTATGTGCTAAAATCTATTGAAACGTAAATACAGTTAGTTTTAAACAAAAGATGAACTGACATTCTGCTAAGTAAACAAATATGTAAAAGTTAGATTTTTTGTGTATGAGGAAACACTTGACGTTTAATATACATAAAGCTATACTAATTTGAAAAAAGAAGGAGTGTAAGCTGAGCTGCATTTTCATTTTGTTCGTTTTGCATTTAATTTTGTTGATCTAGAATCTGATCTGCTATGGGAAACGCGCCTGAGGATTACTTGATTTGCTACCTTAAAAGCTTAAACCTTAAAAAACAGTGCAGGACATTTTAAAGTACCAGCAAGTGGACATTCATCCTACAAAGATATTGACCAAATATCTACGCAAGTGCTCTACCACTGCTAACGTTATGAGCATCACTCTATAAGCAAAATACTGTAAAATCTTCATTTCAGGAATTAAAATATACCAGATAAAATCACACCAGTCACAAAATGTTCACTGTTGAACATGATCCTCCCCCAATGACTTCCAGAATCCAGGTCAGCTGGTTGGAATGTCCTTAAAAATGATTTTAAGTGTGGAAGAGCCATGCTTCGGCACGAATATGCCAGCTCGACCGGAGTGATACCACGGCCTCACAGAAAACCGATGTGAAGCAACGCTTGCGTTGGGTTTCGTCGTGTGAGAGAGGTTACCGGAGGCCCAATTACCCTCCCCTTCCTCAATCTACCCAATCCCTGAATTCTGAAAAATAGATTTATTAAACAATATTTTCTCACCCTTTAACACAATGAGCAGCAGTTAAGACGTATCTGTCATTGATGAGCATGCCTCCGCAGTAGAACCGCTTGAAGTAAGACAGGCGAGCCATCCAGGGAAACTCGTTGATACCAGCTTCATCACCACCCACGATACGAGAGACTTCGTTCCTTTCACCACATTCTGAAAGCGTTTGGACATCAAGTTACAAATGGGAGGAAAGTACCTGAGTACATCACTTTGGGAGATATTTTGTTACTGCCGCCCAAATGGGAGCAAATTTGATTTCACATACCATGTACAAAAGAGGTTTAAAATGGGATAATGGCAGACATCGAGATTATATACCGAAAACTCAAGGTATTATACACGCCCGTTACAATACATTGAAGTACGTCGATAAATAAGTACCTAATTTGAAGTTGCTATTACTTTGACATAACATACAGTAGTCATAGTATTTAGTCATAATACTCCTAAATCACTACCAAACCGTGTGTTTTCTAATCCTATGATAAATGACTTTAAGTACTTGTTAAACACAAGGGGAAGGCAACATAGGAAGGTAAGGTATTAATCAAACTGAATGTGTACGATTTATTGGTATGAAGCTTTTTGTAATCTTATTAACTACTTATACTGACAAAACACTTTCGTTAATAGATAACTTGACATAAAGTCCAGGTTTAACAAAATACTCTCATTTTTTTTTTAAATAAAGTTGAGAAACAAATCAACGTGTAAAGTATTTGTATCAGTTTATTATGGCCTTTTGTAATGTTTCATATTTAAATGCTATCACATAATTATGGGAGAGCCATGCTTCGGTACGAATGGGCCGACTCGACCGGAGTGATACCACGGCCTCTCAAAAGGCCGACGTGAAGCAACGCTTGCGTTGTGTTTCGTTGCGTGAGTGAGGTTACCGGAGGCCCAATTACTCCTCCCCCTTTCCCAATCCCTGAGTCCCCAACAATCCTCAAATTCCTAATCCCAAAAGGCCAGTAACGCACGTGTAACGCCTCTGGTGTTCCAGGAGTCCATGAGCGGCGCCGATTGCTTACCACCAGGTGATCCGACGGCTCGTTTACCGGCTTATTCCACAAAAAAAATTGTAGGATGGAAGGAATAGGAATAAGCACCATGCACGCATCCTTAGCAAAAATAAATAAATTACGCTCACGATTGCAGCTGGAAAATACAGTTTATCTACAATTAATTTACCTACAAGTAGGTATTAAAACCTTACGTCATCATCATCATCATCATCATCATAATATCGGCATCAATTCGATGCTAAACATATCTCCTCTAACCACTTCCTTGACATCTTAAGTTAGTAAAAACATATGAGACAGTCAAGCGTTTAGGTTACTCAGTAAATGCATACTAACTGCAAGAGCACGTGGTCCTCGGCTGGTTGGCTTCTATCAGCGGCGGCCGGTTGCCCCAAAACCCGCCAAAGATATTCTTTGTGTACTCCCCTCTTGCATCCTTAACCAGGTCTCCCTGTGATCAATAACAAAGAAAGATAAAGAACAGACGTTAAATATGCTGCAACAAAAGAGTCTTAACATTTATTCTAGCACCCACTTTGCACCAATTAGGTTTTGACTGCCATTTATACAACATAACATAACATAACATCACGCCTTTTATCTCCGAAGGGGTGGGCAGAGGTGTACATTATACCACTGTACAATGTTACACCCACTTTTCACTATTTATGTTATGAGTCCCATGAAATAGGGGGTGAGCCTATTGCCATATACCGGGCACAATTCCAGACTCCATGCTATTACTGAGAATATTTAAAAACCCAGTAATACTTTGCCCGACCCGGGAATCGAGCCCGAGACCCCTTGCCAGGCAGTCGCACTTACGACCACTCGGCCAACGAGGCAGTCAAGAGACTGCCATTTAATATATGTAGATAATATGTATCATCACGCTTTTTATCCTCGAAGGGGTATGCAGAGGTAGACATTACGGCACTTAATGCCACTGTACTTTGTAACATCCACTTTTCACTATGCCATACAGATAGGTAAAAGGAGGAGATATGTAGGGGGGGGGGCAATATTTTCATTTTGACTTCTTTATTAGATTAAAGTTTACTGATATAAATACCACAATACTAAGGTATCAGAAATGTGTCGAAAAGGCATACCTCATAACGTCTTTTTGTGTCTACTTACCAATCAAAATAGATGAAAGTAACACGATAATGAAATCCTAAAGCCCTTAGAAGAAAATTACACAATTGATTTATATGTGTAGGTACTAACTAACTAAATATAAACAAGTGTTAAAAATTACAGTCAAGTAAAAAAGTACTTTATTCGAAAGACCAGGCAAGTCGGTTTAACTCGAGCATATTACCTGCCACTATTGTTATGGACAGGCAATCCCTTGTGTTTATTTACTTATACAAGGTGTAGTTTTAACGCCGTGTCATTTCTCGGGGGTACCTATGTCACAGAAGTCATAAAGGTTCAATGTAAAAGAAAGTTTCGGGCCAATAGTTAAAAATACGGCTATAATAAATCGTTTAAGTTCGACAGTATTTCAGAATAAGCGACAGCAATGTTTCTTATTAGAGTTTTATGGAATTAGGAATAATATGTTCGAGTTTGTGTGTGTTGAGCCGCGTTATAAAGCTAATTACAAAAATGCGGCGTGTACTTCGCACTTACTAATTTCCGTAATTTCAGAAAAATAAAAATATTTACTTACAAATTTTTTTATTGATTCGGACTCAGAATCAGTAGCCTAGTTACCTCCTAGAAAATGACGCGGCTTTAAAACAACACCTTGTATATTTAGTGTCAGTTTCGGTCGGTATCGGTTTTCGCTGATTTTCTATTTAACCCTAAGGTTGACTGGGAGAGAATGCCATATGGCATTAATGTCCGCCTTATGTACCATTACTTGTTTCTGTGTACATTAAAGTTTAAATAAATAAATATACCAAACGGTGTTTTACTGATTCGTCTTCGGAAATATTTGAATAAGAATCACAAAACATTGTTTGTGTTGACACGTAACCGACCAACGAAAAACTTTCAGTTCCACAACAATTTCGCTTTTTACCGCATATTTTCCCTGTGTTTGTTGCATTTAAAAAATGTAAGAATATCGAAGACAGAATTTACTTAACTACTAACCAAGTTTCATAATTATGTTCTTTTTTCGAATTTTCAGAATTATGACAATATCAGAACAAGCCTTTTGAAATATTTTAACAAATAAGCGATAATCATTGGTAATGCACTAAAGTTTATTTTCTATTTTACTGAGATCATTATCAAAAACCAACGCAACATGCGTTCTAATATGACATATTTAATTTACAGTTGTATATAAACAAATCGCAACAGGTTTATCAATTATATATTGGTGTCACGTCTACAGTGCCAAAATCTTGCTCTTCTAGTCAACAGATAAAATAAAAACGAAGAAAGCACGTGAATTCTTATTTTATTAATCTCGCCACAAAGTAGAATAACAAGATTCTGCCACGGCATATTTTTACCACTAATTTGGTTGTCGTCAGATAATATCGAAAGGTGTTAAGGCAGGACATTTATGACCAAGGTCCAAAACCAAACGAAAGTAAAAAAATGCTACCAACCTCTGAGCAAGTGAAAGTCAAAGCCACAAGCACTAAAATAAATAAACACTTCCACATTGTGTTACTGGTTTTAAAAAATAAACATAAAAAAGTAAAGAAGTAAAAAATTCCAAATTCGAATTCAGATTTTGGCGCTCGGCTGGCGCATGGTATTTGGTAGGTGAACTTGTCGCGCGCGCTCACTACGGACACACACTGAGATGCGCTCCGTCCTCACTCGTGGTCAAACATCGGACGTGTTTTGGATACGTCAATTCGTACCCCACTAGTCCAATAGCTATATGTATTCTTATTTCACTCGCCAGGAAACAAATCAGGTGCAATGTCAAAGCGGCAATACAAAATTACCGCGGTTTGATCTGTTTTGTACCTTGGATACTTGATTGAGTTATGTGGGAAAGGTGCACAGGTACGCTGTAGTTTGTACTAATAAGATTTTTTAAGAGTTATGCTCTAGTCCAGTTATCGGGTCACGCACCTCCTAATTGCTTCGTCACGAATCTGTCGGATTAATATCATTACATGCGCTCGGGTAAATGAAAATTCTTATTACATGTTCCGTTTAAATCACTTTGATTGACACAATATTTAACGGGCACATTCAAATACATTGTCATTTATAAATGACAGGGATTTAGCTGCAAGTGAGCAGTATTTCAATAAAATAATTCGCTTTAAGCTCTTAAATCAGACCACACAAATGAACAAATCACACAAAGAGATCTTTAAGGACCTTTATTCTTTTATTTAATTAAAAAGACTGATTTATTTTCTTTACATGTGACGTACCTATGTATTCAATGGAAGACACGTTGCATTGGGCAGTAAACAAAAATGCAGATCAGAAACAGCTTTTTTTTTAAGGGGGGAAAATCATCGAATGACTGCTCCCGCCTGGGTGAGGCGGAAGGGAGTGTCAGACTCTTACTGACTAAAAACCACCCCGTTCCGTCTCCTGCACGTCGAGCCGGAGCCCCGGTTACCCGTTAAGTTCTCCGCGACATCAGAAACAACTTAGTAGGTGAGTAAATCAATCAAGTAAACAAACTTGCCTGGTCTGATTGAAAAGTAGCATTTAATGAACATATAATATTCTACTCTTGAAACCGCCTAGATGGCTGACAAATTACCAATTCAGACTAGTAACGGTACCAATATTTATTACTGGAACGACTTTTTGCATTAAAACGATTTAGGCAAGAGATACAATTTAATTTGATTGGCGCCATGTTAAAATACCTATGTAGGTGTTTATAAATAATAACTCGTTCACGACTTAAAACAAAACCTATAAAAATAAGGCTGCTGGAAGTTATTTATTTTTCATGATTCAAATATTTTTGTTTTCCTGTATGTTCTGGAATGAATCTGCGATGTTAATTAGGTCAGTGATCTGCTTATAGTAATTTTATTTCAGCTGAGAAGCCTCCATTGGTGAACAAAGGCCTTCCTATGGGACACATTTTAGTGTTAATGATTCCATAATGGTAATCCTCAGATTTGGTCATTAAAGAATGCTGCGTCGGCCTCTTGATGAATAATTGTATTTGTAGTCCAATCTATTTTTTATTGTTTTTCATTGACCTATATACATCTGCAATATCAACGTTGCTCGCCTTTTGAAAAGACTGTCTTCTTGTGGGCCGTCAGTCTCATATTTTTTTTCTTTATTTTAAAGTTGCAGATATTATATTTCTATTCTATCATCCATGATAAAGTAGTTAGTAGAAGGTGTTAGGTATCCGAATCAAGCAAAATATCTAGTTGTCGGATACTCTGTAATAGCATGGAGTTTAGGATTGCCGAATGTATAGACTTGCTCCAAGAATATGAGACTCATAGCATAATTGATGGAAAATGGGCGTCATACATAATTTAGTATGTGATCTCTGAGAAAAATATACTCGTTATCAATAATCACAAAAAGGTTTTAATGTGAGATAAAAAGATGGAGTGCGGAATCGTTTCGGCGGCAACCGGTCGGTCGGTGGCGGCGAAAGTGTCACTTTCCAACCACGTCACAATGGCTCGCTGGCTTTTTGCACATTCACTACCACTTTGTACATCTAACGAACTTTAATTATGTCAATGAATGAGATTTTAGTTCATTTTATCTGTAAATGTGGATGCGGACTATAGAACTAAGGGTAGAGTCGAGTTGAGAATAAATAGGACATACGTTGGACACTTGTAAGACATAAGCTGTAAACAATTTGGATTTGGTTTATGGACAAACAAACAATGAAAATATGTAAAAAGTTTATAGCAATAATTTGCTCAATGTTAACAACCTGAAGGTTAAACCCAAATTTTATTTATGTTCTGTGAAATTGGAACTCTGCTTACGCACATCATAATTATGTTTCTTTGGACATAAATCCCAAAATAAATATCACGACTTTGTAATAAAATCGTGGACCCAGCACTCAAAGGTTGATAAAAATAAAGTCATAAAATATCCTTTTTCAAACTGTTTAATGTATAAGAGCACCTCTAGATATAACAATTAAAGAATTCAAAACAAAACAAACACACGAACAAAGTTAATAAAATTAGTAAAGATACTAAAGATTATGAAATAATTTGTATTTTACCTAAATGTAAATAAATTAATATAAAAATTATCTTATAAAACAGAGATTTATTAAATAAATCTAGATTAATAAATAACTACGGTGATAACAATTTTATCGTGATAGGGATCACAGTTGTAGCCTAAAGAGCATCGATACTTAAGACCTAACTTAATTCTAGGGCATGTTCCCCCTTACACCCAAATGACGTGTTGTTTGTTTATTTTTATTTTTTATATTATCTATGGTTTTTAGGGACATTTCGTTCAGGAACGTATCAGTCCTTTGTTTATTTATATTGAAGTTAATAACTGACTTGTTTCTAATCAACAACAGCATGGTAATATTTACAGTGTACGCTTCGGTAATTTAAACCAAACTAATAAAAATGATACAATCGATATATTATTGACAAAGAAGATCATTTGTGAGCAAAAGAAGAAAAGCTTTTAAACAATTTGGTCGCAAAACCATTCACCTTAGCTGGTAATTGGCACCTCGCCAAAAGGGAACGTAAGAGGTAACAGGTAACACTGTCGATACTTACCTAAGTATTTCTTTTAAGAAAAACATGAGTCTCCATCAATTTTATCCTTTCACTGCGCATTCAAATTTGCATCACGGAGTCACGATTCGGCATTCATTTGGGTATAAAAAGCACATGCGAAAGTCCAAAGCTAAATTATTGATAAGTGCAAAAAAAGAAAAATTTGATAAAAAAACTTTAGTTGGTGCAAATCTGAACACTAAAACGTCACTCAATTTAAAATGATGATATCATGCTGTATGGCCATTTGAAAGTGTTAGAAATTATGTTAAGCACGTTTTTAGATTGAGTGCTATTTGAGTATTTCGGCCAATACATGCATTCTAATTTTCACCAAAATCGAGAGAAATTGTCATAAACTCAACGAGGTGAAGTTACGATGTAAACTGTAGAAAATTATTTGTATAGAATGACTTTTCCTCAAAGTATATTTTAGTAGATGCCGGGTACTACGATTTAAGATAAAATTTTCATACAAATGAAGCTTATTTAAAGTGAAATTAAATTTGATTATTCTATTTGACAATATATCAATATCTATAGCAGCGTTTATAGCAGCAGTGAAAATACTTAATACTAAAAAGAATAACAAATAAATTAATATTATGTACAAAATAGCGTAATGAACACTTATTAGGCATCAAGTTAAACATCTTAAATTCTAATGGTAATCTGCACCACCGGCCTGTCGAAGTAATTAACTTACAATTAGATAAACAAGTACATAAAGTAATTAAACACAAAACTTAATTGTCATGACTTTGTCACTTTAGATAGTATTTCAAAATCACCACGTGTGACGCAATGCTTTGAAATACCTTTCTACTTACTAATGTTACTTAGTAATTTAAAAAATAAACTAATTTTTAGACATTAGACTCGTTAGAGTAGCACAAAAAATACGTAAAGATACAAATTATAAAATAGTTATAAGCAACAAAAAACACTAAGCCCCCTTACGCACTGGCGGTTGACCGCCTAGGCGGTTCGTATCTACAGACGCGGTTGCCTTAGCGGTTGCATATTAAATTGGAAAAGCGGTCAACCGCAGGGAGCGACTAGCCGCGCGGTTCACCGCTAGTGCGTAAGGGGGCTAAAATTTTTTTTATATAATACATAATATGTGCCAAAAACAATGAATTATTATTACGAATTAGCTTTAACTGGCCTACATATTTCAACTATTAAGGTAATTGCAATCGACAAATTATGTAATATTTTACAAGCATGAAAATTAATTGAGAAAATTATATTTTATTTCGTACACTACCTACTTCATTTACTTTGATCAATATAATGAAAATGAATAAATAAAATGTAAACTGGTGGTAATTCTGACGTATGTACATACTTAATAAAGAATAATGATGACTGCTAAATTATCTTGTTCTTTAAAAAGGACTATGAAAGTGAAACATTAATGTTAGACGATTTGTTAAAGGTTACAGGATGCAAGTAGTATCTAACCATCTGATCTTTATGAACGACATATGGCTCATGATGATGATGATGACTTTTCTTCACAAAAGGTGTTCCAAGGAGTTTTCAATGCACCAGAATTATCACCAGTTCCTTAAACTTTCTTCAGCGACTACGGTAATGCCATCACTACGTTGCAAATCTAAACTACGAGTATTGTTTCAGATTTTGGCTCTAGTTACAACTACTTGATAAGTGAAATGTTTGGTAATCGTTACATTTGAACATATTTTTAAATTGGCACTTAAATCATTATGTATCCGATCTTTTATCCTAGAAAATTAATCTAATTATTATTATTACGACTTACGCTACAATTTCCTTTACCTACGAATTTATGATTAAGATTCCGAATTCTTTGTTCGCAGCTTTTTCCGTTCAATGTACAAAAGTATACCTCCTATCTTATATCATCTACTATACCATAATATTCTAACGCAACTTATCTACAAGATCGTCATTATTATGCATCTATTCTTCATTACTTCTTACAATAGTCACCACCTCTAAGTACCCACAACCTACTCAATAAATTAAAAAATAAATCTACGTTTATCTGCATTTATTTACAAAGTAATTTAAAGGGATGTCACTCAGAGGTGGGTAAATAACTTGTTTCGAAATAATATCACCCTGAATTAGTTGCCACATAGACACGTGTCTCTTAAATTAGCTCTAAGCCATGGGAGGTATCTGGTGATCCTTGTGTAGACACCTGGGTAGCCTGGTCTTCCACAACCCACTCCCCAAGACACAATACCTGGAAAAAACAAGGATAACTATGTATAAGAACGATTACAGTCTCTTTTAAGAACAGAAGCGACATCTAGGTTGCTTGTGACAACTTAACGCATTAGTAACCACACCAACTTAGGAGTGTTTAAGTTGTCCAAGAGATGTCACTAGTCTAGTATTGATTTGATAAATGTAATTTTTTGTAGGTGAATAGTGTACTCACCAACGATTTGGTATTTATCACCCTGTTGCAGCAGAAGAGGACCACCACTGTCTCCTTGACAAGAATCAGTAGATGCTCGACCAGCGCATAACTGTAAATGATAATACATAATGTTGTTATTTAATTTATACCCAGTTTCACTCATGCCATCATAGTTGGTCATAGATATTGACTTATTCATGGCGAGGCTAGGTACAAAGTAATATTTTATTTTCTAATACAATTTACGTTGTAAGTTTCACTTGTATAAATTATAATTAATACTTTAGCATCTAGCACCATATTTAACTTAACTTCTACTTAACGAATTGACGGTTTTGTTTAGATCTTATCACAAGATATGTTCATATAAAAGTAGTCTCTAAACGTCGAAGATAAGGTCTATAATACCTCTAGAGCGAGTGCAGAGCGGTAATCTGTGACCGCTTGGGAATTGATCGGCCAGAACTTATTAATCACTTAAACCTTAGCAACTAGATACTACTGACCATGTTACTAGTAATTCTCGAAGCTCTGTATTTCATTCCTCGGCACTGGTTGAGTGATAGAATGGGCACTCTCACTTCCTGCACTATAGCAGGCAGCTGCCCTCCCTCAGATGTCCGACCCCAGCCAACTACGACCCCCTCTTTGCCAGATGGGTCTATACCTGAAACATAAGTTCTGTGGTAAGTAATCGTAATCCTTACTATTATAAATGGGAAAGTGAGTTTGTTTGTTTGTTCCGACTTCACGCCGTAACTTCTAAACCGATTGCTTTGAATTTTTGCAGACGTAAAATTAGAAGTCCGGATTAAATAATAGTGTACTTTTTATCCCGGAAAATTTTGGTATTCCTACTTTTATCCTTTTGTGACGCGAGCGAAGCCGCGGGTAAAAGCTAGTTATAAATATTAATTAAAATTGTTAATATTTAAGTAATAATAACGTTAAAAAACTTTTGAAGGATGTTAGGGTCAAACTTTTAAATTATGAGACTATATTATTTAACTGACAAAATAAGAGTACAGTCAACAGTCATGAGATTTAAAACACCAGTGGCGCCCTCTAGGAAGAGCAAAATCATTTACGTCCTCTTGTATAAAAGTTAAAGAGGTCAATAAACTCACCAGAAGGCGGTAAACAAACAGGTTTGATGATTCTAGAAAAGTTGACAGGTTTGCGCAGCTTGAGGAGAGCGATGTCGTTGTTGTATGAATCTGGATCGAAGCTGCGATGACGTACGATAGCCGTGACGGCACGCATGATGGCCGCACTCTCTGTGGTGATGGTTTGGTCGTGATCGCCCAGGATAACGCGGATTTTGGACCGCTTTAATCTGGAAAATGGAAATGAAAAGTATTGGTAACTATTTTGAATTAGTTATTACCTCAATACAATAGTACCATGGGGACTCATATCTTATAAATATAACAGCTGTACCCAAATGCCATTTAGCGCTTGTCTATTTGTAGAGTACAAAACTAAATTATATAGGATTGTTAACTAAAACGTCAGTCAGTCGTTGTCAATGTCGTAAATTTTGACACTTGTCAGTGTCGTAAATTTAGTTTTCTATTCTCTCAGTAGACAAGCGCTAAGTGTCGTTTGGCTAAAGGCACATTTCTGCAACTTTTCAGTTAGTCTAAAAAGTATGTAAATAAGTAAAAATAGACATTCAAAATTCAAATTAAAATTCAAATTCTTTGATTGCATATCATGTGAACAATTGGTGTTACATGAGGTACAGTATCAACATGAAACCTGGCTAGGGCACGACAACATATAAAGCAAAATATAATCTAATTAAACTACTATATTCATAGTAGGTACACGTATATTTAATTATCAGTTAAACCTGGGCAGCAAAACACCTAGACATATGGTTGTTGTATAACTAACTTTCAGTTTCATCCCACTGTTATTGGCATCGCAGATTATATCACAGTTTCCATTTAAAATATACGAACACTAAATGCAATAGCGGAGCAGATCGATTTGTTTCACTGTTAGGTGAGTGACTTCACAAGGGTAGCGTAGGTATTCAGTGATATGTTATTAATGTTATTACAATAATTAAGTATTGTAGTTTCGTTTTAATTATATTTTATTAATTATTGCTTGTATGTATGTTTTGTATAAGGATATTGCTATTATTAACTTGTTTTTTTTTAAGGGGGGAAAATCATCGAATCACTGCTCCCGCCTGGGTGAGGCGGGAGGGAGTGTCAGACTCTTACTGACTAAAAACCACCCCGATCCTTCTCCTGCACGTCAAGCCGGAGCCACGGTTACCCGTTAGGTTCTCCGCGACTCCGAATCGGCATTATTAACTTGTTTGCATGTTTTGTTTAATTTAAGTAGCTTCTCTATCTATAACCTGTAATGATAGATGTAAGTGTGGTGATAAATACTTAAATAAATAAATAAAATATTTTATGAGAATGACCGTTGAATAGATCATGCATATAAATCACTATATAACTAAACTGTTCGATGACTAATAAAAAAGATCAACTAACACGATTTTCTGCATTCGCAATTTGTCGTGCTTGGAAATTTATTAGTTAGCTAGTTTTTCACATAATTCTGACATTCGTACAAGTGCGATATCCAGATAGAAAATCAATGCAACCGTATGATGAATAAATGTTGTCTGCATGTATGAATAACTGTTTTTAAATGAACGCAAATAACAATGTTTGTAAATGTCTCGTAAATTAAGTTACTTCATTTGTACAAGAATGATTTATTGCTATAAATCAAACTGTCTGTGTTTAGGTAACTATTTTTAGGTTATATAAAATAATCAATAGGGTAGATGCCTAATTTTTATTTTAATCTCAGTCTGGTAGATTATTTTAATTCATTAGACACGTATTTTTTATTTTCTTATAGAAACGAATACTTTCGACGATAAATTGATTTGAAATGTCGCGTGACGTCACTTCTATGAACATTTTATACGAAGAAATGACGTTTTAGCCCCCTCTCCTAAACTTTGACTCGTTTTATCTAAGTACCTATTGTATACGACAAAATAAATAAATACGTGTCTAATATTTTTTCATTGCCTAACTTACGGACTAATTATATTTTTAATTTTCATACCCTGTCATCATCCCAATTCATGTGTATTTATAACATGTGTGTTTCCATCAATGTGTATGAATTATTGGATGTTTAGGCACGAATAATTTGAGTAGATAACATCAACCGGAAAAAACGATTCTGTTATTAGTATAGCAAATAGGCCTAATATGAATTATCGTAATGCAACATTGCGTGTGGTCATGTGTGCGCGCATGCGCTTGGGCAACCTTCCACATAGTAACAATACAGTTCCATTATATAACATGGACTAGTTATAAACGTCACTGCCAAGCACGGGGTCTCTATCTTCCTTGCCGACCTTAGTACTTAATGAAGATAGGTTCTTTTAGTAGGTAATATCATAAAGATAAAATAGCAATGAGCATGTAACTAACAATTGGTTTAGTTGGTGAAAATTTTGACGGGCCCCCGTCTTATATGCTTATTTTCAATTTCTAATTTAAACTATTGCATTTTTTTCATCGTTAAAATGGTTATTCCTGCCAAATATGTTTAAGTGTTAAAAAATGTGAAGAATATTGTTAAAACTCTATGATCTCGACTCTTCAATCAACCTAGCAAAATTCAAAAGAAAACAAGCTAATTTTCCTTCAAAATTAACGGTAGGGTTTCAACGACTGGGCACTTAATTATAACATAAATCCATCCATCATGAAAATCCCCCTGTTATACAAATTGTTCGTGATAATGAATTATATAAACCTACATTAAAAATACATTTATAAGGACACGCAATTGTTACACAAAACCAGTACCTAACGAGCATGCCATACTTAATGTACATTATACCTACGTTAAAATATGTAGTTCACGCAATATTCTAACCACTTACCTAATTAATCAATAATAGATACTTAAATATATTGCGAAACACATTCTTTTGCTACGAAAACGATCGAAACTGGCGGTAAAATGCTGGTTAGCGGTAAAAAAACCTTTTTGCTATATTACTCCTATGTCATATGACATAAATATAGGAAACAATTAGACACTGAATGAAAGGTGCCTTACTTAAAAGTTGATAGTAAATAAATAATCACATTTGATGCTATCTACAGATGTTAATTTAAGAAAACTTCATCTTTTCGTCACGCCATTTAAGAAAAACTAATTCACATACTTAAACATTACTACTTAAGTACTGTTAAGTACTTACTAACAGATTATCATTTACAAACAAACTGTCATTTCATTGAATATTGGTTGGTATTCTAAAAGGAAATGCTTGACTAAACGTTTCCTGTAAAAACCGAAAGTGAAGGAAACACGTTGCTTGCACTGCATTTGTATGAACAAATCTAGAGGTAAGATTCAATTTCCTCCAACTCCAATAGATAAATTTCATAAGTGCAAAACACATTTTCTTCAGGACCCTCAAGAAGGAAAGAAGGGGCCTGGAGAAACTCAAGGGATACGCAGTTATTTCAGTGGTTTCCTTGAAACCAAAGATGGTCGTGTTAGAAAAGAACCCTAAAATCCATAAATATGCATAAGTTTATGAACTATATTCACATCGGCCAACCATCTTGAGGCAATAACAAGCACTAGAAACTAAAGCTCCCGTATAAACTATCATAAAATAAACCACTTACTTCCTGACACAATGCGCAGCTGTAAGCACATACTCCTTGGTCAGGAGCGAGGCTCCACAATGGAACTGGCCATCATAAACGATCCTCGCCATCCACGGGTAGCGGTTGGCGCCGGCCGGCATCCCGCCAACGATGCGGTTCTCCTGGTTCGACCCGCCGCACTCTAGAAAGTAAACAGAGTTTGTTGAACCAGCGTCATTCACTAGTATCACAAGTACTTGCAGATTTCCTGCTCGTTCTCAACGTATGATTGTCGACTCATGACTTGTTTTGTTTGTTTTTGAATAGCAGTGAATTTTGTTTTTGTTTACATCGATTGAGTTGAACTGATTGCGTTCTTTTTGTTGCAACACATTCTTGCGAGTGGCTGTTAAATCCAATTTGGTTTCATAGTCTAAAATCTACATACTTAAATCTATGGTTATTTACAAAAGATACAATAAATATGGTTACTTAGGTATTTATAATTAGCACCATGGTGCAGATCAGTAAATAAAGTGTACATTATGTTACTTGTTATATTAAGACAAGCGACTGGTTAATGATCGTGCAATTAAGTTAATTGCCACAAGCAGTAGTTAACTATAAATTAACGACTTAGTATCTAGTGTCGAACCAGCTATAAACCTTACTAAAATGAAAATGCTGCTAAGATTTCATGAAGTGGATTTCTCAGTATTGCTTGAAAAGGATCTCAAATGTCATTTTAGATCAATATTTTTTTTATTCCTTGACATAATATAATAATTCCCTCCATAATAATTACATAGAAGTTCCCTTCCAAGTTGGAATTGAGGCAAAATTATTAGGATGTAAGTAACATCCTAACATCCCAATTGCGTGAGAGCTAATGCTATCAGATGGATCCTAATGGATCTAAAAAACCTTTCAACAAATAAATATTTTAAAGCAATTCTATTCCCGCCTGTACGTTGACAGGAACGGGAAATAACAGTGTAAGTATAAATAACAAGTTATATAGCTGTTAATAGCAAATTGATCGCGATCCGGCGCGGGCGCAGCGCAGATCGAGTCTATTACACTTTCACTGTGATGAACGGCAGTTCAACGCTCAGACCTACCCACTACTTGTATACAACAGCTGTTTACGTGTAAACACTAACATGAAGGTATCATGTTTTCTTAATGATCCTTATTTTATCTGTGGTCTGTACTCTGTGCATAGACAAATGGGGACTATTGGACTAATATGCTATGTTATGTAACTGTCTACCCTATGTTTAACGTACTCAAAGTTCATTTCCAAGTGTTTTTATTGTATACTGATATTTATTCATTTTAGTATCAGACAATTCATGATTTTGTTTGTATTTCTACTTAGTGAAAACTGATTCGTGAAAATCCCTCTTTTTTACTAGCCCATTTTATTTGGTGTGTCGGTTGATTAAACGTCGCAAAAATTCGTTTTCTACTGTTGTACTTAATTGCAGTAGAGAAAATGTAAAATAGAAATTCGGCCGGGGACAATTTCTCCGATTAATTTCTCATTACATGGTTGTTTAACGACAATGTAATTATACCTACTTGTTCGCAAGTTTAAATTTGTCAAAATTGACAAAAAATATAGGAAGTCAATTTCCTTCGCTAATAAATGCAAAGATTATTTCATGGAAATTATGACCATGCCACTACTTCTTTCACCCAGTTTTTTTTTTCACCAAGGTAGGTACTTTATATAGGCACAAACGAAATACTGTTTAACCTCTAAACGCCTACTAACCTATTCCAGTACATACATAGGTACGAACAATGCTATTAAATACAATAACAACGTAATATCAAATTAACAAGCAAATAAATATTACATAATTACATACATAACATAATGTTTGCACGGAAATGTCAATATGAGACCATCATACAGAATACACAATAAATATTTATCTAACAATTACGGCGAAGGTAAGGTAGGTAGCTATACTCGCAGGGAACTAAGTCTGTACATAATAAATAAAGAGTATTTAAGCAGGGGTAAGTACTGAAAACCCAGGTACTAAAATCACTAGGTCGGTAATAATGCTAATAACTAAAATAAACTTAATGATCTAAGTTAGATTACAACTGGAATCAATCAGGGTAGGTACTTACATTAGATATAGACATAGGGATAGACGATATACAAATACAAATTCTAATAATACATTACAGGGACAAAAAATACACATTTAGAAATATAAAGAAATACCTTGACGACAACTTTACAAATAATGAAGAGTTAAAACCAAAGAATAACAATAGGATTGATGATTAACTAAAAATCGCCGATTACTCATGTGAAAATACTGAGAAAAGCTCTACTAGTTTCGAACATGAGGCAGAACCCCTCTGTGGTTCGAAACTAGTAGAGCTTTTCTTAGTATTTTCACGTGAGTAACCCGCGATTTTTACTTAATTTAGTATGTCCCACGATAGTTATTATAAAAAAGACTGATAAAAACAATTATCGTTAGTGATTGTCAACGTACAGGTCACTACAGGGGTTTACATAAATACAAGTGCTGCTACGGGGTCTACAGGTGAACATACAAATTGGTGCTGTACCCAGATTGTAACTTACCCATCTTTCTAGGGAGTGGGTTTGCCCTGCCGCACTCTAAAACGTGAACGTGGATGAAGAATAATTAGAATTGCTTTGAAATGAGAGCACAGGCACACGATCGAACTTTAGAGAAACAATTTATTGAAAGATGACTCGTCAAAAAATTAGCATTGTCAATATGAAATACAAATTGTTAAGTTTGAATACTCAAGTTGTGATGCAATTCGCAGGCAGTTTAATGTACTTACCTAAATGTCAATGAACATTTTAAGTCGGGTATAAACTAAGATGCTTATGGTTTTTTGGACAAATACTATGGACATGGTGTTTTCCTCTAATTAATTAATTCGATCGTCAGCTCGGGCCCTTACAGTGACTAATAAATTTGCTGTGCTAATTACAAGACTAAAATTGGAATAGTAATTGCTACTATAAACTAGTGCTCGATTACTTCCTGCGGTTTCGACCGTGTTTCTGTCATTGCCGATGTCACCCAAAAAAAGAATCAACTAAGTGCCAAAGATACTTAAATATACATTGTTATTGCATAATAAGGATTGTGCCTTAATTGAGTCCGAATGCTGAAATGTCTCACATATTTTTATCTCAATTAAGATTTTTAAGAGTTTCTCTCATAAAAAGCTCGGAGGTTTTTAGTGAAACTCTTTGTAATTACAACATTTTAATCCCAAAATGGATGTGACATCTGATTACGTTAAATATTGCGTCTGATTTAAGTTATAGGTATTTATATTTGCAGGAGATAAATGTTTTATGCTAATGGCTTTGATGAATATTTTAACACTTAAGTCTTTGTAACAATAGATTTTATCTTTTCCTATGCTTCCGGATCTAGGGTGATATTTCTGTGCATTATGTGAGTTTTCTACATACCACACGAGCAGTTCTTGATCTGGTTGTCCTCCTCATCGTCCTCGACGCTCTGTTCCTCCAAGATGGGCACCTCTAATCCAAATATGGCATCGAACAAGAACCGTGATGTTCTGTTACCTGATGACACCTGGAATTATTGTAAGATACTAATTTAGCTGAAGGAAGTCACAAAATAAGGACAGAATATTTTCTAAGAGTAATTCATTTGAAAAATAAATAAAGGAGAAAGGAAAATCTGATAAAATGAATGACGTTTGATAAGGGAAATAAATGTTTGGTCATCTACTTGGGTTAAGGAAAGAAAAAGACGAGGATTTTGAACTCAACCAGTGACTTAAACTACAGATAGCATCTCGTCCACTTACGGTCATTTGAGTTTACAATAAAATTTATCGAACTCATTTATCAACATTGGACATGACTACAATTATGTATTCCACTCGAGCCAACACATTCCTATCTAGCATGTTAGATAACATATAATATTAGCACTATTAGAAGCCACCATTGCATGTTCATTGCAGTCGGAAGTAGGTAATCGTGCTAAATATCGTAAAGAATCATGTAAATTGTGTGTTGACTTTTATGCACATTACATAATAACAAAACTGGTATTTGATGGTCGGCTCGGAAATGCACTTACATAAGTTTTGTTTACCATTTTAAATGTTGGCGGCGCGGTTTACTTTCGCGGGAGGCGCGCACGCCATGGTTACACAATCTCTGATGTTAATTGGCGGCTAATGTCAATGTTGCTTTCACAATCTTAACAGCCGTGTTCCGGTACGTTATTATCCTTTTTTTATTCTATTTTAATATCAGACGCACTTAAACTTTCGCTGATCTCGCGGCTGACGATGACGAGTAATTTGCACTACATTAGGAAATCGTTAGTCAACTTGCAGATTTATTTGAATGTCTTATAGAATGACTGATGTTTCACATTTTGATCAGAAAAAGAAATCAAAGCAGAAACGTCTAGATATTTTAAGAGCAAAGTCCAAAACTGTCTTCTTTCGTAACGCTACTTAAACGGAAACGAATTTGTTTTGACAAAGTATGACAAAAGCCTCTCATTGGGAATCCCAGCTGCTCCATTCAGAATCCGTTCCATACATAAAGTATGTCATTCGCCAAAATGGGTTGTCAGTCAAACGAGTACGGAATAGCAGACGGCTGTCGCCAAGTGAGGAACGCACAATGCGACTGCTTTCCCTTTGGTGACCTACTCGTTATAATCTCGTGACGAAACTGATGCCGTATAGTTTGTCGCCAACGTTAGCTAACAACAATATATTGTGACATAATAGTCACTTATGAGGCTAAGGTTGTCCATAACCATGTGCAGGTTGGAACTTATACGGTCATCGGTGCCATTGTGTAGGAAGTTAGGTAATATGTATCGAATATCGAGTGCAGTTGTTATCAAATGGAGCAGAGCTGCTATAGGAATTTCAATGATATTGAAGTGACCAAGTTTAGTAGGTAGATGTTTTGAGGTCACTCTTTTTAGGTCTATGTTTATCTGTGCTCTACTTTGATCCAACGGATATGGATACCGGATTACGTGGGGTTCATCGTTACTGAAGTTTTAAAGTGCTTGATAATACACGAGTTCTCTGATAGGGCTGTCTACACCGTAGTTCTGTACGTAAAGTAATTAGGAAATAAGAAATGAAATGAAGTGAAGAATCTACTGAATTAATCTATAAAAATGGTCAAATCAAATCTTATCAAAACCGAGGGTGAAAGAAACCTACTTAAGTTATACAAACTACTAGTATTTTATTAAATAACCAAACAATGTCAAGGGCTAACAGAAATGAGTAAGATCTAGAAATCTCTACATATTCGCCTGAAACATTGTTCCGTGACCCTATTAGTTAGGAATAGGTGTTGTAATTGGCCGTGGCAGCGATTACTGGTCCAGTTGACGTCTGAAGTTCAATGTCGGTAGCAAGGGCCGCTAACAATGGAACTGAGACAATGACACGTTGCCTAATGCCGTTAATACTGCACGCCAAATTAAACAGGCCGCTGATAGCAAACAAGAACTAGATTGTTATTTAATTGTGTTCTCGAACACGATGTTTATATTTCTCTCACTCTTTAGGGCTTGTAGCGTGCTTCCTTGTTACATCAACTTCAGGGGCCTGCATTTCTTGGTGATTGGTTTAAAAAAAATTAGTGACTTTGCTAAATGTTGCGAGTAAGGGGAGAGTCTATTCTGCATTATACTACACTTATACATAGGTATTAAAATGCCTTTCCTTTTCGCCTAGTCTACAGTTCAAAGCCCTTAGCTATTACGTTTAGAGAGGCTTCAACATAAGGTCGTTGTGCATCTTTAAGGCTCAACGCTTTGATTACATAGGTTACAACTGCCATGAATGGAGATAATGACAAAGAACGATACATTAACGGGTTTCTCCTTTTAGCTGTGTTTGTTATGTTGACAAAGGAAGAAGTTAAGCAATAAATCGTCCGTGTCATTAGTTTTGAAGTGAATCATTTCAGACATATAAAAGAACCACGTTTTAAAGTTGTATTAGATTGCTGTATGCTGCTGTACGATAAGTAATTTCAATGCATTTCTTTATTCCGTTAGGTACACAATGAAATACTAACGTAACATTAGGTACAGGTACTGTACGGTGCAGGAAAATCTTATCAAAACCAAAACATGATTCATGACACGATCAAAGTCAACAAAGTAGGTGGTTACGGCTGATTGGCGTCATTTTCACCGCATTCGCTTTTATTGTGTTATACCAGTGAATTCGTAAGGTCAGCAAGTACACTTTCCAAAGTATGATTGCGAGGCGCCTTTCACGAAGTAATTGTTGTGGTGCTCTCGTTTTGTTATCCGCAGCCGTTTATCAAATGTAAGAAAGTAAGTAGCTACTACAGTGTATTTCAAAGCAGCAGGATTTATAAGCTAACTGTTTATAATAAGGGAAATGGAAATGCATTTAGCCATTGTATCGGTGTTAGTTACTGCTGTTCAGACAATGCGTGATCTGGGACTATAGTGTCGATTTATGCTGATTATAAGGTTTTGGATAAGGAGATATTCGAAGTTATATATTCAGTAACTGTTGCAGTAACTGTAACATATGATAGGAAAAGTCATTGGATGATTTTCCCCCTTTAAAAAAAGGATGACAATTATTTTTACCGACTTCAAAAAAAGGAGGAGGTACTATGTTCGGCTGATTGTATTTTTTTTTGTTTGTTCGCGCTTTACTCCGCCATTTGTGAACCGATTTCCAAAGTTCTTGGACCTTATTTGCACCTATTATTTTTCTACAATAAGGCCATTGATCCAACTATGACACGAGAATTGGCTTTTAATTATAAGTACCTACTTAAATACTAATTATTGCCGTTGTAGGTAAGGTATTGTTTTCACAAAGCTATTAAAGAAAGCATAAATGTTATATAAGTAATATTAGCCTTAATATCTACCTAACTAAAAGCTAAATTAACTTTTGATTAACAAATTAGAAAGCCTCTGGCTATTATCATCAGTATTCTTGGCAAAATTCACAAAAATGTACCTGATGGAAAGCTATCTAATCTAAAAAACGTAGGTACCTAAGTAGAAAGAAGATTGTGAGTCTGTTCTTGAATTCTAATAATAGGTACAGATGGTCATAACCATAACGAGAAAGAAATGTTGGAACTTATCTGAGGTCAGGGCCTCTTATGCAGCTCAGATCCTTACTTATATTATAAATCGGAAAGTGAGTTTGTTTGTTTGTTCCACTTTAACGCCGTAACTACAAACCGATTGCTTTGAAATTTTGCAGACGTAAAGTTAGAAGTCCGGATTAAATAATAGGGCACTTTTTATCCCTGAAAAATTTGATATTCCCGAGGGAAAACAAAAATATTGGTATAGATGGCGCTGTGTGTAGTGGTATATGTCACATAGGCTACTTTTCATCCTTTTGTGACGCGAGCGAAGCCGCGGGTAAAAGCTAGTTTTATAATAAACGAGCGAACTAGTACAGTTGTACAATAGTGATTGTTGTGACTGTTAAACTGCTTATTTCTAGAATGATCTTTATTATTAGATAATAAAAATCATAAACCAACCATATAGGTAAATAAACATTAGGTAACATTTTTTTCTTAAAATAGACTTCTTTCTCAACATTTAAAAGTATGACATAAGAAAGTCGCATAAGTTAATAATATTACTTCATATCTAATAAACAAAACATCATAATTTTTAATTAACAACCCTGAAAAAGTCTAAAGAAGCTTCTGACAACAAAGTTGATTTTTAACAAATAAATACCTACAAGGTTCAGTAACATTTCAAAGGTGGTGGCAGCACTTATGCTTTAGGACCGTGTTTTTTTTAAGGGGTAAAATCATCGCATCGAGTGACTGCTTCTACCTGAGTGAGGCGGGACGGAGTGACAGACTCTTACTGACTAAAAACCACCCCGTTCCTTCTCCTGCACGGCGAGCTGGAGCCCCGGTACCCTAACGGGTAAAATCACAGAGGTCCGTTTGTGATTCTACCCGTTAGGGTAATCGCAAAATAACCGTTAGGTTCTCTGCGATTTTAGGATCGTGTAGGGTCTAAAATCGCTTCTTGAAATTCTTGCACAAGTAACAGACACAGAATACCTTCATAATTAGTCTACCCAATATTCATGAATGCGTTTACTCAAAGGAAAGGTATCTCCTGCGATATGACGAATGTCATTCCTAAAATGATTGGTATCAGATTGCACATCCCGCCTCTTAGCATCCTATGTTTCGACAACACTTCATTAGTCATAGAATGGTAGGTCAGGCATTTGCTCATAGCAAATTAATACAACCGATGTAGAAATAAACAAAAGCCGAAAGTTTGTTGTTATTGCGCATTGGGAATTCACATTTGTACGCAATAAGTATGATATGACATATAAGTAGTAAAAAACGAACAAATGAGGCATGTTGAAATTTATAAAAGTTCATATATAATAAATGGAGGATAAATAAGACTCAGTTTAATATCAGCACCTACTATGACAAAACTACGTTAGTATTAATCACACAGAATGAGAATTTGGTAACCAAAACATTTCATATAAATGACTAGATTAATGAGTACCTACCTACCTGGCAGGTAAGGCTTGTGTATCATTAGAAAACAAATAATGGACCATCATCTACCTACAATTACCTATTCTCTACTCTAAAAAATATAGCTTAAGTTAAAAAAGGAAACCCAAATTATATATCGAATACATTGTTATATAACAAAGACAGACGTAACTGGCGAAAGTGGTGCATATCCGCGTGATCAGTTCAGTTAATTATCTCCACAGAAATGTAACTAAGTAGGTAGGTATTATGTTTTACATAAATTACCCACTTACATAGGCCTACAAAACGCTAGTTTTACATTGTGTGAGTTCACGTTTGGCGTAATATTTTGATATATTCAAGGATAGCTATTACAGTCTTTAATATTTATAGAATCTTCCGCAGACATTGACTTGAATACCTAGGTATCAAGGTCTGGGTGTAACCTACATCAGATTCTTTCGACGTTTGCCAATTGCAATATCAATGTTAGGACCCATCGTTGTTTACAAAATAAAGTCCTTTAAAAAAACCTTACAGAAACTATGACTAGAATTAAAAGATACATCAAGCAAATTCAATTGTTTGGTAACTATTAGTAGGTAAGTGTCTATATTTTAAAACCACGTCAACTTTAAATCTCAAGGTGGAAAATCCTCCTGGGACACCCTCATCTGGGGAAGACGAAAAGGGCACCAGCCTCTGAATAAAATTCTAAATTATGAATTTTTAATAAGTTGTGTCTGATTAGGGCTGATGCGATTGCGATTACGAGATACAACTACCCTCTTTGTCGATAAGACAATAGACACAGACTTACTTCATGCAATCTTTCTACCTTTAGGCATTATTTGTGTTTACAGAAACATGGAAAATATCTACAATAGCAACACTTCGTCTGACCATAAATTAAATGAAGGTAGAACTCTGGACTAGGTACCCACCACCTAACAAAGAAATAAAAATACTGTTGTATAATTAATTAGACAATAAATCACGACTGCACCTACTCACATATTAATTTTCTTTGTGTAATATGAGTAGCTATTGTGTTTATTTATATGGATCTCATTTAAGACTTCTGTTTTATGTCAAATTAAATTAAACTATTGTTATATCAATCTACAGCTGTACTAATACCTAAATATCTGCTATAAATACTGAATTTTTTTGTTTGATTCAATGCGTCCGAAACTACTGCTAGAATTGAAAAAATGTTTTAGTGCTGGGCATGCGATTATTGAGCAAGTCTTAAGCTATCTATAAGACATCACACTACACATATACCTAGTCGCGGAGAACCTAACGGGTAACCGGGGCTCCGGTTCGACGACGTGCAGGAGAAGGTACGGGGTGGTTTTTAGTCAGTAAGAGTCTGACACTCCCTCCCGCCTCACCCAGGCGGGAGCAGTCATACGATGATTTTCCCCCCTTAAAAAAACACATATACCTAGGTACTAAGTAACCGAGCAATAGGCAAATAAATAAAACTGCGTGCAAGTAGCTTCGCAATCTTATTACTTAATTTAACCGTTTATAAAATATTATTAGGTATGTTGTTGATTGTAGTAATTGTGTCAATTGGTCAACAATGATCACAATTATGCTATATCATGCCAGCCATGCAGTTATTATGTATTGTATGATCTCCAAGCAGGCAATGTCATTAATCCTATAACTGTATAATCGTCGCAATCATTTTCATTGTTACAACAATATCATATCGTTGTTACACAATAAACATAGTTTCAATTTGATTCAGGTACAAGAGGTAGGTACTTATTTTATCAAAAGTATTAAATAACAACTGGGTAAGTAGACATGCTACTCAGTTGTAATTCATTATTTCATTGGTTTTGTTTTTAACTAAGTAGTTGCCAAAATTAATGTGATGTTGTTAGACAAGACTTTTTATTATAATAATAATAAAACCTATAACTAACGAGATATTTTTGTTGGTGATGCCTAAATACAATATATGGACTTAGGGTACATACCTACTTAATTACCTACCTAACTAATTAAATATTTACAAAACAAAACGTAACATTCAGTGATACTAAAATTAAACTACAATTAGGTACGGGCAACTTGTCAATTAACGCACCTACCCTCTTAGATCGCCTACAAGTTACAGATAAGCAGGCAAACAAGAAGTGAAGCAAACGACTGCAACGAAAGTAAAAGTGCATGTTCAAAGTCAATGCACCGAAGCACATGCAACTGTGACCGATACCGCGTGCGCGGGCTGATAGGGTACGTTAATATGATAGTCTCGTCGTACTCACATGGTTGTCTAGGGTAGCAGCATCCGGTGAACTTATCTCTCTGGCATCGTACGAATTCAATACAAGAACCACGTAAGTTATAGTCACAATACTCCATTGGCACATTGTAATGGGTATCCTGGGTCGAGAGCTCGTCGTTATTATTGGTCTGCACCACTATTTATTTGCGCGGCATCTCCGCGCTCAGCGCGTTCACTGGCAAATTCGGCGTCAGCGATTCAATGGCATTATTTCGCAAACGGACTGCCCATGAAACGCCGGCCGAGTGTCGGCCGCGGCCGCGCGGAGTCCACAGAGTGCCGCCGTGCAGGGGTCTTCGCCACCACCAACCGTACTTTCTCTCCACACCAAAAACCTATTGCAGAGATCCAGCCCCCACTCGTGCCCTCATCGCGCTGCACTCAAGCTACATCACACGTGCATCTCAGTCTCCTTGAAAACACTCGTTACTAGGTGTAATCATAGGTCCCGTTTAGATATGTGAGTACCTACCTATCCTAACTTCCCTTAATATTTTCTTCATTAGTTAGGTACCCACCCAATCAGTGCATTACGTACCTAGTGCTATAAATTGGTGCAAGTGATGTGACGAGATGTCCTCTATACGTCAGAGATACGTCCCTTAGGATACAGTGTAAATGTCGTTTCCAGTTTGTCTTATGTACCTTTGAAGAATCTACGTACCTGGTCCTTAGTCCTTATAAACGAAAACTACCTAACTTACTGCAGTAGGTAAACTAAGTTTCCGTATAAAGTAGCTATAAAGTAAGTATGTTAACTTTCTTCAGGTACAAATACAAAATTACTAACATTAGTTGTAGGTACATGCGTAAAGCAGAGCAAGAAATAAGGTGCAAGTAACAATTTTAATAAAAAAGTTACGTCTGTGGGAATCTACAGCGGATTATGTTGGATTTTCCACACTGATAAAATGAAAGTGAAATCAACGGTCGCGCCGTTTCCGCACGGCGAGCGTGCCTTCCACCAACACGTAATCGTGATGTTTATACAACCACTCGAAAACTACAGGACGGGATGTCCGTCGTATAACTTTAATATCTAGTTATTCTATTTCACACTTACAGTACCTACATACATACCTTTTTAAATAAGACAACTACCTCAACTACCCAAACCACTGAAACTGTAAACCAGGATAAAATCACCGAAATAATTAAATCCGGCGCGTCAGGGACTCGAACGTGAAGTCGTGGATCCTGCCCCGAAATCATTAGAAAAGGAATAAGTGGGTATAATACTTACCTTCCTTAGTACATAAATCATATTTTATAGGTACATGATATAGCCATCAGACCACCACGGATGGGGCCTAATAGGGCTGATGCCGATACGGAGCCTCGGAGATCATAATGGGTTGCCGAGGCTCCGGCTCGAAATACGGATGAGCGAATGTAGGAACGGGGTGGTTTTAGCCAGTAAGAGTCTGACACTCCCTCTTGCCTCACTCGGGCGGGAGAAGTCATTGGATGATCTTCCCCATCAAAAAAAAGTGACATTAGCGTAGTAGGTACTTATGCAATCACTAATCACCAATTTATTTTTTACCGACTTCAAATAAAGGAGGAGGTACTAAGTATATTCGAATGATTGTTTTTTTTTATGTAGTTTACCGTTTACTCCGCCGTTTGTGGACCAGTCTTCAAAATTCTTCTTTTCTTTGAAAGGTTACACTTTCGAGGTAATCCCATTGTCACAAAGTCAGGATCTGATGCTAGGATCCTAGGGAAAACGAGGGGAACTTTTGAAAGTTATAGGGACAACTACCACTAGTTGTAAATATTAACAAACCCAAGTTTGTTAATATTTTCAATAGGTATTTTAAACCAGTACAATTTGACATAAGTCTGGAGACGATCTGATGATGGAGCCGAAAGACAATCGAAGGAACTCCTTAACAGTTTATAGTAACTAGTGTTTGGGCTTGATTAATTTGTATTGATGATAACTTCACACTTAGATGGCGTGGGACTGACGTTAAGGGTCTGATGATGAAATTTAATTGTTAAGGGAACTCTTCGGCGGTTTACAGTAACTACCTTGTGTTTGGGCATGTATAATTTGTATTGATTAGAACTTTGCACCTATATGGATAATAAGTGGTAGAATGTAATGTAACTTTACACTAAAAATTATAAAATAAAAAAAAATAACAGCTGCGTTTAAAAACAGACTTCAAAAATACCAAAAACTAAAAACAAACAAAAAGTAAAGACTAAAAAGGAAAAAATAACTAGTTACCTACCTATTGTTAGTACTCATAGGTTATCCACCCACTGAAAGGTTAGAAGTCTGTGTCATATACTCTTATCAAAATGATAGTAGGTAACTGTTGGTCAATAATTTTGTTTAGAACTTATTGTGCCGTCTACCCTATCAGTGGGTGGGTGGAAAACCTATCCGTACTAAGAATAGTTATTTTTTCTATTTAGTTTTTACTTTTTGTTCGTTTTTAGGTTTTGGGTTTTTAAGTCGGTTTTTTAAACGAAGTTTTTATATTTACAGCCATGGTCGTCCCACTGCAGGGCAAAGGCTCCCCCTACCCTCCATCTCCACTCCTCGTGTAAACCTTTATGCGGCAAATCCTTGTCGGTGATGTTCAGTTTATCCCGCTATATCCTTTTGGGCTATAATCTAATTACCTAGGAGATTACCACAACCTGTTTGGCCACTTTAGCTTCAATGAGTAAATCTAGAAAAGTACAAAATACCTAGGTATTTGTACTCCATCAAGATTCGGAGACTAGGTAGGTACTTACGACTACCTACGACCAAGCCTACTTACGACCAAGAATGTTGAAAAAAGGTGGTCTCTTGACGACTGTGGCGTGACATAGCCCGTCTTTACCCTTCATACATGACAATATGATAGGCACCAGTCTGTAACATTGCTTAGACTTAACGACTATTAAGTTTTTTAACTAGATAGGTATTATAGGTATAAAGCTAGCTTTATAGGGTACCTATCGTATAGAATATAATAAATGATGTTCAGTATTAGGTATGTAGGTAGGTACCTACCTATTTAAGAATAGACAGATTGCAACCAGTCCATACCTATTCGTTAAATTCAAGATTCCCTAGTAGGTACCTACTTGTACTCACAAATTATGGAATTATCTAACCCCTAGATTAGGCTTTAAGTCTGATATTTGTCTAAACCTTTGCCTAATCTAACCCTTCGGGGATTATAATAGCGTGATGATATTAAGCTTAAACAGCGCCATCAGGCAGTCATAGATCCCATGCCAGTCTCAGACTGTCAGGAAAGAAATAGAAATCTTGGAAAGATGTCTGGTACCTATATGGTAATAATGTAGATACTTGGTCTATGCTTCACTCTAATGAAGCTTACGCTGACGTTCTATATACATAGTCTAAAGGTAAATATGTAAATATAGGATATCAATGAACGAGTAAAATAGGAATGAACAAGGTTTTTCGATTGCTCTGAATGGATCCCTTCTCAGTTTTGTTCAAGCGTTGTACCTACGTCTACCAGGGCCAAGTATAGAAGTTTGATAGGCATAGGCTTGAAAACAATAACCTAACCTAACTTCTTTGCGTCAGATTATGAAAAATCCACTTTTGTTCGTACAATAGTCTCTAAAAATCGGTAATAAGGTCTATAATGGTGTAGGTAAGTGGAGAGGTCGCAGGTTACCGCCTGGATCCTGACCAGTCGAGTGCATCCTGCCAGTAATGACATGTACAGAACTGACAAGTGACAACTAGCCACACAGATATACGAGTTCAGAAGAAAGAATCGTAGATACCTACTCGAAACGTGGTGGTGATCAGAGTTCGTACCTACTTACCTATCGATCGACCTAACCCAAAGCACTAACAAGCTAGAATAGCAGGCCACACGTCAATTGGAGACCATGACTGTTGTGGTAGGAGTGTTCTGGAGGGACTCGTACGCATATCTAGGCAAAGGTAAAAGTAGGGCGGCACCCTGCAGCTGAGTGAAGGATTTCAACCTATCAAATAAATCAAGACAACTTTAAGGAGACTGGTACATGGCACTAGTGGTTTATGCAAAAAGCAGGCCTCAGGGCCGTGATATTACAGAGGCCTAAGGTTCAATAGTGAACGAGAACATGATATGTTGAAAAAGTACAGATACCTACCTAATTATAATTAAGTACCGTAAAATGGGGTGAATAGGGACAAATCTGAACTTTATAAAGAAAGTTAAGGCGTTTTTTTATAGAAAATTTGCTGTAAGGCGATTGTAATAATTGAGTCGTGATGGTATCTTTGTGATTAAACATAAATTATGCAATTAGCATTTCAGTTTATGCATAAAAAAGCTAAAATATAGCCTATCCCTATTCACCCAGAAATTGGGGTCAATCGGGACGAAAATAAGGCCAATAGGGAAATTCTCTAGGGCTGCCACTTGTGTAGGTACCTACCTAATAAATTATAATTTCTAGCTAACTACCATTTTTTTTGTATTTTAATTTATTCTACACTAGCAAACCCGGCGAACTCCGTTTCGCCACCAGATGGCTTCGTTTTATGTAACACTAGCTTCTGCCCGCGACTTCGTACGCGCAATCCCGATATTTCCCGTTCCCGTTCTTGATTATAGGTAAAAAGTAAAAAAAAAAGAATTGGGTAAAAAGTATCCTATGTCCGTCTCCTGGTTCTAAGCTACCTCCCCACCAATTTTCATCCAAATCGATTTAGCCATTCTTGAGTTATAAATAGTGTAACTAACACGACTTTCTTTTATATATATAGATGATCATGGTATACACGCGAGGCATATCTGATAAAATAAATTTACATTATTGTATATAAAAATTTCTACTCAATATATCAACACTAAAATAAACTTTCGGCTCCGCCCAGAGCAGGAGGTGTCATATAATAATTTCCCATCCCAAAAAAAATAATGTACCTACGTATTAAATGTGACAGCCAGTGTTCGTCAGTAATGTTGTCAGCCCAAGAAATAGGGGACAAGCCTACTAAGATACACCGGACACAATTTCGGTCTCCGTAAAATATTTCAAAATTCCAACAAAATTTGGGTCGACTCGGGAACCGATCCTGAGACTTCATGGTCAGCAGTTGCACTTGCAATAACCAGATTAACCCTTAGAGCGCCACGTCAGTCACCGGTGCCTGACGCTAGTCGACGCAGTGCAATATCTCGCTAATTTATGAAATAAAAAAATTATTATTACCTAGATTACACAATTTAAAAATGTTAAGTCTGCTTAGTGACAACCCTATAAAGCTGTACCTATTCATACATAAGTCGTTCCTATTCATCCCATCCTCATCCCGATTAACCCCCCTTTCGTTGTGATTCATACCTGAGACGTCCCCATTCACCCCAAAATATACAAATTTCGCATGCCATTCTAAAAATCTAAATTATAGTCATATTAATTATTAACTGATGCTTAACTTTCGTGGATATGACGGCCCAAACCCTAAATAAGGTATAAAACTAACACTCGTATTCGCTTAATACAAAATAACCTTTACACAGCTAAGTTTTATACACTGTAATAACCGGTATCTACTATTTTCAATTGAAATTTTTGATAGTTTGCAGCTGATTTTACATTTGTTCAATGTTGCCATAGAAAAGTTCCAATAATCTACTATTATCCCTCAAAAAATGGTAAAAGTTGGAACGATTTGCAAACTAGCATTTAGAGTTAAAAATGAATGTCCGTATGGATTGAGGAGCCACTTTCGATTTAAAAAGGAAGCTCGCCCCCTTATTTAGTAGGGAAGTAAATAATTTTGTAGACCGAATTTTGAAATTTGTAGTATAATATGTCTAAAGTTATGTAACTGTGAATGTGGCTCCTCAATCCAAACATCTGAATTGAGGAGCCACCTGAAACACGGAAAGTATTTCATGTATATTTTTGAAAATTTTGTATCATTTAGTAGCAATTGTGTATAGTGTCTACTAAAAATTTGAGCCCCAGTATTGTTTATATTCAAGTATATACAATACTTTTAATGTGGCTCCTCGATCTATACACAAGAGCATGAATTGCCATGAAAGTTATTGGTCAATTTATATTCCACTCTAAAGACATTTAGTAGTAAGTGTGTTCGAATTTGTAGTATATGGACAAAGTAGTAGACTGAGCGAATTTAATAAATAAATGCATTTCATTTGGCTCCTCAATCGTGACGTCTGCATAATAAATAATTGACTGTACCTACCTGAGATCAAAACGGAATAAAATACCAGAGACACTAACATTTACTATAAACGGTCTACTAAATACATATGCACAGATCAACATTGTATATGTTCGGTATCTGAAAAACAAATCACTTCTGAATATTCCTTACGAATTCGCTATTTAGGGTGACCATGTTATATGAATTAAACTAGGATGATTCATTTTTGAATTTTTTTTCGACAATATTCGGTACAAAGATTCTTCATAGGTTTAGGATATTTAGTATCTAGTCAATTTCGACATAAGTTAAAGAATGAATTAATATTGGTTGGTCGGTGCTTCTATGAATTTTACAGTGAGAATCATAGTCGTCATAAGTTTAATTCATATAACATGGTCACCCTAAATAGCGAATTCGTAAGGAATATTCAGAAGTGATTTGTTTTTCAGATACCGAACATATACAATGTTGATCTGTGCATATGTATTTAGTAGACCGTTTATAGTAAATGTTAGTGTCTCTGGTATTTTATTCCGTTTTGATCTCAGGTAGGTACAGTCAATTATTTATTATGCAGACGTCACGATTGAGGAGCCAAATGAAATGCATTTATTTATTAAATTCGCTCAGTCTACTACTTTGTCCATATACTACAAATTCGAACACACTTACTACTAAATGTCTTTAGAGTGGAATATAAATTGACCAATAACTTTCATGGCAATTCATGCTCTTGTGTATAGATCGAGGAGCCACATTAAAAGTATTGTATATACTTGAATATAAACAATACTGGGCTCAAATTTTTAGTAGACACTATACACAATTGCTACTAAATGATACAAAATTTTCAAAAATATACATGAAATACTTTCCGTGTTTCAGGTGGCTCCTCAATTCAGATGTTTGGATTGAGGAGCCACATTCACAGTTACATAACTTTAGACATATTATACTACAAATTTCAAAATTCGGTCTACAAAATTATTTACTTCCCTACTAAATAAGGGGGCGAGCTTCCTTTTTAAATCGAAAGTGGCTCCTCAATCCATACGGACATAAAAATGATACCTGGTTTTTTCCCTATTCACCCCTGGATCCCTATTCACCCCATTTTACGGTATGTACTATAATTAAATTAGAATTACCCAGAAAGCGTTTTTATTTTTCGATGATACATAACAAAGATAGATATAAACGTAGAGAAAGGTTCTTTGGAATAAAACACGTATTTATTAAAAAAAAACTTTATTTGCAGGATTTTTTAAAATGCACAACTGTCGAATAAAATTGCAAACAAAACAAAACTTACCTGAGAAGAAAAGAACTTCGCAGATTGTTTAGACCCCGATGCCCCCGAAGTTCATCATGGAAATAAAATTAACAGATTAGAAATAAAAATTAAATAAGAAATAGGTACCCTAAACAGAAAAAAAGAACGAAACTAAAATCAAAAAAAAAACAATTCTAAAACAGGCAGCAGACAAAAGTATCACATGTATAAATTGAATCTGATGAAAATATACTTTGCAATTCTTTTGATTGAATTTAAGCCATTTGTAGAATTATTCAGGCATTATTTTTTATACCACACTGGTGCAACTTACGAGCTTAGCTAGTTGTAATGGTTAATAAAAACTATACCTAGTAAAGGAGCCCAAGATGCTATAGTTGAAGTACCTATTTGGGCGTCATTGTGACTACATTATGAAGATTTGGTGATATAAAGGAAAAACTGTCAGTTTTTACAGTTAGAATAGCCGTACAGAATAAATTATGTTAAAATTCCTTTAAAACCCCACCAAATCTTTCAATTCACGTTCAAATCGGCAAATTATGAAAATAAATCTAAATACCCTGAATCAGACAAAACAAACTAAAGATCTATTTAGGCTGATTACGACAAGTTCAACCTGATTGTCTTGAGGAATTTCAAAAATCCTTGAGCTCCCCTACTATGTATAAAAATATCTCTTCATATTATGACTGTGTGCTTGTTGAGACGAAAAATAATGTGAATGTGTTGCTGGTCAGTGGTTTAAATGTTACCATGTTAAATTAGAAATTACTAAATCATTAAAGTACGTTTATGTACCTACCTCTCGGCATTCGGTACATCGTTAGTTAATTTAAGAGGGTCTCAGACTTATACCAATCGTTTAAAATGAATGAACATCATTGCTTGATATTATACAATAGACAAGTACTGCAATGTATATAATCACTAGTATTATCAATTCATTATATTACGAAAAATAAATTCCTACCTATAGGTATACATAAAATAATACTGAAAACTGACACCTATAAATAACTACATACCTTTCTAAATACCTTACCTAAATGAAGATTTACGTATGTTCTTGCGTATAAAAATCCTTATCTTGTATCGAAATAACGATTACTTGCGAGCCATCTATGCGCGTTCAGTAACTGTTCACTGCAATCTCTATTTCTGTACACCGTTACATATAACGGTAATACCGTCATCGACAAACGGTATAACATGTTTTTTGAAGCAATTCTTTCTTCAAAACAAATTGGACATCTTTTGCTCCAAAAAGATGTTATTCATAACCACTACTATGAACGAAAATAACTAGGGTCGAAATAAATAGGTAGGTACAATGTTTACACACAATAACTATCAAGACAAAATTATTTATTTATTATCTAAATAATAAAATCGGTTTATTAATTTATAATTAAGTAAGTCAGCTTAACTATTCAAAGTAAGACAACTTACTTTATAGTAATTCCCACAAAATGTGAGAGCTGACAAAAAAAAATAAAATAAAAGAGGAATATGTACAGATCTAAAGAAACAACCCTACTATTTTGTATTAAAGTTTATTTTTACATTATATTAGCCTAAAAGTCCATAATTCTAAACCTAATAATCATAATATAACAGCTATTTGAGAACTTAATACTGAGTAAGGTCAGGAAATTAAAAATAATCATGATTCACTTCATAAACTATGTCAACTAAACTGATCTCAATCACCTAGCGTCTACATGAGGGATTCTTACAGAAATATCCTAAATTGTACTTAAATCGTAAAAAAACGTAAAATAATTCTCATTTTTACATTACTATATCCTTAAAAATATGTCACGATAAGTACCTAGGTACTACAATAAATAGAAGACCATCTTACAATTCAGTACACATATAAAAAGGTTACTAAGTATTCTTCTAATAGATTAAAGAGTCAAGAGCTCCAGCTATAATTCTATAGGTTTTCCTGACGCCTTCTCCTAGGTGGTCTCGCGGGTGGACCATGAGGTGTGTATCTAGTGCTCCGGAGCGTACTGCCTACACTAGCGGTAAACACTGCTTTACTAGTGTACTTAGCACGAAACCTAGAGATTGAAAAAACCTTAATGAGACAAACAGTAAAAACACAACTAACAATAAGAAGCTACCTTCATAGCATTAATCATCGGAACTAACAGCAGTAACTAATCATTACTAAATATCTGCAACTATCATTTCCTAAACTTAATTAATGCTATGTAGTGCTCAGTTATAATCCTAAAGGTAATATTGAGAATTCAGTAAATATTTCATCCAACTTCCTATAGGTGTTACATGGAGAAATTGGTAGTCTGTGAATTCTTGTGATTTTGTGAGTGATTTTTTTTTATAATCCATGAGCAATCTATACTTACGTAGCTTAGAAACGACCTCCTCGGCCCTGGCCTCCTCCGTAGTTGCCACCGCCGCCGCTGCCATAGCCGCCACCGCCGCCACCACCACCCTGGTTCATGTTGTAGGGAGCGGCACGGTTGTTGCCACCATATTGTTGGTTCCTAGTGGGTCCACCACTGTATGTCTGTTGGCTGTAGTTGCCAAAATCTTGGTTGCCCCAACCCCCGCGGCCATTGCCACCGCCTCCGTAGCCGCCGCCACCACCACCACCTTGGTTGCCACCCCAACCAACTCCTTGGTTGTTATCCCAAGGATTAGAATTGTTCCATCCTCCTTGGTTGCCACCACCATAACCTCCTGAAAATTAAAATACCATGAATTTAATCAGTAATTTAAAAGAATGTGGCACAATCAAGACATTCTATCTTAAAATAAGAACATACCTCCATTGCCCCAGTTATCATTACGACCACCTGGTCCCTGTCTACCACCACCACGTTGGTCGGCACCATCTTTTGGCAGAGCTTTCTTGACATCCAGTTGTTTGCCATTTATTTTGTGTGGACCATTTACTGTTGACAAAATAAATTATAAGTAAAGAAGACATATATTCAATAACACCTGATAAAATTATAGGATCAATAAATGTATATTGATTTGCGTACCATAATCAACCATAAAAGTAGTTGTTAGGTATAGCTTGAATCAATAGTTAATATCCACAATCAGAGAAGCCAGACTCTGACACTCCAAGTTCAGATCTGGGGCAAAATTGTGGAAAATTTTATAAATAGGTAGGTACTATACTTACAGCAGACTTTATCAACAGGATCATAATCATCAAATTCCACAAATCCAAAACCACGTTTCTTTCCCGTACTCTTGTCAGTTACAATGCTGACATTCTGGACATTTCCATAGCTGGAAAAGTACTCCCTAAGTTGTTCATCATCATGATCATCTTTAATACCACCAATAAACAGTTTCTTCACAGTGGCACCGGCCTCAGGGTTTTTGATGTCTTGTCGGGCTACAGCACGCTTGGTTTCCACAACACTGCCAAAAAAGAAATCATTGAAATACAATAAATAAATATTAATCATAATAAAATGTCTGGGTATTTAATTTCTTCTAAAATAATAAGTGTTGACCCCACAGAAAATGCCATGTGTACAAACTTGCACGCGACATTCACCAAGCAGTGTCATGATGTTCTTTGCAGCAAAAAACGATATGAAAGAGAAGTTTCGAGCTTTCATATAGCTGGGCTGCAATACTAAATAAAATTCAATGAATATTAAACTTACCGGCCATCAATGCGATGCGGTCTGTTGTTTTGCGCATCATCAACCATGTGCGCTTTGGAATAGGTGATAAAACCAAAGCCGCGCGACCTCTTCGTTTTAGGATCTTTCATAACGACGACATCAACAATTTCACCCCATTTTTCAAAATGAGACTTAAGTGACTCATCAGTGGTTCTATAGTTCAAGCCACCGATGAATATTTTACGGTGCACCTCGGGCTCATCCTGAAAGTAGGACGCGACGTTAACAAAATGGCGGACAGCGTTAGTGCGACGATGATTTGGAACTTTGTGGAAGATAGTCCAGAATAATTATCACGCAACGCTTCATAGAAACGCACACACAATTAAAAAAAAACAATATATACAATTTTCAGCAATAATTAACACAGAAATAAAATCAGTACTAAAACGACACGTTGAACCAAAGGCGAATAATCAATAAAAGATACTTACAAAGCCATCATCTCCACCATTCTGTTGCGGCCTCATGTTGATTGCAACTTTATACAATTATTAACACAATTAATGAATAAAATTCAATTTCACTAACAATAAGCTAGGGATTTCGACGCGAACTCAGCCGGCAACGCGAGCACCACCGTTCTCTACCGAAGCCACGCCAAAAAGAAGGAAGTGGAAACGACGACAAGCGAGCTTGGCATTTAATGCCAGTATTGCCACTTATATAATTGCCATAATTAGTTAATGGCAAACAGCGCCATTTCGACGTAAATATGAGTCTTTTAAGATTTTGTCTATGATAATAGTATTTATACAGAATGACTTTTGTAACTCGACGTATTCCTCTCGGGAGGTGGTAAGGTCCTAAGGTCTCTGGTCCGAAAGTGGCTAGTTCCTGAGATATTCAATATTTTCGGTTTGGTCATTTCGATCGAACTACAAAAACACCAATAAATAAAAAACTACTGGTTTGATTTAAGTGATTTTAGTTTTAATTTGTTGTCAATACATCAATAAACATATATTAATACTAATACTGGCAGAAATATTATCCGTTTTAAAAAAGCAAGTTAATTAGTATCAAATTTTGTTTTGAGTCACTAATTTGGCCAGTAGAAAACTGCATTTAGCTTAAAAATCGATATTACACTAAGCGTTTTATAAGCCACCCGAAAACACTATATTATTTATATAATTACCAAAAATTAATTAATAACTTGATGATAAGTTAGAGAATGCCACCCGGCATTGAGTCCGCCATCGTATGTTTGTTATACAGAAGTGTTAATAAATAAGTTAAGAACAAAATTTTTAAGTGTGGGAGAGTCATGGACACCTTGAACACCAAAGGCGTTACAAGTTTACCGGCCTTTTGGTGATTAGGGGTTTGAGAATCGTTGGGGATTCAGGGATTGGGGAGATTGGAGAAGGGGAGGGTCATTGGGCCTCCGGTAACCTTACTCATACGACGAAACACAACGCAAGCGTTGCTTCACGTCGGTTTTCTATGAGGCCGTGGTGTCACTCCGGTCGAGCCGGCCTATTACTGCCGAAGCATGGAGCCCCCACATTTGATTGCATACCATCAGGTGATCCGTCTGCTCGTTTACCGGCTTATGCAATAATATAACGCGCTATTTCAAAAACTTCATTATTTACAAAATTTTGTTCGAAGTGACCTTTCCTATGATGATTACATCCGCATACCATGCACGATTCCTTGTCTCTGTGACCGTGACTCCTAGACCTCAGGGTTAATTTTATAGGAAATTACTTTTATTATCACCTCCCGAGACGAATACGTCAAGTTACAAGTCATCCCTGTATTTTAAATGTCTACGTCCTTTGGTCTAATGGTCTATATCTATATAGATTAGTTGAGGACAAACCATAGAGCAACACGGGCCACCGGCGGACCGGAGGGGAGTAGCCATACACAGGCGTTCCCCTCTGTCAAAGTATAAGTCCAAATGGTCCTATGCGTACAATAAAACTATGTAGTTGCAACTCAACTGCTCACCAGACTAAATCGAGTTGCGTTAGTGAATCGACGGCGTCGTAAAAATGCCGAATTGTTCTGTTTTTTGCTGCAAAAAGAGATCTGTCACGTCAAATTTACAAAGATATGGTGTTACCTTTCATATTAAGTAATTTTTAATCACATTATTGCTATTTATTTCTTATAAACTTAAAAAAACTACAATATTATCAATCGTACTCATACAAAACGCGGATCGGTCGAGCGACAGATCCGAGTTTTTTTCCTAGAATTCGCTGTCGCCGAGCGATAGCGTTGTTGCCGGTTTGTTATCGATAAAAATGTAAAAGGTGAAGTCAAATGTGAGATTTTTTGGGATTAAGTTTTCTGATTTAAATAAAAAATACTGAGTGAGAACTTCAACTATATTTATTATTATTATTATTTTATTTATTTATTGCAGATTTCCCAAAGATTCAAATTTAAGAGATATATGTAAGACATTTTGTCATAACAGACCAACCTGGATTCCCACAAGAAATATTGCCATTTGCTCAAATCAAGATGAATAAGCAAGATTAATAATGCAAAAAATATACTGATACAATAATTTCTAACTTATTGAAAAAAACAAACCCCCAAAAATGTATTCGTCATATTTATAGAAAATTAATCTATTTTAAAAACCAGTGATAGTTCCGTATCAGTATTTCATCACTTTTTTTTTTAAATGGGATTAGTAATTTAATTTATTTAAAAAAATGAAAATTTTATATGTTAAAATTATCTTGTCTGATTATTGTAGTAGTAGGTAGTTAGGGGTATAATAATTAATTAGGTATAAAAAAGGGTATAATAATTAAAGTCAACAATAATAATATCTGTCTTTGAATAAATTTTTAAAGCTAATTTCCTTAACGGAGTTCTTGAATTTATCGATAATGCGTATCGATAATTGTTACAACTGCGGGTGTAAGTGTAGTTGCGTCATATTATTACACTATTACGACAGGGATTGTTTAAATGTGTGTGTGAAATTGTCAGTGTATTTTTCAATTGTCATAGTGTGAGTTTCGTAGTGACATAGAATGTTTTTGTGTGACAATTTGAGAATGTGTGATTTCCCCCCGCAAAAAATGACAGACAGTTTTGTATCGGTTTATAACGCAATGGCTACTCCCCTCCGTGTTGCTCTATGGGACAAACAGACCATTCTGCTAATAGTCCACAGACTTAAAATAGATAAGCGGACCTAAAATTTGATATTTGTAAAGCCAAAATAACACATGCGCTATTTGTAGCTTAAACAGAGCCGGAATAAGATCAGGATTAGAAATAAAGGACATTATTATTATGACTGCCTCGTTGGCCGAGTGGTCGTTAGTGCGACTGCCGGGCAAGGGGCTCGGGTTAGATTCCCGGGTCGGGTTACGTATTACTGGGTTTTTAAATATTCTCATTGTAGCATGGAGTCTGGAATTGTGTCCGGTATAAGCCAATAGGTTAACCCCTATTACATGGGACTCATAAACTAAATAGTGAAAAGCGGGTGTTACATTGTACAGTGGTATAATGTGCACCTCTGCCTACCCCTTCGGGGGTAAAAGGCCTGATGTTATGTTATGTTATGTTATTATTATACCTACATGATGACAGAGATAAGTGTGTTTTTAGGATAAATAGTCAATATTTATGAATATTGAATAATTATCCATTTTTACTATAATTTTTATGTATGTTTTACCGGAAATATACGAAAATCCTATGTTGTTCGCGTGCTCCGCTTTCATACAAAACGTTTATGATTTTTTTTTATGAAATCATAATATTTAGAAAGTGTGCGATGGGTCTCGATGCTACGTGCTATGTGTAAGAGGTCACTATTACGCTACCAATTTTGACCATAACCAAACCATAACCATTACCATAACATAACCAAAATTACCATAACCATAACCGAACTGGCCAGTTCGGTTATGATATGGTAAACTCCAGTTTATTACAATTTTGTATAAGCGCGCTAATAATTGTATTTTTTTTTGTTTCTATTATTTTTACTAGACTAATGAAAGCAATGAAGAACACAGATAGGATATTTACGAAAATTACAAGCAAACCTACCAGACCTCTAAATTTTTCAAAGACTATCATGCTAAATTTGCGATCATACAAAGTGAGACCATGATTAACTGATCAGATTTTTTATTATGGTGACGGTTTCATTGATACCAATGATTGAATTTGGGATATATTATGTAACTTCTCTACCTTGCCCCATATAAATTATTTTAATCGATTCTGGGTGTTGGCTCCATATGTTTTTGGGCTATTGTAATGTTCCCAAGTCTACTAGGGGGGGACTAGGGGGTAGTCCCCAGTCCCTTAAAAGAGCGCATGCGAAGCCGCGGGCAAAAGCTAGTTAAATGTTATTTTTAAAAGAAGAACACTATTTGTCTATGGTAAATGACGTGACGTTTTCTCCTTTTGATTTGACATTTGACAATTTTCTTCATCATCATTCAGTTTTTTTAATCTATTTGTCAATTTGGTTTTGTTTGGTGCATTTTGATTTTGCGGTATCTTAGAATTCTGCAATTACCTAAAATTGCATGATAATTGCGTTTTAAAAGTATTGACTTACTACTTACCTTTATTTTTATTAAGAAAACTGCGGACATACAATAACAACCGAAGTCATGAAACCTAGCGGCGGCGGTGGTGACGACTACGTAATTTACAACTTTGAAATTTTTTTTCAATGTTTTAAAAGTTTAAATATAAATAAATCCTTTATTTTGGTTTTACAATTGATTTAATAATAAGATTATTCAAAGAAGTATAACGATGAAGGATTATTTTTTTGTAAACAGTTTAATTTTTGTGTTCAGCCTGTCAAGACTTTAGTGTTGATTAGTTGGTACATTAACCATTGTACAAGATCTGAAGGGTCTCACACGTCTGAAACTAAATTTAAAACTTGCAATTTCAATTTCAGGAAGAGCCGGAGCACTTACGAAAGTTATTTATTGGTGGCCTTGACTTCCGAACTAACGATGTATCATTGAAAGAGTTCTATGAACAATGGGGCGAAATTGTAGACGTAGTGGTTATGAAGGATCCCCAGACTAAGCGGTCAAGGGGTTTTGGTTTTATTACTTATTCCCGGGCACACATGGTGGATGATGCACAGAAAAATAGACCACATAAAATAGATGGAAGGTAAATATTATTGTCTTCTCTGCCTCACTTACATACTAAGTCAGATTAAAACACCATTATTTAACTGCTTCCTTTTTTAGAGTGGTTGAACCAAAGAGAGCTGTGCCTAGAGAAGAAATAAAGAGGCCTGATGCTGCTGCAACTGTTAAAAAACTGTTTGTTGGAGGACTAAAACAAGATATTGAGGAAGAAGACTTGAAAGAGTATTTTAGTTCTTACGGAAACATAGTTTCTGTGAGTTTAGTGACTGAAAAGGATACAGGGAAAAAGAGGGGTTTCGGATTTGTGGAGTTTGATGACTATGATCCAGTAGATAGAATATGCTGTGAGTTAATTTATAATGAAAAGACATTAACTTTGTTGTGTTACAATTTGCTAAACTATTAATATTACTTTATAGTGCATCCCAACCACAAAGTTAAAGGTCACCGTTTGGATGTGAAGAAAGCCTTGTCTAAGTCTGAAATGGCAGCTGGTGGACCTGGTGGTGGTGGTAGCAGTGGAGGTGGTGGTGGCCGTAGGGGAGGGGGACGAGGAGGAGGCGGTGGCGGATGGGGAAACAGGCAGAACCAAGACTGGGGCAACTCAGGTAAGTTTGAAATAGAACTCTTGAATAGATTCTGGAACTTTTTTTACACCTGTATTCTTCAAAGAAACTTTAAGTGTATAATTAACAAGACTTGTATGCCCAGATGGAGGTGGCTACAACTCTGGTTATGGACAAGGAGGATGGGGTAACCAGAATCCTTGGGACTCAAACAATGCTGGAGGCAACTGGGGTAACCAAGGTTATGGCGACCAAGGAGGCTGGAACCAACCTAACAGTAACTTTGGTACAGGATATCAACAGGGTTATGGTGGCGGCCCCATGAGACCAAACTACAACACATCCAGACCACAGCCATATAATAACTCAGGTTTGTATCTAATCCCTTGTAATAATAGCTCTTTCTAATTTGAAAACTCTGAAACTTATAGAAATATAGAATCAATGCTTTTATCTCTTTGTATAATGATAGGTAATTGTTGATATGCCATTAATATTTTGAGAAGCCGATGGTTTCGAAGGTGGCGGCGGTGGATACGGCACTGGTGGAGGCGGCAACGGAGGCGCGGGCAGCGGCGGTCCTGCTTACAACAACATGGGCGGCAATCAAGCCCAGGCCGCTAATCAGCGTCGATTCTAAACAACGACGTCCTCTTGTGAGTAGAATCTTATATAAACTTATAAATATCTCATTACAAATTCATATTATACATTTCAATAACAATCCCCTTTTTTCGAAATTGTATGTTTTGGCATTAATTGTTTAGGGCCTCCTATAAGTCATGCGTGCTTCGCATGACTACTGCGCGCATCTAGACTTCGTAATCGATTCATGCATGCAATTATCCTTCATTCGACGTGCAAAACATGCGTGACTTGTTAAGACCCTCTAGGTGTCCACATATTAATCGTCGCGGATTTCTCCTAAAGCCCAATTATTACCACAGGCTACTGGCGGTTTTAGGAAAGATTTAATTATCATATATGTATCGCTCCGAAGTGATGCGGCGATTAGTTCGGGGACACTTTTATTCAAAATTCGTAAGAACTTTTTAAAATAACTAATTTCATTAATTTTTTTATCCCACATAAATGACGTTCATTATCTTTTGTAATGGTACGTCAACCAATCTCATGGTTTCATTTTGAATGTGAATGGTGTGTACTTACGAAGATATTTTTTAACATGTAGGTCTCAAGTTGCGCTTAGTTGAAGCTAGGCAGGCAGACGGTAGAGTAGTGACGGGAGGTAGGCCAGGAGGTCAGCTAGCTAGTGAGGGACAAGCGGACTTAGTGAAGCGACTGCATTACATAGTCATTTTACATTTATTTTGCTCCTTCAATAAGGTTTGTTCACAATAAGGTACTGTGTAGGCATTAGATTCATTTTACCTATTAATTGTGAGTCGTTTATCACGCAATCACAGTTTTTACATTTCAATTAACACTTTTTATTACTTTCTGCACAGCTATGTGTTAATCAGATGCCTTTATAATTAATTAAACTCTGTCCTTGTCCAATCCATATGATACTGTAAAAGCTGTGGCATATATGATTTATATTTGCGTTTTAGTCATTAAGTGAGGAGATTTATATTATTTCTGTTAATAATTTAATGTAGATTATAATTTTATTTTTCAATATTAACGTCCATGTTTAGATAGAGATAGCTATAACATTCCAAAGTAATGATCTATTTACTGAATGCAGAAATATGTTACAGTATGATTTGTAACGAATTAATATAATGACATGGAGTTAGATATAGGAAAAAAATAAGTAATGGTGGAACTCATAAAGAGAAAACATTTATAAAATATTTGTCAATGCATTCTATGGTGTAAACAATAAAAAGGAATTTGACATTGCAAAATGAAGTATATTATAGATATTCTATCTAACAGCTGTATGAAAATTTGTTAACATTATAAATATTATATTAATCTTTTATATGTCTTCAAGATATAATTTATCTTCCTTAAGTTAAGTTGTTATAATGTAGAGTTATGATTGTTTTTATTTGTGTGCATACAATTAAATAAGTACTATTTTCCATGGATTGTTCTACACGTGCGCGAGCCTTCCACCGTGGAATAGGCCATGGTAAGTTGACTCATATACAATAAAAAACACAAAAAATCTAACACCATGTTTTATTTTAACATCCTCATTCCGTAAACATATCCTTTAAATATACTACTTAGATAAGATTATGTACACTACAATAATTACTTAATCACCAAGAAATACAATTTTCTACTAATTAGGAACGATTTTACAACATTATTACTTATTACGTAGTTTTTGTTGTTTTATAAATAGTTATCCTCAATCAGACAGTTTTAAATAAGTAGGTGTCTACTTAAATAACGAAAAGGAACAAGTAAGTTTAATTTATCTTAGCGTAAAATATAGTTACCTAATACAAATTATAAATATTTTTGGTATAATTTATTGAAGTTTTTATCGAAGTATTCGAAGGAAATAACAATATGAATGACCTTAAAGCAGGTCGTTCACATACAATTGCTCGTTAAATCTATTGGGCCGTGGCCAGATACGGTATACAGTTATAAGTAGGTACTAGGTAGTAACTGTTGTTTGACGAATTTAACTTTAAAGTATCTAAATCTGTTTTTTAATCATAAATCGGCCGTTGAGTCTTGGGGACCGGCTATAAAGTTTTGAAAAGACCGTTGTTTGTGCTAACATACATACATACATTACAAGCAAAGGTATGACTGGTAGACATTTTTATTTTATTCATTGCTTTATTGGTCTACCTGAAAAGTGTTTTGACTTTGAACCGTATCTGACTATGCTGTCAAACGGTTGTTCTAAAAATACTTCATTTATCGTTTATTGTCGGTGGGTGCTGGACAGGAAGGCAGGGGCAAGTGGGCGGTGTGCAGTACGCAGGAGACAGGACACTCGGGAACAACCCAGATGCTGCTGCTAAATGTCTGTGAAAAGCAGAAAGTAGTTATTATTATTGTCCATTGTTATCAAAACTAGGAATTAAGTAGGTAGGTAATTATACATAAAATTATACTAATTATGACTTTTGGTTACGCGGGACATTAAAAAGCCATTACAAATGAATCGGTAAATGTTGGTTTCCTAATTTGATGACTCTTGCTAAACTCCTTTTAATGAGAATTGGGACTGTAATAGATGAACTTGATTGACTAGTAAATAAGTTTTATACAATAAATTAAATGAATATCACAAAGCCATGGATGAGCTTGCTACATGACTAATATATACCTACCTACTTAAATGCTTTTTACAAAAGATGCTTCAAAATTTACCGGTTCATTCACATAACAATCGGCATCGGCACGGTTTTAGTCACCTAACTTATAACTGTATTTTGCTGTGTAGGTCATCAATGGTCATTAGGTTGATTCACAGGATTTACAGTTTAATTTTCGCAAGTAGGTAGGTTTGGTGGCCAAAAGTCAAAGTACTTATCCTTTTCTGTCAATTTTCTTTATTACATCTTTAACTTTATTGCACTGATGTAAAGTCAAAAATCCAATTAATAAATTTGACAGATTGGAGAAGTAAGCACGGGCCTGCGGACGGCGAGCACGAGTAGCTAAGCTAGAGCTAGCGTACGGCGCGTCTCGTTCCTCGCGCGACTCTAAGAGCCATCAGACAACTAAGGATGGAGGCCCAATAGGGCTGATGCCGATACCGAGCCGCGGAGTTAACGGGTTGGCCCCGGCAACCCGTTAAGTCCGTTAGCTCCGGCTCGAAGGGCAAGAGTAGGAACGGGGTGGTTTTTAGTCAGTTAGAGTTTGACATTCTGAGGAGAAGTCATTCGATGGTTGTCCTCCCTTAAAAAAAGGCACAAGTACCTTTCTACATTCTCGTCAAATAGTTATTAATACTGAGGGGTGGATGGGCCTATGCTATTCTAAACGAAAGAAACGTTGTTAAACCGGGTTTTCATACCATACAGACAGTTTTAACGAATTCCCACGGTCTGTTTTAATAAAATAGTGAGAGTAAATTAAGTCGTGGGAATGCGTACAAGTGATAGGTAAGTGCTACCTATATTTTGTATCGATTGGCTATTGATAGACTGCAAGGCTATTTATAGCTGGGGACCTAGTTTCAAGGAACTATAAAAAAGAATAAGTACCTAGGTAGGTACCTACTTAAGTAGCTTACCTTGGAAAATAATAATAATTTATATCCACCTTTAGTAACAGCCACAGAGAAAAAATATTATCTACCTACTTAGGTACCTAGTACGCACCTACGTACTCATACATGGGAACATAGAGTTAAAAAATAAATGCTCCTGTGTCCGAGGCTAGACGGCATTTGGTAGATTAATATAAAACACATCCACTCTTGTATTCTTGGTCACATTTCGATACTTAGCGCCGGTTTCACCACCTCATTATAAGTACCTGATAAACTTATGTGACAGATAGTTCATACAACTTACGTTCTTAATTCAATTTTATGTGGTAGATAGCGGGTATCCAGATATTGTGAAACAGGCCCTTAGTCTAGCACAATATAAGCTAATCAAATCTTACCGATTGCTTTTCCTATGAATGTTAAATGTGTGTGTGTGTGTGTGTGTCCAATGAGGGAGAAGAGAGGTCGCTTTACTAGAAAGGTAAGTACTTGCCTGTATTGTTGATCTAGTTGTGCTTTCTCAATTCTTTTGTCTTTAGCTCTTCGGTTTTGAAACCAAATCTTCACTTGTGTCTCGCTGAGAGATAATGCAGATGCCAGTTCGCATCTGGAAAATATAGTTCAAATTAAAATATTTAGGCATAAGAGTTGTAGTAGTAGGCGACGTCTATGTAGGTAATGGAATGTGTAGGCAATGACAATGGAAATCTCAATTGATCTCAAGAATATTCTCCACGTCATTGTGGTGTTTAATAAAAATAAAATACTGTAGTATTGTATTGGTAAGCAAGTAGTACCTTAGAAAAAGTTTTATTTTCTCAGGAACCTTTGTGTCAGAGACTTGTCTGGCTGGAAGAGCTCAAAAACTTTTATAAATCACCATTTGGTTAAGAAAAAAGGAAATGTCTTTATTTTTTAAATTATTTTAATGGTGTCAATAATTATTTTGTCACAATAATATGTGCCATTAATTAATCATTTTGTAATTAATGTATAGGTATCTAATGGATTTATACTTTTGGGATAAAATCCTAGGAAATACAAGATTTTATTAAATATCTCTTGTAGTTTTGTCATTGCCAAAATATCTAACTGGCTTCAAAGGATTTTTATTTTACTCTATGCATACAGGAAAAAAAGTTTATTTTACTCTATAGCTAGTGGTATATAACCATTGCATTATTCAAAGAGTATAATAAGTATAGGGGTTGCATTATTGCATAATGCCTACCTTGTTCTTCCAATGACCAACAAGGTTTAATTAGCTATGCAGATAAATAAACAATAATCAATATAATAAATAAAAAATAACATTAAAATATTTATTATCATACTATTTTCTTTACCTTCTCGCCCGAGCAACATATTCGCCCCTCGCATATTCCAGTTCCAGCCGAAGAGTCTGATGTGCAGAGAAGGTGGTGCGCTGTCGACGTGGCCGACTCTCCTTGCGGCGTCTCCGAGCCACTGCGACAAATTATATTAAAATTAGTTGGAGAGCTAGCTAATCAACTGAATAACCAGTTTCTTACAATGGAATATAATCGATTTTTTTAATCATCGAATGATCTCTCTTGCCTGGGTGAGGCGGGAGGGAGTATCAGACTCTTACTGACTAAAAACCACCCGGTTCCTACTTCTGCCCTTCAAGCCGGAGCCCCGGCAGCCCGTTAAGCGGCTCAATATAATCGAATAGGTCCAAAAATCAGTTAAAAAAGGCAAAGGACAAACATTTTGAAATTAGTATTACCTACAATGAGCTGTCTTCTTACAACTTTTGAATAAGAACTTGGAGACGGGTAGTTCGTGGTTAACTTATTGTTATACTAATCTATACTTCAAAAAAAATGGGGTGAGTTGAAAGGGGGTGTCAGACTCTTACTGACTAAAAACCACCCCGTTCCTACTCCTGCACTTCGAGCCAGAGCCCCGGCAACCCGTTAAGTCCGGTTGTAAGTAGGTACCTATCCAAAACCACTAAAATGGTTTAGTGGTCTTCAAACCCTCTACCTATACTTATACGCTACGTACTAATAAGGATTCCTTGCAATTCCTGTGTCGGTAACTTCGGTAAGTGTTTGTACCATGAGAAAACGCTTGTAAGAGCTCCGATTCCGCACCATATTGTCCCGGAAGTGTCTCCGAGTGAAACCCCGCGACACAGGGGTGAATCACGATTATTTAATCGTTTATTAATTTTGCTATACGATATTGGTTACTAAATATTACACAGACACTGATATGGTAGGGGTTCCGTCTATATTTAAATTAAAATAAGAAGATAGGTAGGTAATATGTATAAGGGTTAAGTATTTTTTTGGTTAATTAGAGTTTCAGAAAACGACTCTTTATTACGTTATTCTCTACGTTTTTGATTAAACGTAATACATCATAGATAGCAAAATAATCTTTAGAATCTTTTGCAGAAGCAGCGACGACGATACATTTATGGAGACAACTCACAATTAAAAACAGAAGATCTAAATTTTAGACCCTACGGAGTAAACAAAATAATGCATCATTTACTTTTAAAGGTTCACAGTACCACGGAACCCTCTCGTTTGAACAGAGCGTATTACCGTCGGGATTGAAGCGCTATGGTGGGTGGGAGACGACATATGGCAAGGATTGGTGTCTGTTACAATAATGTCCGGTCAATTAGTGATTGATTCACGAGACCATGCTCAATGCCTTCCGACTTCCGTCCTCAAAATGTGATTTGGAATGGGTTACAAAATAAGTTATAAATAATCAAGTAGAGATAGAGAACCTTTAAGCAATTCTTTAGAGACTTATACCTCAGAAGTCACTGTAGACTTTTGGTAGGTTGTCTTACAGCCCGGGTCATTACTAATGTGTACCAATGAATTGTTATTAATCAACTAGCTGACCCGGCGAACTTTGTTCCGCCTTCTAGGCAATAAATGAGTAGTATTTTTATTTTTCAAATTAGGATAGGTAAATGTAATTAAAAAAAATCTATTAATTCAATTTTTTATTAGCCATTTATTTTGTTGCATGGGTTGCACTTTTCAGTGTAGCACCTTGTGATAAACGATATTTTTAGTTTTTTTATCAGGCGCAAAAACAAACAACGCAGAAGGTTTTCCGACCCGTGAACATGCCACGTATAATTGGCCATGGGAAAAACATGGATGTTCTAGATTGAGACCACAAACTTTCAAGGATTGGCCTTGTGATTTATTTACAGTCATGGCGAATGCAAGACGGATCGGAAATTGAAGCCGTTTAAACTCAAATGGCATGTCGGTTGGGATCATCGGAATCCTCGGAATGAGAACTTCCTCACCTTTGAATTTTCCTTTGAGTATTGTGGCGTAAATCAAATTGTTCGTCAATTTACTTACCACCAAACGTGTTCCGTTGCACAGTTTTGGTTGGTTTAAGTTTCGAAGCATGATTACTACGGAGCCAATCTTTAGTCGTAAATTGTGCGGTGGTAAGCCAGGCACATCCAAGGAGTTTAAAAATTCAATTGGATAGTTGGTGGCATCATCTTCATTTGTAACACAATCAATAGATTTGAAAGAATGCAGAGCACCAATGATCTCATTCTGAATTATGTAGTTTAAGTCATCTACATCTTTATTCTTAGCCGCCAAAATTGCTCGCTCACTCAACCATTCATTATTTTTGTGGTTAGTGATGATGTTTGGGAATACTTTGTTGATGAGTTCGTCTTTCGATGAGACAAAGTTACAGAAATTCGTAGGAAATGAAATCAATCCGCTCGATTCGTCGACAGGTACTCGACCATTACCTATAGTAAGCAATTGCTCAGAGAATTCTTCAGCAGATGTATCGTTCAGCAATGCAACTCTCATGTTTGTTGTCAGCTGAAGTTTCTTAACATAGCGCCATAGATTCGATGACTTGAGGCAAGCGTTTATTTCGTCGGCAGCAGTCGATCTGGGAATTACTGGCAATGTTTGGCGGAAATCGCCAGACAGTAAAATCATTGCGCCTCCAAAACATCTCGAGTCATTGCGTAGATCTTGCAATGTTCTGTTAAGTGCTTCCAATGCACGTTTATGCGCCATTGTGCATTCGTCCCAGATGATGATCTTCGATTCGGATAAAACTTTGGCCATTGCGGAGCGCTTTGTAATGTTGCATGTTGGTTCTTCAATAGAATGAAGATTTAACGGCAATTTTAATGCCGAATGTGCCGTACGGCATCCTTCTAGCAATGTGGCTGCTATTCCAGAAGAAGCAACTGCAACCGCAATGTTGGATCTTGCACGAACAGTGGCTAAAACTACTGACATGAGGAATGTCTTACCAGTTCCACCAGGGGCGTCCAGGAAATATAAACCACCGTTTCCATCATCAATTGCCTTCATTAATGTATCATAAACTTCCTTTTGTTGGGGATTCATCAGAGGTACATTCGTTTGAACTACTAAATGTAATTCCTGGTGATCATATTCACGTTCCCGTTCCAATTCTCGATTAAATGCGTCATTCATTTCACGATTTGGCGCTGGCATTCCTAACCTGACTAATAAACTACCACACATGAGATAACACATGTCTTCGATCAAGAGCAAGGCCCGATTATGTATCTCCTCATTCATTTCAAGATCTTGATTTCTTGAACTGACACGAATTTGATGTAAAATATCTTCTGACATATTATCCTTGTATTTGTGCCACAGGTTAGACGGGTTCGATGGAAAGCATGTCGAAATGATGATAGCAAATAATGTACGTATCTGACTTGGAGATGCAGAGATAATTGCTTCAACGATTGTCGTATCCCAATGGGTATCGTTTTCTAGTAACTTTAGTTCTTCACATGCAGCCCGATATGTTGGGAATATTGTACCATTAACAGTCCGTAGTGACTCAAATGACGTTGGCCCACGGACATTTACCAACAACAATCGCAAATAGAAGCATTCATCATTCTTTGGATGAACTGTATACATACGACCAAGAGCATCAGTAGAATGCACATCCGGATAACCAGGAACCGCATCGCCTTGCTTCCGTCGTTGAAAATTCTTTGATGAAGCATTCCAAGTGTAATAACGTGGCATCTCCGAGTAAAGCAAAGTTCGTGCAAACGGATCGCTCTGGCAGGTCGCAAAGAAACTGGTCAATGTTGTCGCTGGAGGTGTTTCAGCACGTTGAACAACATTCGAAGCCGTGAAATATACTCGTTGACCATTCTCGAGATGCACCGCCAAATGCACAACAGTAGGATGACGTTCGTGAATAGGGAATGAGAATATTCGCCAAATCGCTTCATTGCAGTTCACATACCGACCAACTTGATAGCGCGCAATTTCATCATTCGTATTATTGGCTTGGACGCCAAAAACCGCCATATCGCTGCCTTTCGTGACATATTTGCAGATGTATTTTATTGACTTTACTGAATTGCAATACTCAACGTTACAATGTGTCTTGAACGTTTTGGAAATAAGTGGAGAATATGGAACAATCCAACTGTTGTCGACCACGAAATCCATTCTTTTAACTTTTGTTGTAATAGTTCGACCATTATCATCCGGCGATCGACGCCGATACAGTGGATAACCATCGTTGCCAGTGACGGTCTCCGCCGTTAATTTCCGTGGATATCGTTTGGAACACTTGCCGTCGATCATGCAAGGTGATTGGGGATTGATGGCGCCACATGGTCCATGAATCATATTTGTGATTACAACATCATGTAGGTCTTGATCGGCTTCGTGATCGGGAATCTCGGCACATATGATATCATCTATTTGGTCTGGTTGAATTCTTTCCACTAACCAAATAAGAATGTGTGCGTGAGGCAGGCCTCGTTTTTGCCATTCGATTGAATACATCCAGCATCGAGTTTCTCCAAAGACGCATTGTTTAACAATAAAGTTCATTAGGGACCGAATTTTTTGCCTGAATACACGTGCTGTGATGTCGTGTCGATCACTTGGTGTTTGTCCAGGAAGCAGCAATTGAACAATTTCTATCCATTTTGGATTACAGGTAAAAGTAATAAAGAGATCTGGCCGACCGTAATGACGAACATATGTCATTGCATCTTGCGCATATTCATGCATATGACGCGGACTACCTATGTACGTCGCCGGCAAAATCGTTAATCGACCAATATTAGCTGCATTTGATTCAGTACTAATTGCATCACGTAAATGGATATACTCATCAGAACGCAGTTTGGCTTGGTTCAACCGAATGAAAGTTAAGCGCTCAGTTTCTATTTTGACGTACATGTCCACGCAAAACTGTTGAAGCAATCGACGAAACCGCAGCAAATAGTTTTCAGAATTTTGACGAATCATCAGACGATATGCGTAATAATTCATCGAGCTAACCTTCTTGGTAGTTTCTTCACCTGAAATTAAAATAGTAGAATTAGTATTTTCTATGTAAAAGTTACATATTTTTTGCATAATTATTGTAAAACGGTGAAGAAAAATTTTTTTTCTCTGAACAAA